TTTATTTTTTATTTCCATTTTTGTTTTCTAAATTATATTATTATATCAAAAATGCCCTTCAAACTTTTGTTTTTCATTTTGATTATTGTGAGATAATTTTATTAATTCAATGTAATAAATAAATTATTTTTATAACATATTAATAAATAATTTAAATAAATTTTATATAACAGATAAATTTTATAAATGTTAAATAATTTAAATTTTTTATTATATATAATTTTTAATTTAATGTCTTTAATGGTCTTTTTTTTTTTTTCTCATTACATTTCACTTTTATCGCCATCATTGTTTTTACATCTAAATACATATTTCACCACTAATTTTAATTTCACTGTAAAAGTAACCAATCTCACTTTTATCGTTGTTTTTAATCTCAGTGGAACTAATCTCACCGTCCATTTAAATGGATCATAAATTTAAAAGCACTTCAAGATTTCATCCCCTTCAATTTAATCTCATGACAAATAAAGCCCCAAATTCATATAAAGTCTTCACCAAAGCTATGAACTTTATTAGAGTATAGTCTCACAACTTACAAATTCGAAGTTAGATATAATACGACACAATAATACAATATAAATACAATATGAAAAATGAACATAAAAATGACATAATTTAAAATTTTAATATTAATTATATATAAGTTTAACAAAATAAAAAAATATTTTATATTTTCGTATCGACACGAATTATAACACATAATTTTCGTATAAAATATGATATAAATATATAAATTTTAATATTTTATATGATACTAATACACGAATTATCAAATTTAATCGTAACAAAACATAAAAAAAAAACCCTAACAGAGAAATTAAACAAAAAGCCCTAAATTTATATTCCTATTTATGACAAACAATCAAATATTCCTTCAAAAAAAACTTTATTAATCAATTAAACAGCTTATAAAAAAAAGGAAAAGCAACAAAAATGTTACCATGATGAAAAACATGGGAGCAACGAAGTCAAACGATGGTTTGATCAAAGTTTTCAAATGCACTGTCTAAACAAATTGGACAATTATCTTTTGTCGCCACTACTATAAAAAAACCCCTCTCTCTCTCTTAATAAAAAACCAATTAAAGCAGAGAATTTTAAGGCAAAAGAAAGATTCTGGGAGCCAACTTTAAGGATTCCTATACTCTCATTTGATTTGAAAAGCGATGCTATTACAGTATTTCCATTAAATGAAGGTTTTTTATTTTTTTGATTTAGTCCTTCGTTTTTGAAAAAGAAAGTGTTGACTGAAAATCACCTTTATAGTTTTTTCGGCACATGCGTCAAGTCAAAGGAAGTAACAATTATATCACGTTTGTATCCAAATAAAAATATAATGACGTGGCAAAATTTACAAGAATTAGGAAGATTAAAAATAAAAAAATTTTTTTTGTGATCAATGTAAAATTTACAAAATATTGTAGATTAATATTAATTTTATTAAATTTATCATTATAATTTTAAATTTATTTATTTTTAAATAAAAATAATAATGAAATTTTACTATATTAAAAAAACTTATATTAATAGAATATTTTCTAAAATATTTTAATTTTGTTAATTTTTATTTAAAAAATCAAAATATAATGATAAATTTTAATATTAAATTTTATATAAAATTTTTATTTAACAATAAAATTGAAATCGTTTCATTAAATAAAATTTGTAAAATTTTTAATTAAATAATTAATGAAAATGAAAATTGAATCAAACTATACTCTTATAGAGAGCAATTTCATACTTCTCACAAGATAAATTAAAATTATAGAAATGAAAATTTAATAAATTAAAGTACAAACATATTTCTAAATTAAATTTTAACTAGAAAAATTACCTAGTCACACTAGGTTGTAAAATTTTTTTATTTTGATGAAATACAAATTTGTTAATTTAAAAATAAATTAGAATTTATTTTTTAATATTTTGTTAGTTTTTTATTTTTAGAAAATATAGTATTTAAAAAAATAAAAAAAAAATCAATGTTCTAATTGTGTAACCCAATTACAATTGGATAGATATTGGCTTCTATTTTAAATAAGGGAGATTACTTTAAAAAATTATATAAATTAAATCCAAATTTAATAATACAAACATAACAATCCAACCTACTGATACAATATTTATTTATTATAAATATTAATAAGCTATCAAATCCAAACCCATTTGTTTATGAAATCAAAAGCCACTAATATCATCACCAATTCAACTTCAATTTTTTAAAGAAAAACTCAAAAATTTTATTATGGTAAGAGAGACATTATAATAATTTTGATCAATTATAAATGGAAGGTATTTTTATAATTATGGCTAAAAGAGGCATTTTAGTAACTTTGATCAATTATAATATGGGGTATTTCAATAATTATAATAAAAATAGATATTATAATATTTTTAATTAATTATAAAAAAGGTATTATAATAAATTTAGACACATGCTTTCAATTGTTAAGTAATTAAAAATGTATTATGATCATTTCCAATGATTTTGATTGATTATGAAAAGAAGGGCATTACATTAAATTTTTACACATGTCAAGCAATAAGTAAATAATTAGAAGGCCATAATTGTCATTTCTAAATGGGTTTATTTTCATTATATAGTTATAAATTTTTAAATAAAATAACATATGTCAACTTCTTATGAACTAATTATAAGGATATTTTTGTAATTATAACAAAAGATATTATAATTATTTTGATCAATTTTGATGAATGGTATTTTTGTAATTATGAAAATATTATAGTAATTTTGATAAATCATGGTAGTAAGTAATTTTTATAATTATAGTTGAAAAGATATTATAGTAATTTTAGTCTATACAATATGAGAAATATTTTCGTAATTATGACATGATATTATAGTGATTTTATATTTATAAGAGTTTTTTTATCATTTAAGAATAAAAGATATTACAGCAATTGGACATTTATAAGCGAAGTTTTTTTGTCATTTAACAAATCAGGAAAATGATAGTAATTTACATTCAAAAGAGGGATATTTTTGTCAATTAAATAGGAGGACATTATTGTCCTTTCAGACACATATGAAGTAATTGGCCAAAAATTAAAGGGTAAAATTATCATTTTATGATAGGTTACTTTTATATATAGTTATAGATATAATTTATTAAAAAAAATTAAATTCGACAAGGCTTGAAAATTCTAAGAGCAAGCACAATGTAAACTAGGTTGGGCTTGTGGACTTGAATGGGCCTATCGGCTGAACGGCTACATCAGCACAATCCTATTCCTATCCCAAGTCAAGCACACACTTGTCCCTGCTCCCAAACGACTTAACAACAGGGATTCGTTGTCTCAGCTTAGACCTACTCAAAAACCCCGCCTAGAAATATACCAATCGTCCACTCTCGTTCGAGTCCTTGCCTTTTGCGTCTCTTTCTAATAAAGAGTTAACCTTTCGCTTCGATTTCTCAAAAAGAGGGACTATAATCATGTTGGTTTACCAGGATCTTCTTTCCAGTAAGAACTTCCCAATAATTTCTCTAATCCCGATTGGGGTTTTTGATTGATTTCATTGTTTTTAGTTTAGTTTAAAGCCTATTAGATTTTGTTTCGATAATTTAACCAATGAATTAGAAATCCTTATGAAATTTAACATTGACAGATTTTAGTTACTGGGTCTGCAAATTGTAGTGATCTTGGTGCTTTTAAAGCTTAAAAGTACAGATCTTTTATTACCATGCTTAGGGTTATGTTGTGTAATTTCATTGATACTAGTGTGTTGAACTTTGTGGGGTCAACTGTTGACTTTTTTAATTGTGGTGATGAATTTCAGACGATGAGCTTCTTTCAGACTCATTCCCATACAAGGAAATTGAGAATGGGATGTTGTGGGAAGTTGAGGGAAAGGTTAGTATTTTGTGTAATTCTTATATTAAAGTTTTAGATACTTTGTGATGGGGATTGGAATTTAACTGTAATTGCTTGTTTTTGCTGCTTTCTAGTGGGTTGTTCAAGGAGCTATTGATGTTGACATTGGAGCCAATCCTTCTGCTGAAGGTGCAGATGAGAATGAGGGTGTCGATGACCAAGCTGTTAAGCTCGTCGACATCGTTGACACCTTTAGACTTCAGGTTGGTTGGTTTTACTCTTAAAAGTAATTCATGCCTTTCAGTCTTTGATATTTTTGAGGTAGAAGTGTGAAGAATATATTTTGTATTGCTTGCAGGAGCAACCTGCTTTTGACAAGAAGCAGTTTGTAACATTCATGAAGAGATTTATCAAGAATTTGACACCTAAGTTGGAAGGAGAGAAGGCTGAAAACTTTAAGAAACACATTTGAGGGAGCAACCAAGTTTTTGCTTTCAAAGCTCAAGGACCTTCAATTGTGAGTCATTCTGATCAGAGTATTTTGCTTGTATTTCATGAATTCTTTTCAGTCGTAGGAAAGAAATTGAAGTTTATGCATGTTTTGTTGCAGTTTGTGGGAGAGAGCATGCATGATGATGGCAGTTTGGTGTTTGCTTATTACAAGGATGGTGCTGTTGACCCTACATTTTTGTACTTTGCTTATGCATTGAAGGAGGTCAAGTGCTGAGTTTGAAGCAGAACTGCTTGCTATAGTTCTAGTGTACATTATTGTTTTGCTTCTTTTCTATCTTTTGTACCCTTAGATAAAAACCTTACGGCTGCTGTTTTGTTTTAACTGATGTTTTTCGGACATGTTTTTGGCTTGACTAAATTATTGTTCCATTTATCTTTCTTAATTTAATTGGTATTGTCTTTAAATTAGACAATTTTGGCAAGTGCAACATCACAGATTTGGCAAGTGCATGACAGAATTCCTAAAATTAGACAAGGTTGGATTAATTTTAATTTATGTTTGGTGTGTTTGCATGATCATACACGTAATGTCAGATTTAAAAAAAAAAAAATTGACTCAGCAGAGTTGATTTTAATAAGTTATTTGATGTTAATTTATATTACATTTTATCATTGCTCTATTCTATACAGTGATATACTGGTAAGTCTCATTAAGGTTTCATTAAGTCTATAAGAAACTTGGACCTAAGAACTCTTGTACATAAATACCATAAGAAATTGAGAAAGCAAATGAACCAAAAGAAAGGAAAATCAATAATTATTTGAAGAATGTTATTGCTCCAAAATCTAAAGGCGAAAGTCAAAGCTAAAGCCCCGCTAAATTTCCGGCCTTATGGGAAAGCAGAGATTTAGCTTAAACCTTTTCCTTAGGCTTCTTCACTATCATTACAGAAAAGTGAGCATGGTGAGCATAGTAGTCACTTACGCTGCCCAAAACCGCCCTGCATGTGGATTTGGAAACAAAGAACACCAAATCAGATGTCACCCAAAAAAAAAAAAACATAAAAACTTGCATTTAATTTCTTCATTTCTTAAAGCATTGGGATCTTTTTTCCTTTAATACGGTCAAATCTTAAGGATGTAATTCCTAAATCGACCTATTACGTTCAAGATTTTACTCTCGAAATACTTCTCACAAAAAAATCGAAACCTACTTGACATTGTAAAGAATATGACCATGTAAATGTTGTCACTCTTTTCACTTTTTAAATCAAAAGCATGTTGTGGAGTTATCATACCTCTTCACAATTCCATATCCATGGCTTCCCATTACCAATGTAGGTTTCTCTACAGCTTCACACATGACATTTCTTGGATCACCTTCTATTACTTCCACACTCACATTATTCAACTGCACAACATTTTAAATTCAAAAGCAAATATTAAGATCTCAATATCTCTCAATGTTTTCAAGAGAAAAATGACCAAAAAAAACTGTTTTCATTTACCGATTTTTTCTTGCATAACTCCTGCACTTTCTGTATCATCCTAGTGTCTGCCTTCTTTAAATCAATCTCAACTAGCGGTATAACATCCGCAGTTGCTGCATTAAACAAAGTTACACTTAACACATTTTTTTAATAGTCAAGACTCAAGAATTGAGCTGTGATTTTTTATCGAAACGCCTTTTTTCAAAAGATAAAATCGTGAGAGCAGACCTCCGAGTTTCATGAGAAACAATATCTTATAACGGACCCGGTTTAACATTCCTTACATTAACACCCAAACATATTTGAACTTAAACTCAAAAACACAATAATTAAGTACGTAGATGTAATTTGCTTGATTGATATGAGAATCAAAGTACATTAGTTATATGTTCTTACCAGGTCCGCCAAGTCCAAGAACAGAAATAGCATGGGGTCGGGCGTGAATAACAAGGAGCTCGAAAGGATGGTTGGAGCCGAAAGGAGTGAAGAAGTGATCAAGGGTCCATTCCAGGGCGTACAAACTGTGCGAACTATCGTCCATAGCCACCAGCATGATTGGTTTCCCTTGAACCATTTTATTACAAAACTTTAAAAAATCCCAAATCAAACCTCTTGTTTTGTCCCGAGTTTCTTTGTTCTTTTACCTCTATTGGAACACATGCAATTGAGTGAGTTGCTGCTGCTGGGTTTTAAGCTTGTGGACTGGTCAAACCGGTCGCTGTTTTTGTTGAGGTTGTTGCGGCCGTGGACTCGGTTTCTTAATTACTAGACAGTTGAGAGAGCTTTAATTTTCCATATATGGTTACTTTTTAAAACATGTCATTAACATCACTGAAATTTGAATTGGCTTATTATGGCTTTGGCTTAAAAGCCTAAATGCTGTTTACCATCAACATTTATTTTCGTCCAATCAAAGCTTAATCCGGAGTGACATAAATATTTAAAAATTCAATTTGATAAAATTAAATGTTTAAAAATTTAATTGATTCAAAATAAAAAAAAAAAATTCATGATTTCCTTGATTGTAATAAAATATAAGGGACTTAAATAATTATTAAATTTTTATTTATTTTTTGACTTTTTTGCCAAAATAAAATTCTATATATATTACTCCTTCCGTCTTAAAATATTTATCATGTATTAATTTTTACGAAATTAAAAAAAAATTGATTTTAATATATTTAATATTAAATTTTAAATTTTTTTATAAAATTAAAGTTTCACAATTTTTAATATCAAAAAGTAAAAAAATCATAAAATATTTTTAAAATATAAAAAGATAAAAATTTTAGATATTCAAAAAATAATAATAATAATTTTGAAGCATCCTAAAAAAGTAAATAAAAAAATAAAACAGAGAAATTACGTATGATTTGCTTAATCTGATGCTTTGATATAACAACAAAGTCAAAACTTGTTGGCATAGTTAATTCATAATCTTACACAAAGTTATTTAGATAATGACCCATACCATATCCCAAGACATGGGATGTTGATGGGAAAATTAAATATTGTACTCTCTTGCCCAACTTATGCTCATAAAAAGAAAGATATGTAAACATCTTGATCCAATTCATAATTGAAGCTATGCGAATAGCAAAAATTAGGTCAATTAAACATTAACTTGTTTGTGCTTCACAATCTGATACTCTATTGTTGTTGTTGTCATAATTGCAGGATAATTAAGACTCAGAACTAGCAATTGATTTGAAACTCATAATTTAATTTAATTAATTTATATAATTATTATAAAATTTATATATAATAGATTTGAGATTCGTATCGTAACATTTATAATCTCATATTTTATTTTCAAAAGTATGGCTTTTAAGTAAAAAAAAAAAAGGTAATTGCTTGATTTGCGTAGACAATCATGTATTTTTTAAGTTGTTAATAATTAAATAGATAATCATGTATTACTCTTAAAAAATATATATGATAGATATGAAAATTTTAAATTTTATCGAGTTAAGAGGTTATCACATTTTTTATTAAGATATATTTAAAATAATAATAAGGTAACATAGGTTTAAAAAAAAATATGTGATAATATTTTAATTCCACTTATAAAATTTAAAAGCTTCACCGATTGTTTATAAACGAATAATTCTTAATCTTATATGACAAATTCATAATGTTAAATTTTGTCTTTGACCATTTTGAGCAAAATTTGAGCTTTGATTTTCAAACATATATTTATTATTGAATTAAATGTTCAAGTGCTATAATATTAATATTTTAAGTTTAAGTCCTGTTTCTTTTATTATAAAAAAAGTTTAAGCCTCATTATAGGATTAATATCATTCATCTTAGTATCCTTCCCCTTTTAAGGCAAGAAACAAATCCATCTTTGGAGGTTGAAGTTGCTCTACTTCCTAAGTAAGCCAAACAAATCTAGTTGATTAAGTTGATAAGCATGGGTTAAATCAGACAACATTATGAAAAAACCTCCAATATTAATTGATTTGATTTGATTAATGACTTACTACCATATAAAAAGCTTGTAACATCTCTATTGAGTTAATTTGCCATTTTATCAATTAATAATTACTACCAAATATTTGGTATACTAGAAATGATTTCAAATTAGCTAATTTGATCAAGAAATAATGCACTTTAATTCAAAATATATATATTTTACTAGTGAGAAGAGATAAAATTATATCGATGTAAAATAAATTATTTTAAACCCTATTTATAATTTTATATATAATTAATATTTTACAAATGATTATTAAATTTGATGATTTATTCTTATCTATTGTACATATAAAATCTTGAATCGATCTAATATTCTTATTATTTGGATTGGGAATAATATTTTTTTATATATATTATCGGTTAAAATTTTATTATTATCGAATTAATATAAGATCTATATGAAGAAAGCATAAAATTCAATAATCGAATTAACAAAGTATAAACTTATATAAAATTAAATTAATTTTAGATCCATATAAGCATATTCTTCTTTTTACTAATAACTCCTTGATAAACTTTATTATATCTCACCCTCACATGCTTTAAGTTAAAGCAATGATTTAAAGAAGTGTAATTCAAATCAAGTTAGGCGAGGTTAGGCTGCATTGAAAAAGGTTTTTTTTTTTTTTTTAGTTTGACCCACCTTGAGATCTAATCAGCCATCAAGCTTCTTCATGTTGGCCACAATGACCAAAACAACATACCTTAAAATAAAAAACATATTTCTAACTTCTAAGGCTAATAAATATTTTTTAATGGGTCCATTTAACATATATTTATAAATATTTATTTAATTTGTTATTATTTTAAAAAAAATCATTCAAAGTATTTTTTTTATCAAATTAAAATAAATGCATAAGGTTAAAAAGAAATATTTCAATGAATTTTATTTTATATGTATCACATAAAATTCACTTACTAAAAGACAACATGTTTCTTTTAACATTTAGATTGTTGTTGTCATTATTTCTTCCATTATTTTTATAGCAATCATTACACTATAATCATCATAAATATTTACATTTAGAAAAAAAATGTTAAAGAATGTGAGGTATTTGTTTAAATAATATTTGTAAAAAAATGTAATTAGTATATATTTTTTGAATTTGAAGAGAATTTCCTATTAAATGAAAAAAATATAAATCTTGTGAGAAATAGTTAATATACTATTTATAACAATGTATTGAAATTAATTTGATAATTTTAATACATTTGATAAAAATATTATTAAATATATTAATATTAAATCCAAAACTTATCTTAATTAATTTATTTACTATCCATAAAAGGTGGTATCCAGCAAATTTATGATTCAAAAAGCAATATTATATTCTCAAATTATAATTTTTTATATAAAAAAATAATGTACTTTAGACATTAGTAAAAATTTTAACTAATTTTAACAAGTGCTTATAAACCAAGATTATTAATATTGTACTAGACAACGTTTTGATTTTTTTTTTTAAATTAATATATGTTAATACCAATTGTTTAAACATATTATTTTCGGTTTTTCGATTTCATATAAATATATTTATAAATATACCTAAACTTTCACATAATAATACTAATTACAATATGTAAAATTAATATGCAATATTTTCAAATATCAAATAAATAAGTTTTATAAAAATTAATATCATCAATTTATTATGATATTTTTAAATACTTAATCTGCTCACATGATATTTAAATGAGTATTTTTTAATATAAAAATATATTAAAATAAAAATAAAAAGATAAAAAAAATTAACCTTAACTTCAAGATTCTTAAACCTTGGAGAAAGACCATTGTTGCTTTTTAAAAAAAATTAAAATAGATATGAACATTTATTTTGAAAAAACAAAGTTAAAAAAATAAAAAGAGTTTAAAGGTTTTATTTCATTCTTAAATTTTTATTTGGTAAAAAATAATTTTAAAAAATAAATCATAAAAATTAAAAACATATTTCACAATCATATAATAGTCAAAATTGGTTAATTAATTGAAATTCACTAAAATCAATTGAACCCAACAAAAAAATCAATATTATTTGATATCAAATCCGATAAAAAATTATCTTAAATATATTATATTTTAATATAATTGTAATGTATCGACCAATAATATGGTGCGTACTATAATGATATTAACAACACTCGTCAACCAAATCTTAAATTTATAGAAGGTGGTGCATCTTGACAATAACAAGCAAGGATTACTAAAAATAAGATCTCAGCTAGCTCTCATCATTTGAAGACCTCAAATCTTTACCAATTTATGCAAATACCCAAAACAAAAATGTAACGTGAGGAAACCTGTCTCTGCACAACAGAATTATCATTGGGTTGGAATACATGATGAGCAAGTCAGATAGATAGTATGGGACATGTTGGTTGTGCCCTGGCAAGATGATTCATACTGAGCAGTGCAAATTAGTGGTGCATGTGCTCAACATGAATTTTTATGAAGATTCACGTTCAATTTGTGAGATATTATTCATTTTAATTTAAAAATTTTATGATTTTATTTTACAAAAAATATCTCATAAATTTAGATTTGAATATATATATATATCATATCATATTCATATATTCTTCTAATATAAAATTAAAAATGTCATAGAATCAGAACCAGCTGTGGGTAAAATCCTAACATGACTGTCACATGTTACATGGAATTTGCTCAACCATCAACTTCAGTAAATTCTGACACTCTTCTTCTTGTAATAATGATTCTAAACTATCAAATTTGGAATTCAGCAGCTAAAAAGATACTTGTTTTCATAGCTCCATACCATGGAAACAATGGCAGCAGCCTGTTTACTTACATAACAAAACATGAATTAAAATACTAACAAAATGACAATTTGGTTGAATGAAATTTTCTGGATTGAGCGCGGTTAATTTTTTTGAGTAAATTTTATTATTTACTTATAATTTTTGTATTTATAATTTTAAAAAATCTTTTGAATTTATTATAAATTTATAAATTAACGTATTATAAAAATTTGATTAAAATTTATTAGTGTACAACGACGAAAACATCATGTGATAAATTTTGTTCATATATGCATCTAAATTCTAATAAAATATGGATGAATTAATGGATTCGAAACAAAATCATTAACAAAATCATTAATGAATTAAAGAATAAAAACTCATAGTTAAATATTTAAAGTTTCATTCAATTAGATATTTTATTTATTTTAACTAAAATCATTGCTAAGAATGATGACTTGGCTTTTAAAACCAATGATTAATTGCCAAATGTCACGTGAATGTTAGGCAAGCAAACATGGTAATGCCACATCATTACATGTAGATTGCCGTATCAATAATAGAAAAACTAAAAATTAAAAAAATAGATTTTTAAAAAACATTTCAAGAAAAAGAAAAATTACAAAATATATGAATTTAAAAAATTAGTTTTTTAAATGTTAAATATGATTTTTCATTAAAAACATATAAATTTTTTCAAAAAGGAATTTTAAAAATTAAAAAAAAAATCAAAAATTAAAAAATTTTGAAAAATCGAAAAAGAAAAAAAGAGAAGGGAAGTGGTCGGGATGGAGGACAGATCAATCGATTTGAGGAAGATCAATGTCATTTGCCTCGAACTAAGCAAATCGATTCTGATTGGACTTGTTGCAACCAATAGCGATTCGCTTGATTTGAGAAATCTCAACATCAATATTCTCGTATTTACCGATCGACGGTTGCTCGGCCATCTCCTTCCTTCTCTTTCTTTCATTTTTTTTTTTATTTTTTTCCCTTCTAATCTGTTTTTTTATATTTTTAAGTTTAAAATAAAAAACAAAAATAAAAATTACATAATTTGTGCCATAATTACACGGTGTTTTTGTCACATAAATGATTTTATTAAACAATTATGTCACATCATTTATTTGATTAAAATAACAATATTTAGATACTTAATTACAAATTTTTATTTTTTAGAATCTAATCTAAAAAAAATGATATAATTTAAAAGGACAAAAGTATATTTAACTCAAAACAAAATCAAATATGAATTACAACTTTCTTTAAAAGTACACGTGTTTGTACCTAAATAAAATAATTAGTTTATATGCTAATATAATTAATTAATTAATTATAACATAGGATATTTTTCAAGGATGCCGTCCATGCATTGACTAATTTGAATTTTTTTTTTATATCAAGAAAGTAAAATCTTAATACAAGTAAGGAGAAAATGGAAAATTAAACTCGAAATCAGACTCTTGATGTTTTCTTAAATACGTTAACCACTAGACCAAAAGTTTGGAGACAATTTTAAAATTTTAAAATTTTGGTATCTTCAACATGTATCAAACCAAATTGACCACCAAGTTTTTCATAATTACAATGACTTACCATCCATATAAATGATATATTATGGGCAAACTTAAAAAATATATTATGTGATTAAAGTAAAAATGAAAATATCTAATGAGATTTAAAACATGACACTTAATTACTCTATTATTTGTTTTATTTTTTTACTCAAAATTGTTATTTTTTATTTTTTTAATTATTTTATCTCAATTTATTTTTTTTTCTAATAATTCATTATTTCTCTTTCTTAAATCAAACGAATTCTCTCTCTAATGGTTTGATTTGATTTAATTTTAGAGAAATGGTTTAGTTTTAGAGGGAAACAATAAATTTGTCAATCCAAAAATTCAATCAAAGTTATTCACAGCAAACAATATTTTTAATTCAGTAAAGCCTAGATAATTGAGAAAATAGGGGCAAAATACAGACAGGCATAGGACCAAAAAAGAATAAATTTTGGGCTATGAGTAATCTCAAGCAATTCAACAACCAGAACTCATCCGAATTTTACAATACAAAATAAATAACTAGCAAGCAATTCAAAACCAAATTCCACAAAACAAACAGCAAAAAATCCACCAATAAAGCCTTAACATAAATCAACAATCGGTAAACCCAAAATCAGCAACTAACTAAACCCATAAAAGACCTATTTGACAATGTAAAATCAACAATCACCCATCAACAAGCAATCATAAACACACAAATTAGCAGTAAAATATCCACACAAAAAATCAAAAACAAAATAATAAGTTTTCATTATAAAAGTTTTTTATTTTTTTATTGTGAGGTTATTCTTTTTGAAGTTTTGAAGTAAAATAAAAAATATTTTTTAGAATTATTGAGTGGTGAACAGTGGCATAGATGATTTAAAAGGTTTTAGGTTTTGATCTGTGTTTTGGAGTGTTCAAATAAAGAAGAAAGTAATGGTAACTTTTATTAAATATTGATATTTTGTTGGATATTAGGCAAATAAAAAAAATGAAGAACAATGCCACATAAAGAAAGAAATAAGCCATGGTTGATGCAATGACGGAGCATGTGGTGGTTTTTTAATTGATTTTTGGGTTTTGTTCATAAGTTTAAAGCTAGTAAAGAGAATTGGAGAATACTTAGGGGTTTTGTTTGGTTAGAGAGAGAAATTGAAGATAAGTTAGAGAAAGAATTAATTTGATTTTAGAGAGAAAAAATAAATTTTTAGAAAGAGAATATGAAGTTAAAATGAAAAAAATTAAAAAATAAAAGGAAATGAAAAAAGTAACAATTTTGAGTGAAAAAACAATAAAATAAATTATAAGATAATTAAGTGTCATATTTTAAATTTTATGAGTATTTTCATTTCAACCTTAATCAAATGCTATATTTCTAAAATTTACCCTTATCTATTTATTTTTAGCATTTATCTTCACAATAAAATTTCTTTCATGTCTCATATCATTGTTAGTTGAAATGCCCACCAAAGTTTTCACAATTTATTGAAAAATATCTAAACCAATGAAACCAAAACAAATATCTTGTTATTTCCATATTAAAAGAATCCAAAGATATAAAAAAATTTTTTAGATTCATAATGTTCTTTTAAACTTTTAGTTTATCTAAAACATAAAATAAAATAAAATAAAATATTTCTTTTTTAAAAGGAATTCAATTCAAGCCAAAATCAAAATAAATTTCACTTAAGAATAAAATTTTCTAATATATTTTCAATTGAAAATTTAAATTCCACCAATAAAATTAAAAATTAATACAGATTCTTGAGATATATATTTAAAAAAATTATAAATTAATATAATAAAAAATGGTAATATTTTTAATTTAGCTTGTGAAAATTAAAAACTCTACCAATATGTATCAAATTATTATTCAAACTATAACACAAAAATTTTCAATAAAGGGCATTTTTGTCATCATGAAAAAAAAAACTGAAATAAGGGCATTTAAGTCTTGCAACAATTCAACCTAGCCGTTCAACAATTTAAAAAAAAAACCCAAGACGTTACCAAAAAAACAAATCTTACTGATCAAATTTTATATAATCTTAGTATCTCTCTCTAAATTTCATCCAAATTAAAAAAAAAAAAAAAAAAACCCTTGCCCTGTCTCTCACTTTGCTTTCAAATTTCATCGCATTTTTTTCATTTCTCTTGAGAGAAAGGGAAATGAAAGTTAAATAAATAAAATCAAAGCGACCGTACAATCGATTTAAATAATGGTTTCTGCTTTTATAGTTTTATTTCTCTTTTAGATCTGATCGCAGATCTTGAATCGCCAGCGTTTCTCTTCAATTTTTCCTCTTTCTCTGGTAATTTTTTATTTTTAAATTTTTTTATAATTTAAACGCGTGAATTTTCAGTGACATTTTTGCGATAGGGTTAATAAAATTGCAAGGATTATTGGAAATCGCATTTTCGAAGAATTTACTTTCATGTTTTACTTCGGATTCGGATTTTCTTCATTTTGCAAGTAAAATTCAGTTATGTTTTAATTTTTTAATTTTTAGTATTATTATTATTATTATTTATGAATTTTGATTTTGGAGGTTTTTTATTTTTTATGGTAGCGTTGATAAACAGATCTTAAAAATTGGCTCCGCAAAGGCGATCGCAGCGCCACATGGGTGGCCAGATGCAGCAAAGCAATGCTGCAGCGACGGCTTTATACGAACACGCCGGCGCTGGGTCCTTGCACAATGCGGGTCCCGCTGGCGATGCCGGTGATGCCGTTATGGCGCGATGGTTGCAGTCTGCTGGATTGCAGCATCTGGCCTCTCCGTTGGCTTCTACGGCCATCGACCAACGCCTCCTTCCCACTCTCCTCAGGCAGGTAACCAACGCTTTGCTTTGAATTTCCATGTGTATTTATTTATTTATTTATCTTTTCTGTTGTTTTCAATTATTACCTTTTCATTGCTCCATTCAGATGCATGCAATTTGGGTTGGGTTAATCATATTTTTAATTGCTTTAAATTTACGTTAGATTGTCAATTTTGATGAATTTATAGTGAACACGCTTTTTGCTTTTGCATTTTCATTAAGGGAGATGTTTATGAAGTTTGTGCATTGTTCTTCACCTAATCACATGTCGTTTTTGCAATTTGTATTCCATGCCGAGTTGATGGATTGTGTTTTTTTTTTTTTTCTTTTGCATGAAGTTATGAAAAATTCACTTTTAGTATTGAAAGTAAGGTGGTGAGCCTTTAAGAAAGTTGGAGTTCTGAGTTTATGGTTAGTTGATCTTTCCAATACTTGTTTCCTTATTTTTCCCTTGAGTTTATTAGTTTTTATTTCCTTTGGAATGAACTGTCTGTATTTTAAATACTTCCTCTTGTGGTTATTTTATATGTTTAAATGGGTTTACAATTTACATGTTCTGAGATAATGAGAAGTTACTATTACACTATTTGAAGGGTTATGAAGCTCAATCTGCAGAAGAGAAGCAGAGGCAATTCAAATTAATGAGGAACCTCAATTTTAATGGAGAATCTGGGTCAGAACCATACACACCAACTGCCCAAAATTCAGGAGGCCCAGCTTCATCTGATGGGTTCTATTCGCCAGATTTCAGGGGGGATTTTGGAGCTGGGCTTTTGGATCTTCATGCTATGGATGATACAGAGCTTCTGTCTGAGGTATGGTTATAGGGCAATGCACATAGTTTTGCAGGAGAGTTCCACAATTGTTGATTGCTTGAAGTTTAGATTGATTTCATGCAACTCTACTGTTTTTCTTTCACTTTTGTGGTGAAATGTTAAGGTATTTCTAAATGTTGTTCCCTTTTGATATATTTTTAAATTCAGTTGAAAATTTACTTCAATTTAAGTTTGGTGAGCATCTTTTTCCTTTCCTTTGGAAATAAATTTTGATTTGATTTATTTGCAGCATGTTATCTCAGAACCTTTTGAGCCATCACCATTCATTCCTGGTGTTAATAAAGCATTTGAAAATGAATTTAATGTGACAACTAGCTGGCAGCAAAAAGAGCAAAGTGATGCTGATGCCTCCGCTTCATTATTCTCTGCCAATGAAAAAGAAATCAGCCCAAGGGAAAATAATGTTGCTAAGATTAAAGTTGTGGTATGTTAATTTCTAGCCATGGTGCTTCATTTCTCTCTCATCTCTCACCCCACAATGGAGATGGGGACATCCTTTTTTCCTTGCTTAAATTAAAGTTTATGTTTGATATCTTGTTCTTGCTTTCATTGTTATCTTGCCTTGGTGTTTTATAATTTATTTTGGCTGGGCATAGTTGATGCTTGTATGCATGCATGCATGTTCATGACACAGTGTTATGTGCCTTGCTTTTTAAATTTCGAGGAAAGCTGAATTTTTGTCTTACATGTGGTATAAGGTACGTAAAAGACCATTAAACAAGAAGGAGATTTCTCGGAAGGAGGATGATATAGTAACTGTGAGTGATAATGCTTTAACTGTCCATGAACCTAAGCTAAAGGTTTGTCCCTTATTCACAGAAGTTATTGCAACATCATTATGTGTTCTTGAGATGAATATTTTAGAACTATTATTTTTGTGTGCTTGTTTGATATGTTGTCTTCTTCTCTTTCTTATATCTGTTTTGATTGTTATGTGAAAGGTGGACTTGACAGCCTATGTAGAGAAGCATGAGTTCTGTTTTGATGCTGTTCTGGATGAGCATGTTACCAATGACAAGGTAATTCTTAGTTGAAATCTATTGCCCTAGTGGTAGCCAAACATGGATTCTGAATAATTTTTCGAGTATATTATGACCAAAGTTCATCTTCTCTTTGTTTATTGATTTGTTAGAATAAAGATTGATTTCTTGTTTGTTTCAACAGGTTTATCATGTTACTATTGAGCCAATTATTCCCATCCTTTTTCAGCGAACAAAAGCCACTTGTTTTGCATATGGGCAAACAGGTGCATAGAGTTCCTTAAATTTTCTTCCTTAATGACACGTGCTGTATTATGTTCTATTTTTGTATGCTTGAAGCTATATTTATATTTATGGCCCTAAAATGAAAAGGCTATATTCATGTTAGAAGGAAAATTTACAACATCAAAGCCTACATGCATCTTGGATAGCACCTAGGCATCTATTCCTTTCAGTTTTTTCTGAACTATATGTTCTACATGAAGATTAAAGTGGTAGTTTTTGGTTCATTATTAGTTGTCAGAACTTCTAGGAGAATTGTATTTGGATGTGAAAAGTATAGCTCTCTGTTTGTTTTTTCTATTCCATTGTTTGACATTTGCTTATTTGACCTTATGCCTTATCAAGAACGTTCCCTTTGGTTTACATAGATTATTGATAGAGCCCAAATCATTCTTTAATATTCAAAGAGTTAGGAAGAAATTAGATTCTAGTGAGAACCATAATTGTTTCGTTAAATGATGTACATGTTATTTTGTTGTATTTTAAACATACGGGATGAAACTCTTTAGGAGGTTTAGAATTATTGCTAGAAAGTTGATGCGTATGATTGGCCTTTGGAATTTAGAGACAGTGTATGCTTGATTAGGTTGATGAGAGAATTAGTGCTAGGAGAACAACTAGTTCCTGAAAAAAGAGAACACTCTGTTCTAAACTAAAAAAATCACATGATAGTCATTTTCCCATTTTCCTTGGTCATTATTCTTGTTGCACAACTCCTTGTCTTTCCATTCCATGGTTGCATGGCATTGTTGCTAATTTCTGCACTGTATCATGGAATATATTTTTGATTTCAGGTAGTGGCAAGACATTCACAATGCAACCATTACCTCTCAGAGCTGCACAAGACCTTATTAGATTCTTGCATCAGCCAGTCTATCGCAATCAGAGATTTAAATTGTGGCTTAGCTATTTTGAGATATATGGTGGAAAACTCTTTGACCTTCTGACTGATAGAAAGTATTTTCCTTTTTTCTTTCCTTGCTTATTGATGTGTTCGTTTTCTTTTTTTATAAATTTTTGTTCTTTAAAAGTACGTGGTTGATTTATGATGTGTAATGACTTTGAAATGTCTGCTGGTCTGACTGTCTATTAAGCAAATTTGTCCTATGTCAAGCACACATTTTTTCTTTCGACATGTATCTCTAGGGTACATGTGGATGCATATACATATTAATAACAATTAGATCACTGAATAATCTAAATGTTCTCGAATAGGAAACTTTGTATGAGAGAAGATGGGAGACAACAAGTCTGCATTGTTGGACTGCAAGAATTTGAGGTGTTAGACGTGCAAATTGTGAAGGAATGCATTGAGAGGGGAAATGCCGCTAGAAGCACAGGATCTACTGGTGCAAATGAGGAATCTTCAAGGTCACATGCTATTTTACAACTGGCCATCAAGAAGCATCCTGAGATAAAGGAGTCCAAGCGCAACAATGATGGGAATGAGTCTAAAGGTGGGAAGGTTGTGGGAAAGATTTCTTTTATTGATCTTGCTGGCAGTGAAAGAGGTGCAGACACCACTGACAATGACCGGCAAACTAGGTAAGTTTCGAATTTTTCTGTGGGTAAAAAGGGTGCAGAAACCTCTTCCAAAGGTCTATATACAGGTTTGGCTTTTTCTGCCAGCTTGTTAACTGTCTTAACATCATTATTTTCTCCCCATCGGGTTCATTTTTGGCTTGTTCTGATATCACCGGTTTGAATTGTTGCCAGGATTGAGGGTGCAGAAATTAATAAGAGCCTTTTGGCTCTTAAGGAGTGCATTCGTGCTCTGGACAATGACCAGATCCATATACCATTTCGTGGGAGCAAACTCACTGAAGTGCTCCGTGACTCTTTTGTTGGTGACTCAAGGACAGTTATGATCTCGTGTATTTCTCCAAATGCAGGTTCATGTGAACACACTCTCAATACTCTGAGATATGCTGATAGGTATGTTTGTTTCTATAATGGGCCTCCACAAAAAGGACTTCCTGTGTTGCCGTAGATTGAATTGTTGTACTTGACTAAATAAATATTATTGTTATCCAATCAACAGGGTTAAAAGTCTTTCCAAAAGTGGTAATCCCAAAAAGGATCAGGCTGTAAATTCTTTACCACCAAGTAATAAGGATGCTTCTTCAGCATCTTCTCTGTCAGCTACTGCAGATGTAGAAGATGCTTATGAGCGACTGCAAGAAGTAAAAGTTGTTGATACAGGTCGAAGGGCTGTAGAGAAAGATGTTTACACTGTTGACTTTGACAACCAACCCTCAACTTTTTTGCCAAGTTACCCTTTCAATGAGAGGGAGGAAAGTGGAATGGTTTCTGGCCCAACAGATAGGGAGAAGTTTGAAGTGAATAATTCTTATGGTGGTTCTACAAATCGAAGAGTTTACTCATCAAATTTTCAAAATTCAGCTGATACAGAAGAGAAAGTGCAGAAGGTATCACCACCTCGTAGAAAAGTGACAAGAGAAGAAAAATCGGAGAAGACAGGGAATTGGACCAAGACAGATGGAGGGGGATCTGATTTTTCCTCTATGAACATTAGGCTGGCAAATGCTGTTAATTATAAGAACAACAATAATGTTGGACGAAGACAATATGATCCTGAGCCTCCCTCTGATGGGAATATTGATGCAATACTTGAGGTATGCCATCATCAATATGTTTCATTTTGTTTTATCATAGTGGGGGTCTTAGGATTTTCTTCATTCTGTGTATATTTATGGTTTGTTGCAGGAGGAAGAGGCTCTGATTGCTGCTCACAGAAAAGAAATTGAGGATACAATGGAGATTGTTCGTGAAGTAAGTAAACTTGCACTTGATCAGTGGTGAAAATTTTTCGTTTTTGAGTACTTATGTTATAAGGAACCTACATTCATTATACTTGGCAAGGAATTGAGTTTGCCATCCTTGCTCATCAGTGATTTGCAGAAAGTCAACTACTTTTTGTGGTGGATTTAAGTTATTTTCTGTGACATGCTCCCTCTGAACTATGCTACTAAACCCACGGGAATAAGCTGGAGAATATCATTTTCTTTTTTTTTTCAAATATTTATGCACCAATTAAACCATTGTTCATCTTGTTTTGCGTCTATCTTAACAGGAAATGAAGCTTTTGGCAGAGGTGGATCAACCAGGCAGCCTCATTGACAACTATGTGACCCAGCTGAGCTTTATGCTTTCACGCAAGGCTGCTGGTCTGGTCAGCCTTCAAGCTCGCCTTGCCAGGTTCCAGCATCGACTGAAAGAGCAGGAGATACTGAGCAGGAAGAGAGTTCCTCGTTAAGGCAACACATTGTTCTCTGCATCAGACCCTGTCCTGTAATTTCCTCTCTCATGTAGATTGTTGTGGCACTATTTGTCCTGATGGACATTTAAAATAAGAATTGCTAAAAATGGATAAATTGTCTCTTTTAAATGAATCTACTCGGTTCTGGCAGTCAATGCATGGAGCTATTTTAGGGTCTTGAGAGGAAATTAAGCAATGTACAAATCTTGGTCTCGTTCTTGCAGGCATCAATGTTGCTGTTCACATAATGTTTCCTGCTGATACAATAGCAATGGTGATGATTCAGGTGCATCCTTATGTGATCCTTTACTTGTCAAAATGCATTGTTTAGATGAACCTCAAGTGTTCTTGTTGAGATTGGTATGGATTTGTGGCCTTCTTTTTTCAGTTGTGACAAAGGAAATGTTTTCCTATGTCATTCTAGGAAAGGAGAAAAAGGAAAATAGTGTTTTTTTTTCTCTTTTTCCATTTACATTTCTTAAAAAGTATTTTTTCTTTCTCACCTCAAAAGCAACTTGTGCATGTAATATTCTAGCTTTAAGAAATATGAATGTTTGTTCTTAATAAATTGCGAGTTATGTCAAATGAAATATTTTGTATGCAGCTCAAATTTTGCTCTTTACAGTCATAAAAATAAATTTTTATGATAAAAATATTACTAAAATTATTTTTTAATTTTAGTATACAAAAGGGAAATGATATGGGAAGATGTTCAAAGAAAGAGGAGAGACCTTTGATACAAGCAAAAACCTATTACTTTCCAAGACATCTACTCTTCAGAAAATTGTGCTGCCTTTCCCTACATCCCCTGGCTTGTATTTATAATTAAAGTACTATTCCAACTCCCTAGTAAATGCCTTCTTAGTAGCCAAAACTACACAAGCAGGGATACCTGTACAAACAACAATTATAACAAACTAAATCTTATATTTCGTAACTCTAAAGTCTGGCTGTATAAAAGACCAAAAACACGCATACCTGTAAAAAAAAAAAAAAAAAACCTGAAAATGCGGTGCCACTGTGTATTCGCACTTTCAATCAATCAGCTCTCAATCTCAGAATTTCCTTGGCTGTCCTTAAACGAAAATAGGGCATGTGTTCCTACAAAAGCAGGGAAAATCACTACTCAGTTCAAAGACGACATCAGATCATGATTTGCTTTAAACTCCAGAAAAATGTCTTCTCTGCAGCAATCTGCATAGGAGCAGTCTGGATGCCTCAGTAAAGAAATTCTTCAAATTTTTTCTCCACAATCAAAGATGAATAATCAGACCTCTTGTTGCAAACATAATGTGTGTGCATGTGTGAACATCATTAATATGTGCTTCTGCCTCTCCTCATATATTGGCAGATGGAAAACACATTTTACATCCCAATAACTATCGACATAAGTACTGCAATTTAATCACAGAACAAATGATATAAAAGGAGAATTACAAGCATAAGAAATCATTCTCTATGGACTTACCTGGACAAAATAAAGACCTAAGCCTCTGCTATAAAAGTCGATATATTTTAACATAAACATGCCACAGTCAAACCTGTACATCAAGAAAATTGTTTAGGGAAACAATTCAAATTCTATTAGAAAAGGCACATGACACCATCAAACTAGCAGTAATAGGAGCACCCTGGGGGGAGATAATGTAAATACTACATTAATTTGGGTCCATCAAATATTTGGAACCAATTGCCATACAGGGTTAGTACAAAAAGGATCAAATACCTATAAAGCTACCATACATTAAATTACTTAACGGTAAAAGTTATTTCTTCATGCAATAAGCTTAAGAAGAATTCTGAGCATTGATCTCTAAAACATGACTGCAACAAATATTGGAATACACACCCATTCTCCTGCGCGGGAAGGTCTTCAACATATTCTTGTTCCCAAGAGCTTATATCGATGTGCTTTCCACTCTTGTCCCTCACTTCTTCAACAAAGTATTTTGCCTGTCACATAACAACCAATATTAAACAAGTTTTGCGGAGCTGCCAAAAATCATATATGTATTTCCTCTTTGATGATATTCTTTTATAGGGCGAAGAGTGGGAAGGGTGACCTGGAAGCAAAAGCAAACCCTATTATCATGAATTACATGATAAAGTTTTACAGCATAAAGAATTAGCCAGGCAAGGAGTCTTGCAATTAACAGGATCTTAAACTCCAAATCCTCTTACATTTAAACTACATAATGCACTTTGAATCAATTAATTACATGCATCAAAATAATATGACATCTAAAAAGAAAAGCATCTCACTGAAAATCATACCACTGCATTCAGCACTTTGGCATCTCTTCCTTTTAGTGAATCCAGATATTGGAACTTCTGATCTTTCTTATTGATAACTGCCAAGCACCAATGTATATCTTTGTGTATGGGGACAAATATCTAAGCAAAATGGAATAATTGATTTAAGGATAAATACAATGTTCAATCATGCAAAACAAATGATTAGAAAGAAAAGATAAAAACTTACTTTATCACAGTCAAATAGGCAGTACCCCAACTTCCTTTGTGAAGTCCATCTTTTGACGGCTCTATAATTATAGCCACTCTCTGGACTCACTAACTAAGCATCACAATTCAGAAGGGAAAACGTAGTTTAAAACTGATAGTTACAAAGACTTACATGAAAGAGCAAAGAGAGGAAAGCAAAAATTGAAGAAGGTACAAGAGCAAGCAACTACCTTTTTATAGAAGAAGGTGTTGAAGAAATGGCATTTCAAAAACTTATTCGGCTCTCTGTTTTCCCTTTCTTTCAATAATTCAAGATAGAGATTAATGACCTATAAAAGAGAAATTACGTGTGTGTTAAAACCAGATTACCAGCTCACTTAATTCCAGTATGCCCGAATTGAATGTGGACAAATTAACAAATCCTTCCAGTGATTACCATCTGCAGATACACAACACAGTATACAAAACTGAAAGTAAATGAAAATGACCTCATCATTCAACCATGCGCCTGGTTTCAGACATTGCAAAACTTCTCCTCTTATATTAATGCTTGAGTTCTCATGGGAGACCAATATCTTCTTCCTGCAAAAGCAAGTCCAAAAAATGTTATAGCACAAGTGACATCCAATCAAATGATCAAATACTAAGACATGCATTATTACTTATTAACTACCAGTTTTTTGCAGAAAAAGTATGGGAAACCTCAGCCATCTCCTCCTCTGTAAGAGGGATAAAAGGTTCACGAGGTATCACCTGAAATTCGATCAATGACAATGTTAATGCCAATCATTCTAAACAAAATGCAAATGCAACTCAATTAAAACTAAGCAAGCAAAACAATTTCACCTCTTCTGGCTCGTCCTCTAGTTTCTTCTCAGGTCTCAATGCTTGAAGTCCAGCTATACGCTTCTCATCTTTCAACTTGCTACTTCTCCTATCTGCACTCTTCAGCAACTTCTTATAAGCTTCTAAATCATACACATTGGAAACCTCCTGATTCAATGATAACATATCCAACGCATTCTCCAATCTCAAACTTCCATTATTCAACTCAGTAACCACAGATGAAGATGATGGCTGAATATGCCTCTCTTCCTCGTCCACATTGTTCTTCCTTTTCTCAGTAACCTCAACTTCTTCAACACTACAATCATCTGAAACCACCTCTGTTTCTTTCTCCTCATCATCCTCCACAAAAATCACTTCTTTTTCCTTCTTAAAGTACCTCAGAGAATCGAAAGCTTGCCTTTTTGCTTTACTCAATCTACGAGTCAATAAATCACCCATACAGCTTTTAACCTAATCCTGATTAGGATTTGAAACTGATAACCCAAATTTAAGGTGTCTGACAGGAGAGTGAACTTCTCTAGGAAAAGGAAGCTTAGCTTCTGGATAACAAGAGATTCTCGTAACAGTGTCGTTCAAGGATAAAATTGCCTTTTCTGGGCTTTGACTCATTAAATAAAATCTGGGTTTTTTTAGAAAGTTGAAAATCTAGGGAATTTGAATACAGGGCTTTGCTTTTGTGACTGAAATTGGAATTGAAATATTCATCAGCACCGCGTTTACAATTACTCACTAAAGCACCCATTGATGAAATTTACAACTTAAAACCCTAAAAACTCAATGCCCATTTAAAGAAAACTAATAAAAAAAAAAAAGATTTAGGAGGTTAGGGTTTCATGTAAAAACCCCTAAAGCCTATAAACAAGAATAACGGTTATTCAAGTAAAATGTTGAAAACCCAGAACTTGAAAGACCGAGATATATCAAAACCGCATTAAAAAGGTAAGATTTTTCTCCGACTTAAAATGCCATGAAATGGGAAGAGAATTGATGGACAAGGCATTTGAAAAGAAATTTGAGATTTAGTGCAAAAAGAAAAATTGAACAGAGTTATTGCCTTTTTTTTTTTTTTACATTTTGCATTTTATTAGCATGCTATTAATGAATTCGCGAAAAGGCCAAAAAGCTGATAAAAATAATTTGTTTGACTTGATTTTTTTTTATTTGAGACTTTTAAAATTCAATGTTGATTATTGAAATTAAAATTTTTTTATACTTGAGATTGTAAAAAATTAACTGCTTCACTGGTCACTGCCTCTCGTAATTGCATTTTGATTGACTCGAAATTAAGAAATTTGGAGATAATTTGCTATTCAATTCAGAAAAAAAAGAAGAAACCAGTTAATTTCAAGTTAATGAACCACAGAAAATTTTGTAGCATAAATTCTTGAATTCAGCATAGATTCCATTGGGAAGTGATACAAAGATTTTTTTTTTTATCGAAAAAAATTTAAGAACAGAAGAGGTAATTTTATTTTTAGTTAGGGGAAGTCGTTAATTCACAAAAAAAAAATATAGAATTTTTAAAATTTTTTGACTTTATAAATTATTTATTAATAAAATATTATAAAAATTTAAATTTAGATATTTTATATTCAAATCCTAATCCTTAATTACTTGTGCCAATGGAAACAAAAATTTCATTTCTATACTTTATCGTATTTCAATTTACATATAATTGAAAATAATCCACTGATAGGGTCTTTGATGAACCCTACTTTCTTTCATTTAGTATGAAAGTAAAACGACGAGTTTTGCTTAAGTTAAGATAAAAAATAAATAAATAAATTCTAGAAAACGAGAAGGAAACAATAAATTTATATTTACACATACATTGAAAATAATCTCCTTAAAAATGATCAAATTACCATTTTTATTGTTTGATAATAAATTGATAAGTGTTTAAATTAAATTTTATATCCTCATATTATAACTACGAAAATATCATTTCTCTTATAATTATTTACTATAATATTTTCATGTTATAATTATGAAAATATTTTTTTTTCTTAAATCGATATTATGCTCTTATATCATAATTATAAAAATATTCATTTTTTATAAATATTTACTATAATACCATTGTACTATAATTACAAAAAATCCATTCTCTTATTATTGAATTACAAAAAATCTTTCTCTCATAATTAATCAAAATTATTATAATATTTTTTTATCATAAGTATAAAAATATTTGTATGAATGCTTAATAAGAAGTTGATATATGATATTTTGTTTCAAAATCAATAATATATATTAAAATAATCATCTTGATAATGATTATAATTACCTTTATTTATTTGATATGATACATGTATCCAAATTTACTAAAATATCTTTTTACGATAATTACAAAAATATTTATCTTCTTATAATTAGTTAAAATTATAATAATATCATCTTACTATAATTATAGTAATATCCCTAATAATAAAATTGGCTAAAATTATTACAATACTTTTTTTATCAAAATTACAAAAATACCCCTATCATAATTGGCTAAAAATTACTGCAATACCTTTTATATCATAATTATGAAAATACTTTTATGAATACTTTATAAGAAGTTGTCACGTGACATTTTGTTTCAAAATTACCCTAATAATTCTATTAAATTATATATTAAATTTTAACATAATATGAAATTAATCACATTAAATTATTAAAATATCATCGTCATTACTTTATAAAAATTTGAAATGTGACATTTTATTTAAAATTTACTGTAATACTCTTATTAAATTACATATAAAATTTTAACATAATATAAAATTACTCACATATTAAAATACTAAAATACCCTTAACTTTGTTTCATAAAAGTTTGATTTGTGGAAATTTATTTTAAATTTACTTTAATACCCTTATTAAATTACTAATAAAATATTAAATAACATATATTAAAACAATTCCTATGAAAATTATTATAATATCCTTTTATTTATTTGTTATGATTTTAACACATGCCCAAATTTACTATAATGCTTTTCTATCATAATTATGAAAATATTTTTTTTATAATTACTCAAAATTATTATAATATTCTCCTACTATAATTATAAAATACTTTCTTATTATTATATTTGACCAAAATCACTATAATACTTTTCGTAGCATACAAAAATTTCTTTCTTATCATAATGGATTTAAATTATTATAATGTATATTATACTATAATTATGTAAATGCACTTATGTGTGCCTTTTAAGAAGTTGACATATAATATTTTATTTTAAAATTATTATAATATCTTATTAAATTATATATTAAAATTTAATATAATATAAAATTACTAAAACATCTTTACTATAATTTCTAAAATTTGATATTTGATATTTTATTAAAAATAATCAAAATTAAATAATTGAAATAGATAATTATAATTTACATTAATAAAAAATAAAAAATTTATATTTTAAAATAAAAAATATTTAACCCCGACAAAAGTGGGGACTGACGCTAGTGATAATGTAAAAAGGAATCATGTGAAAATAAGATAATTAGAATTGAAAAAAAAAAATTGAACTGCATTAATTAAAAGAGTGTGAAAAGTTAAATATTAATTCAGAAATTTGAGAAAATTAAGGGGGGCAAATAGAAAGCAATAAAAAGTTTTTGCCCAAAAAGAAAGAAATAGAAATCTAGGGTAAAACTTTACATTTGGAAAAGGGAAAAGCCACCCCTCCTCGCCCCCTGGCTCGTCAAACAGAACCCTCGCAGAAGCAGAAACTGTAGGAGGGCGACAATGAGTTAAATTCAAAGGTGTGTCGTTTTCCCACTACTTTTGCTGAATTTGCTGATTTTAAAGTTAAGTTTCAGTCTTGGATGATCGGATCCATGTTTTGCTCTTTCTGCAAAACACAAATCTACATTAGAGGTGGAATTTCCAGGATTTCACCTACTTCCCAATGTCTCATCTTTCTTCAAAACCATCCAATGATTCCATTAGCTGCTAGATATGTTTCAAGGATTGCTAGCAATGAACAATCTTTTACAGCTTCTTATCTCATAAACTCTTATGGGTTCTCTCCAGAATCTGCTTTATCAGTTTCCAAAAGAGTCCACTTTGAAACCCCCCAAAAGCCTGACTCTGTCATTAGCTTCTTCAAGAACCATGGCTTTTCACAAACCCAAATCAGAAACCTCATTCAAAGAAGACCCAAATTGCTTTTGAGCAATCCTGACAAAACCCTTTTGCCTAAATTTCAGTTCTTTTACTCCAAAGGGATTTCAAGCTCTGACCTTGCAAGAATCCTGTCTTCTAACCCCCTTGTGTTGGCAAATGATTTAGATAAACGCATCATCCCCAATTTCAATTTCATCAAGGATTTAACTCACTGTGCTGATGATAAGGTTTTTCTAGCCTACAAGCATTGGTCAGGCATTCTTACACGTAATTTACAGTCTGTTTTTGCTTGTAATCTTGCAATTCTGCGAGAAATTGGGGTGCCTGAATCAATTCTTTTGGCTGAACTTATTGTCCACCCATCAATCTTTGCTCACAATCATGATAAGTTTAGAAGAACTACAGAAGAAGTAAAGAAATTGGGTTTTACGCCCTCAAAGCAACTTTTTCTTGTAGCTCTTCAAGCTTTGATGCAAAATAGCAAATCAACATGGGAAAGGAAATCCAATGCTTTTAAAAAATGGGGTTGGTCTGATGAAGATATTTTTTCTGCTTTTGAGAAGTATCCAAGGTGCATGATTTTTTCTGAGCACAAGGTCGCATCAACAATGAACTTTTACGTCAACACAATGGGCTGTAAATCTTCATATATTGCAAACTGTCCGGTTCTTCTTTCATATAGCTTGGAGAGGAGAATTATCCCTCGGTATTCGGTTCTTCAGGCTTTATTATCCAAAGGTTTGATTGAGAAATTCAGTGTTCATTCTATAGGGTGTACCGAAAAGAAGTTCCTCCAAAGGTTTGTGACCCCTTATGAGGATCCTTACTTATTGAAACTATATAAGGAGAAGCTAGGGCTTTCAGAATAGATAGTATGATGTAGATGCTAAAACTGAGCCAATGAGAATTTGCCTGTCATTTTTGAAGGTCAAGTTTATCTCTCTAATCTTCTTTTGTCTAGCATTGACAATATTGGTTTAATTTTTTTTATCCGTTAATTGTTCAGTAAAGTGATCAACTATCTTTTCCACATCTTTGCTTAATTTTACTATGCGTGCCTTTTAAAGTTCAAGAAGAATAGTGGCTGAAATCAGGATCTGTCTTACAATCTGGACAGACTGGTATTAATGATCTTGCCTTCTATGAGATATGCTGGTGCTACCTTTGTTATTCATAAATGCAATTTCTTTTTTGGCTATATATGCCTTCCATGAAAGATAGTAAAGATGGAGATTGATGCATGAAATAATTGTTGTTTTCAACTTAGCTGCTTATTGTTTGTAGTGGAAAAGCTTTATTCCTTTGTTAACCATATAAGAAGAAAAAAGATAGTCAAACAAGAATTACAATCGATGACAACTAGAAGTGCAAGGGACAATGGATCTCAGGTTTTAGTTTCTTTCAATATCATTGCCCCATTGCCCATTGCCCGGGCAACTCAAACGGGCAAGAAGAGAAAAGATGCTGCTTTGTAAACCTGAAGCAGAGGAAAAAGTATCAGCTATTTATGCTTTCAGATGAAAATGCTGACATTCTTGTTTGATTTCAGACAAGCTGCACAACAGCAGCTACTCTCGAGGCCCCATTTTGAAGATGAACAAGCTCATCAAACAACAGAGCTGTCCGCCATCCCCACCCCTTGGAAGCTTTTGTTAAAAGAGTTAAAACATGGCGATGGTTATGAGATAGAGGAAAAGAATTCTATTATGGGCAATGATGCTAATCATGCTTCTCAAACTGTACCAGTCCCTTTGCTTAACATGCTCCTCCCTCCTTCGTTTGGTGGGGATAACCCTACTTACCGTTACCGGTTTTTGGATTCTACAACTCAGCTTCTCATGTGGCGGGCTTTGATCGCCCAGGCTTGGGATCATGAGTTTGGGTATGATGGTGTGCTATAGCTGGTTTTCTTCCTCGGGTATTTGCTGTTCAAATCACAAAGGATAAAAGAGAGTTCAATATCCATTTGTATTCCTTAGTCTCTGCAAAACATGGAGAGAAAGGATCTATAATGGCAGGATTCGATATCCACTCTGTTGGAAAACACCTTGCTTACATCTTCAGGGGCGAAACAAAATTCAGAAATTTCAATATGAACCAAACACCGTTTTTTACGATCAGCTTAAACTCAAAACCAGGCACTTTCCTATCGCATTGGTCTAACGGCCAGCCAAATCTTAGTTCTGCTTCTTTTCTTCCAATTGCTGCCTCCATCTTGCGGATGATCTATCCTGGCTCTGATTTAAAAGTTCTGCATACTAGCATTTTCATTATTAGGGGGCCACTACAGCCCTTAATGGCTCTAAATTTTTAGTTCGGCTACCTTAATATATTTTAGCAACCTAGTAGGTATTCTGAACTGAAACTTCAACGAAACAGAACCTACTTTTTTTATGGTTTTGAGCAACCTTATTCAATGTGTAAATTACTACTTATTTTGCACTAGGACAAGATTTGATTATTAAACTGGTTAAATCATTATAAAAATGGTACAAGATCCCGCACAGCCATTCAAACAATAATAGTGACACAAATGACTAGAGGTGTTAAAAGTAAACCATGATGACTAATGGCGAAACCCTAGCAGTTACCAGGGTAAAAGCAATATTTATGTTACAAAGACATTACCGTTAAATCCTTGTCTCTGAAATTCAAATATTTTTAATCTGCTACTTATTGGAGCTGAGCCCCTGAATTTTCTGATGGTTGCTGCAGCAACTCGATTTCCTCTATAAATCATCAATGTGGATCTGTTTATCCGGTTAAAAAGCAAACCATTGAATACGGCTTATGAATAGCAATGAGATTTCTATTCATGCTCCTGATAATTCAGAGATGCATGTAATGCACTCCTGAAATTAGCTAAAAACCATTTATCTTAGATGACTAATAAATCAGATTCGAGCTGACAGGATAATATGCTGATAACTTTGAGCATTATGGGCGATCACGTGAAGTCGGCCAGTTATTTCTTGCCCAGCCATAACATAAATTGGCTGAGAAACGACACATCGTATCTGGTACCAAAGGGTTGTAGGTGCACCAGGGGCGGAGGTAAGCCATCTTTGCACAATACTGTTGATAAAGCAGTTCAACAGCAGTTGGATTGGATGAAACCACAAATCTGATGAAAATGCGAAATTTGAAAATATTATCTCCCATTAAACAGGACATCAAACCAACAAGCCATCCCATGCACTCTAGTCCCCACAGATGCTATGAATTTCAATGGAATATCTATTTCATACAAGTCCTCTTCCTGCAAAAAGAATGAACAGCCTCTTGACTACACATTTTACTAATAACCATCAAAAGTTGTCGACTATATTCAGAGAAAGGAACTTTAAATCAAACAGCTATGGTTAGGTGAAAAATATTGCACCATGCAGAAAAATGGTCTTCATGTCCCATGGACATTAAAATCAACCTACAAGCCTGCAACAAGCCAGCAACTAAAACAAGCTTTCCCATGAACAGAGTTCTACAAAGCAACCAAGGATCAAAATATAGATCATAATGGATGCTACAGAATATGATGCAAGCAGGAAAAATAAGTTTATTGTCTTGGAAATTCATATTCAGGTCCAAAAGTACAAATGCAAATACAAGATACAGAACTTTGATTCAAGGAATATGACATGAAATTTACTATAAGAGACTAAATAGTTAATCAAAGGCGTGAGTCAGTGGACTGATACCTTTATTTCATTGAAGTCAATTACATGGCACATTGGAGGAGACACCAATAATCTTGGATCAAAAGCATCCACAACAGGCTGTATAAAATAAAAAGGCATTCCATTGAAATTTAGTTGAAACAGCATGCAACATCAATGGAGTAACCATAAACACATGAAGGAAGACCAGTATGGCAGTTGCCAAAGAAATTTAACAGGCAAGTATTGAGAAAACCAATGTAAACCTTGAAATTTAGTGATGATTCTATAGAAGTGCCACATTTTCTCTCTAGAGAAGCATGTGATGGTGTACAAAACAAACCTGAGAGAAGTAACCTTGGAATGTGGACCCATATAACGGTGTGAGATCTACATCATAATAGTTTTGTTGCTGCCAAAAAAGGGCCTGCAAGTTTTTCTGGGTTAGGGAGGAAAAGATAGAGACAATGCAAAATTAAATGGAACAGTATGAGAAAATTTATAGCAAATCAAGGAATGCAGAGCGGGACACTGTCTGAGCAGTATAATTTATGAAACACACAATGAAAAGAAAACATTGTGTTTGACAGCATTACCATGCATACATATATAAAATGTTTCAAGAGAGTCTCTGGTAGCAAACCATACAGTTCGATAAAACTGCTAACAAAGAATGGTCTTCTGATAAAGCAAAGTCTGAAAACTAAGCATCTTTCACTTACTTTTGTAAATATTATAAAACTCCCCTTAGAAAACTTGTGAAATCTATAATAAGGTTTTTAAAGAGAAAAATATTGCCGGGTACAAAAAAAAAAGAGAAAACAATGCCCTGGAAATGTCTGACATGAATCATTCACTGGAAGAATAGAAACAGTATAAAACAATTTATACAGCCAACTACTTTGTAAGTAATTCTCTTAATGAGACGGGAGGAAAAAGATTCACGCAAACAAGTCGTGAGATGTCTTAAATCAACTTTCTCCAAAGACATATAAATTTATACTGGCATGTGTAACGATGCATATATTACTCCAGTAAAAAAATGTCAAATTCATACCTTATTTGCAATTTCAACAAATAAATATTCATCGCTGAAAGGTGCCATATGTATCCTACAAGATTAAGACAGCATTAGACTAACTCAAGGAAAAAGACCTTAAGCATTTTACAGCTTGATGATCAAGCACAAATCAATGAAATTAACAACAGGAACACAAGACATCTCTAATATAAAAGGGGAAAAACTATATGAAGTAAAACAATTAAATTAGTAACCAAGAGGTACCACCAGAAGAAGGCATGACAACAATCATAAAATTGCTTATAATTTAACCGGTTAAGCATGATAATTCGTTAAAAAGAACTGGTAAAGTAAGACCAACAGACCAAGGAATTAAAATGCATGTCTTCATTTAAAGTGAAAGTCCTGAAAGCATTGGGAAAATATTATCTGCAAATCAAAAATCATTTATCTACCACATGAGAATCAAACAGATTCAGTATAGTAACTTTTACCTTCCAATTGAAGGAAACATTTTCCCATTAGGCATAAGAAACCGATCTCTTGCAATTATTGTCAGGGAACACCACAGCTCTGATACCATTTGTTAGGCTAAAAGCCTCCAATTCAATCACACCAGCAGAAGCGAAATCAAACAATAAATCAAACACATAAGAGACAACAATTTAACGTGGTTCAGTCCAATTGACCTATATCCACGGATGAGAAAAAAGATCCACTAGTTGTAGAGAATTACAAACTTACATCAAATCATCAACCTCAGTCAACAATCAATACTCATAAGACACTCTCAATCTCTTCTAGTCCTATGAAGTATTCTCAACCCAAACAAACACAAACCCAAACCCTTGTGCACCATTTCAACATAACCAAACACATACCCATATGCTCCCATACACCATACCTATGTGGACCCTCTCAATCTCCTTTAATCCACTCACAAACAAACATACACACCCATAAGACGTAGAGCCCCAATACTCCTATGAGGTGTCATCCCACAAAACTCTACAACTCTCTTACATCTTTTTCTCATATCTAACCCTGTGAGACTTCACCTATTTATAATCATACAAACTTGCCCATTAAGAATCTCTCTCCTCTTAGAATTCTTCTCTTGTAAGTCAAACTTGTTTATTAAGAATCCCTTTCCTTTTAGAATTCTTCTCTTACAAGTCAAACTTACTTATTAAGAATCCTCTTTCTCTTGGAATTCTTCTTTTGCAAGTCTTCTTGTCCATCAAGTAATATCTGAAAAATCTCTAACAAATCTCAAACAAATCTTTTATTGGATTTGAGTCAATATTCCCAATAATTATGTAGGACTCCAACATTCTCTCATTAACTAATAAGGTGCCTGCAAGTGACACAAAAATCAATTAAAAAATATTGCTTCAATGACAAGTAAGCAGCAAAATTTAAACATCCACAAAATAATTCATCACATATTCAAAGCATTTTTATTTTTCATATTCTGACTGAAATAACTTCATCTCCATGAGAATAAAGCATGGATAGAAGCATCAGTATCATATGATTTTCATCATCACACATAATGACAAAAGCAAAGCCTCACACACCAACATACCCATTGGTTCAGAGATCAGAATATCTACCTCCTCGGGCAACTCAACTTCTTCAACTTTCCTTTGATTGCCTATATATTGTATGCCATTTGTAACCAAACAAATTAGAAACCAGGTCAATCTAGATATTAGAGACAATACCAATAACATGACAAGACAAGCACATACAGTAATCCGTTGACCTAATGTGGGGTTCCCAGCAATAAGTTTGCAAGCATATGCTGCCATTTCAGAAGCTTCAATAGCATAAGCATGCTTTGCACCAGCTTAAGAAGGAGAAGAAATGTAATTGAGCATCAATCTAAAACCACAGGAAAAGTAATATAGCACACATGCATGGTCAAAACAGATGAAAAGGTTAAGAATTATCATAATGGATTTGGGACCGCCAGATGTAAAAGATTTTAAAATCGAGAAAAATGATGAGTCGACACCAATCCTTTTTTTAAGGGTGTGATTGGCCATCAAAAAGTTTATCATTTTAATAAAACTATAAAAGCATGTTTAAAGTTTATCAAAAGAATAATTTTGATCTACGAAAATTAGGTTAGGTTCGGAAGTTGGTTACGTATGGGGAAGGATTAACACCTCCACAACGCCCATAAATTGGTACCAATTAATTATGCGTTATTTTCAGTATTGGATGAACTAGTTTTAATTTGAAATTTAATAATAATCCCTTTAGTTTTTAAAAAATAAAATTTTGCTAAAAAATTCTTTATTTAGGGAAATTGAGAAAATCTTTAAGTTAAAAAATTATCTTAAAATTCTCCAACATCTAGGTAGAATTTAAAATAACTCATTTCGCCTAAGATTTAACAAAACAATTCTTAAAATGAAATAACACTCTTTATGAAAGATAATTGGGGGTGACTCTCCAACATTTTGGTAGAGTACCAAGAATTATTTCCTTCGAAATGTTATTTTTGTTTTATTTTATAATATCACAAATTTTAAAAAAAATGTATTGTCCCTTTTTATTATAAAACATTTTATCATCAAGTAATAAATAAAAATTAAAGACTGAAGAATGCAAATGATTGCCAATGATAATATGCTAACGTATGTATGCCAATTAATGTTATGTAAGATGAAATGCAATTTTAAAGTTGGACTCTTAAATATAATGAGACCATCCTGACTTTTCAATATCTAGGTAGAGCTTAGGTGCGACTATTTATATTTAACATCTCATTTTTATTAGTATACTTTTATTATTAATTAGTTGTTAACCCCATTGTTAAAGCGAATTAAAGACCCGCTTGAAAAACTTAATGGAATAAAATTTTTTAAATACCCCATCATCTAGGAAGCATTCGAGAACAAATTACTCCATTTAATATTTTTCACATGCATCCTTAGAGTTTCGGAATAGATTTAGGCTAAGGTTTTAAAATTTGGTGACTTTTTGATGATGATGCAAAGTTGTGTTGAATTTAAGGTTTAGGAATTTGGGATTTTAGGGTTTGGGGTTTGAGGTTTAGGGTTTCATTTTTGGGGTTTGAGGTTTAAGGTTTTAGTTTTAAGGTTTTGAAGGTTTAGGGTTTCAATATCGGGGTTTAAAGGTTTTAGGGTTTAGTTTTAAGGTTTTGAGGGTTAAGAGTTCCAATTTTGAGGTTTTGATTTTTGAATTTAAAAAATGCAAACATCTTTAAAAATCTTTAACATCTAAGCAGACTTTCGAAGTAAATTCGATTTTTATGATTTTTTGAAAAACTATTTAAATTTTTTTTCTATGAAAATCTATTATTAATAATATTACTAATTTATTTAGTGTTTGTTTTTTTTATAATAATAATTCTCCAACATTTAGGCGGAATTATCGTTATTTAAAACGCGATTACAATCCCTCCAACATCTAGACAGGAAAGATTTCCTTGTTACTAGTTCATCTTATCATTATCTTATATATATATATTTTATTTAACATTTGGGTTATTAAAAAAATAAAATGAATTAAAAGTTTTAAAAATAATAATAATATTATTGTTGTTATTTAATCATTATATTATTATTATTATTATTATTATAAAACAAGAAATATTTATTCTAATAATTTTTAAAGATTTTAAAACATGCATAAATAACAATAATAATAAAGTTAAAAATAACATATATAATATATAAAAAAATAAAATAAAATACCTGAATCGGATTGATCAACAGTCCGATTTGGTTGGGCGATTCAAGAAAGAGGTGGTTCAGACCGATTCAGTTGGACTGGTCAGGGCTAGGAGCTGAAAGGCGCTGGGATGTCGGGTCAATTTACGTGGGTTACGAGTCGGATCCGGGTTAACGCGCGGATTTTCTTTGCTCAGAACGACGTCGTTTTGCTTCTTTGTTTTATGTATAAAAGGCCATCTTTTTTTTAGCTCATTTATTCTCCTCTTCTAAAAAAAAAAAGGTCCTCAGCCTCCAAAAAAAAATCTCTTTGGCTTGTCCGTGTCTGATGCCATGCCGCCATGTCAGTCGCAGTCGGTGGTCACTACCGGTGGTTGAAAAATACCAAAAGTCTCCAAAACGTTCCCCTTAACATAATCTTTCTAGATTCGGCCTTCTTTTTATCGAAAATAACCCTGATTGTCGTAGATCGAGGTTTACAGTTTTAGTATCCTTTTTTTTTATTATTAAAATGAAATTGATGGTTGATTTTTGCTTGTTTGCAGGGTGCTTTGGCGCTGAGGTTCCCCCTATGGGAAGGACTGTATTTTTTTTTTTTTTTGTGGATTTGTTTCGGGGTTTTAGTTTTCTGATAGATAGGGGTGGGGGAGAGCTTAGGTTTCAGGAAATTGGAGCTTGGTTTTAGGGTTTCTTGAGCATGGGGATCTTTAGGTTTCTAGTAGGTGGAGGACAGAGTGTCTGTGTATCAAAAGATGTGTCCGAGAGAGATTTTTGGGTGTGGAAGTTGGATACTTTATAGGAGGTTGGGTGTCCGGGATGGTGAGTAGGGGGTGGTTGTAAGGTGGCTGCAGGGATAGGTTGTAGGTTGGTTGGTCGGGTGGTTGGTGATAGGACTAGACAATGCCTAAACAAGGGCGATGGCGATGCCGTACATCAGCCCCCCTGTTTTTTGTTTTATTTTTTTCTTTCTTTTTTTTAAAAATTTTTTAATTATCATTATTTAATTAATAAATTAATATAAAAAAGAAATAAATAAAAGATAATCAAGCCTTGGGCTTAAAGAAGGAAATGAGGTTTCGGACTTGATTGAATCTAATTGGGCCTAAAGTCTAGTTGAATTGAAATTGGGCCTATAGCCCAGTTGAATAAAATCAGGCATGGGTCTAAAAATCTAATACACTCGATGAATTTTAAATCAAGACTCAACTAAAGTTCGAACAAATTTGATGTCTATTATTACCCTTCTTTGCACATTACTGAGAATCAGGAATACGATAAAAATAAAGACGCCAATTTTGTTCAAAGCTAACTTGAGAGTTTTTTTCTCAAAATTTTTTTTCATTTTGTTATCGTGAGTCAAAAAGATAATGACTACCAAGATTAAACCGCGAATCGGTAGGTGATGAGATCGGTATTAAATTGTGAGTCAAAAAATGAAAAAATCGAAATTAAACCATGCGTCAAAAAATTAATTTATTAATTTTATCAACGAAAATGATGTCAAACAAAAATTTTGAGGATGTTAAGAGAAAATTGGGGCTAAAGACATGTATCTCACCTACTTGTATCATCATCATCATCATAGATTGATCAGCTTTTCGTGTTTTGACGACAGTAAATTTCTCTTTCAGATCATTTATCTGCTAATGACATCAAAACTAAAAGCATTTGCATTTGTACAACTAATACATAGAACCAATAATGAATCACTACTATATTTCTTAACAGCCCTCGAGTTAGGTTCCATTTAAGAGTATTGGGAGCCCTCTCACCATGTCAAAAGAATTTAATCATAAAACGTAAATTTCAACACGATGGGAATACTTTCGATACACTTCCAATTGGAGCCTTTACAGATAAATTGGTAGATGAAACTTTATTGGAGCAATTTTGCAAATGGTGATCCTCAAATAACAAGGTTGGTATGTCCACAAACATTATAATCTCTTTAAAAAATGCATCCCTATCTCTTATATATCACACTAATTAACATTTCTCTAAATTGTTACTCTTCTCACATTTACAAGTTACAAAATCATTTAGAAAAAAAAAAACATTAATATACATACAAAGACCAAATTTAAAGGGCTATGAGTTTATAACTAACAATTGTAAGGAATGTGAACCAAACCAAACAAGGTTTAACAAGATCTCTTGCAAAAGGATTAACTTTTCTAAAGCTCAAATAACAAGCAAAAAGAATCCCGAGATGTAATAAACAAAATATAAAGCCAAGCCAAACCGCACCCATGACAAGTTCGAGAGGATCCCAAACAATGCTTAGTGAAATTTGAGAAATATACAGAGGTAAAGCATTGAAATTTAGATGGAACCCACGATCAACCCAAATGAGCCATGCAGCTAGGCTCATGCTAAAACTTGACCCAATTGATGCAAGATGAATAAGCCATAATGGAGGAAACCAAAAGGGTTTGTTCATTATGGCTCGATATCTTTTGCCCGAACCAAACTTGAAAATTATGAATAGGGTCAAGGAAAGAGGGATTACAATGGCTATGGTTAGTGACCAAAGAGCTTTCTTGGCCCGAGTCTTCTTGTCTTCTGGCCTGACCCTGGCAGGGGTGACTCGGCTTGCTTGACGATCATATTGTGTTTGGGGGTTGTTGTGAAAAATTTGAGAGGCCATTGTAAATAGAAATAGAGCATTGTAATTGCATTTTTATTAAAGGAAAATATAGGGTGGAGATGAGAGTTGTGGAGCAAATCTTGGGTTTCCATAAATGAAATTGATGATTCTAATTAATTTCCAATGAGTTTAAAATGCATCTTTGGAATAAATCTATTTGACCAGTCATGTTTTGTCCTATTCTTTCTCAAATTAATTTGTCCCAAATGAAATGAAATTCCTATAAAAAGAAATTTTGGGTTCATCTCCTTTTTTTTGCTTTTTTTTTTTGACATTTTATACGTTGTTTCCTATAACTTCCACATGTATTAAATTAAAACTCCAGATTTGCAAAAAAAAAAAAAAGTCAATTGATTTTTTGGTTAATATTAATTTAAAATTCATTTAACATCATAATCTTTCTTACGGTATTAAAGTGTCAAAGTGACAGTAGATTTATATAAATTTAGTATTAAGATCACACTCCAACAATGTTACCAAATTAATTTTTAATCTCAATGATTAAAGTTTTTAGTATTAAGATCACACTCCAACAACGTTACCAAATTAATTTTTAATCTCAACGATTAAAGTTTTTGAAGATGAATCATTTTGATTTCTCACAGGTATTAATTGCAAATATACTATCTAGTGAATACATACATTTTAACTTAAATTAGTAAGTGATTAAGCAATTTACTTATCTTTAATCTTGTTCATCAAAGAAGTAAAAAAGAAAGAAAAGTAGACTTTAATACACTTTGATAAGAAAAAGCTTTAGAAAATGTATATAACCAAATTATAAAAATCCAATTGTGATTTTTAATTTATATTATAATTAGATAAAGATTTATTTAAAATTTAATTGATTAATGAGTTAGATTTGGAAATGCTAATCTTAAAATAGCTGGATCAAAATCATTATTGTAAAATAAGAAACTAATTTGTATTTTTTTCAAGTCTTATTTTTTATTTTTTGTGTTATGATTAAAGTTTGAATTCAAAATATTTATTATTGAAGTTGATTTTAATATCATTGAATTAATATATATCTCGGATTTAAAATACTAATCTAATTTCTTCAACATGCTTAAGAATCAAATATCAAAATTATTGTATTCAGCGTCTTGGCCTGGTGGCCAAGAACGCTTTAGGAAGACATAAGGTCATCCCTTGTTGCAGGCTCTGCCCTCTTGAAATTAAAAAAAAAAAAAATCAAGATTATTAACTATTTAAGCATTTGATTTATTTTGTTTTACCAAAAATGCCATTGGACTGTCGTATCTCATACGTTGTATCCTCACCAAAGTTGGGAGAAAAAGGTAATTTCACATTTCATAACTCTAATTGTGCTCTTCTCTCTCACGCTTTTACTCACTCTCCCAAACTTAGCCATTTCTCTTCATCTCCTTTGCCAACCAGCGAAAAATCTCCTACCGTTTCCCATTTGAAAAAAGAAATTCGAGAATGGTAAATTTCCTCTTCCATAATTAAACTATTATTCTGTGAAATCTGTTTCGTTTCATTGTTTTCTAAACATTCATGGAAGAGTATTTGATTAGGGTTTTGGATTTTCTTTTAGTCAATCTGATCTGTTCTGTTGTATGAGGTAGCCATATTAGGAAGATTTTGTTTTGCCTCTTTTTTCTTCCGAATTGTAATTTTAAAAGTGCTGAGGTGCTGTTGGGTTGCTAGAAATGCTGGGAAAGTTAATGTAAGTATTAGATTCAAAACTTTAATTATATTGGAATCGACCAGTTTTGAGTCTATTGATGATAGGGGTGAGAAAAAACTGAAAAAACTGAAAACCGATTTGAAACCGTTTCAAATCGGTTTTTTTTTCTTATTTAGATCAATTTTGGATACTAAATGTATATATCAAATTCAGATGAAATTTCATTTCGGGGTATAAAAAAGAAATACAGAGTCTATTCAAATTTTTAAAATTTTGTACATATTTTAAATTTTTATATGTACATATTATTAGTTTTTGTACATATTTTAAATTTTTATTAAAAAAATAATTATTATATATAAAAATATATTTAAATATATTAAAAATTATATTAAAATAATGTATAAAAAAAAATTTAAAAACCAATTAACGGAACTGATCTAACTGGTAAAATTCAGTTTAGATTGGTTTCAAGGTAAGTTCGATTCAAATTCAGATCGAATTTTAAAAATTCATAATACTATGCATTATTTGAAAAAACTGAACTGAATCCGATTTGATTAGAACCAGTATCACCCCTATGATGATAAGTTTCTAAGATTTGGCTATTTAATGGAGTGAGAAATGTTATGATCTATTGCTGAAAACAAGAACTGTGCTATGTAGCTATGGTTATAATTGCTGAAGTTCTGTTTGGTTGCCAAGAAATTCTTGGAAAGCAAATTTGAATATTAGATTCAAAAGTTGAAGTATGTAGAAATTGACCAGTTTTGGCAATATGCTTCTTATCTTCGGCTTGTTAATGGAGTTAGAATGTAATAATCTATTGCTGAAAACAAAAATTGTTAAATGTAGCTATGGTTTTAATTGTTTTTGTGTTGCAGTGACATTTAATTGAAGTTAGATTAGAATGACTGAACTTTTGGGTCTAATTAAGTTCATATTCATTAGCCCTTACGTTTGGGGTTGAACTTTACATTCATCAAAGAAAAATTTGCTTCCTTTGGCAACTATCATGTGGTCTGCTTTGATATTGTACCAGATGTAAATATTCTTGATATCATTTATTGTTGCATGTTGCATAATTTTCATTTTATCTTTAATCCTGCAGGATGGGAATGATTCTGTAGATTCAAAACAGGACACTACTGATATGGCAACTTTTGTGAGTTCCTTTAAACGTCCCTCGGCACTTTTATATATCACAAATAACTTTAGACTATTTCCTTCTCTTAATGGTTATTCAGAGCAGTCAATACTAACCGTGCTGTTTCGGGGTTTTCTGAACATTTCACTTAAATCGGCTGGGGTGCATTGGACCATCTTATGGTTTTACTTAATAGAGTAAAGCATGGAAATTTTGTTATGTTTAGTTTTATACATGTTGCAATGTTATGGTTCTATGTTTTAATTGATTTTCATCCAGCTTTTACTGAATTTTATTATATCATTTTGCAGGTCCAGAATCTACTGCAACAGATGGTGAGTTCTTATTTTCAACTGCTTTGAGATTCTGTATGGAATTAAGTCGCAATGAATTTTAAGCAGATGTAGCTAAGCTCACACTATTTATAAATCTTGCAGCAATCAAGGTTCCAAACAATGTCGGACTCCATCATCACAAAGAATATCCTTTTCTTATTATCTAGTAACTACGATATACTCAGTAACTGAACCTTGAGGAGATGGAATTCCTTCATTGGTTTCTATAGCATCAAAGAAGTGTTGTTTTGTTGATTTTGGGGTCCTTTTGGTTGGTCTTAAAGATTTGACTTTGCAATAATGCAGGCTTCTTTGCTTGCTCACTGCCAAGGTTTTAGCCGTTTTACTAGATTGGGTTTTTATTTTGTTGGTGAAGGTTGCCAAAGTGAAGCAAATAAAACACTGCATTCCATTTTTAAACAGGTTCTTGATTTCCTTAACTTCAATGCACTTGATGAGATGGGCAGCAGGATTGATGAGCTAGAGCAAAGCATCAATGATCTCAGAGCAGAGATGGGTGCAGAGAACTCTCCTTCTCCTTCTCCTTCGGTTCCATCTGGGCCAAAGGATGATTCCAAGTCACCCAAAGAATCCTAAAGGTGTTCTGTGATATCTTAAATGAATCCAGCATTTACAACTACAACATGGTATTTCTGGACTCCGTGTTTCTTTTGATCCCTAGCCTTTCTCATATGCTAAATCTGTAGTAAATCTCAACTTTTGGAACAGACAAGTATGCCTAATATATTTAACTAATGTCTCCTCCTAAGTGCTATTTTCATAGGATACTGATAGCCTTTTTGAAGCATTTCTTAGTTCTTGTGTCCAATGTTGAAAGGCAAATTTAAAGATGTCAATTTTATTCATATTAAATGAGAATTTTGAAATTTTATTCTAACGAAGACGCAGATGAAAATAAATATTATATTATGAGAATAAAAATAAAGATGTATATAATTTAAATATTTTATTGGGTATAAGAATGGATACGAATAATATAACATTTGTTTCGTATCCATATTTATATTTTACATATATATAATAAATAATTTTTTTATTAAATAATATAAATTATTATTTTAAATTAGTTAAAATTAATATATTTTTATTTAAAATATATATTAATATATTTATAAAAAATTATATAAATATGCAAAATAAAATTCTTTTTAAAAAATTAGAAAATACATTTTGATTTTTTTAAAATTATGGATAAAAAAGTTATCTATGCATATATTTACAAAAATAAAGATGAAGATAATTTTAAATACTCATTAAATGAAGATAGAAAATAAATATAATATAAAAATTTAAAAATAAAAATAAAAATTATTTAACCGTTTCATATTTTATTTATTGACATTCCTAGACAAATTGTATATAACCCTCGGTTAGTTAAATTAATTCATAAAATCATGAAATTTAACAAATTCAAAGCTTAACTATCAGAATCTGTAATTCATTTTCTTATTTAAAAAAAACAAATTGTTATATAACCTCAAATCTCAAATTTCACGGACCCAAAAATCAAAAAAAAAAAAAAATCCAATAAAAATAAAATTAAAGAGAGTTTAATCATAATTGATCCAATAACCTTCATCTTTATTCACCACTCACTTTTATATACGCATTTAATAAAAATTTGGAAAAATATTAAAAGCAACAATCCATCCCATCAGCAATACTCATTATTAAAGATCAAATGTAAGAAATAAAAAAAGAAAAATTACATTTTTAAAATTAGGGAGGCAACAAATATTAATTAAGAAAGGACATGAAAATAAATAAATCTAACTCCGACAACGCGTAATTCTACTGCACCCGCGTGAATAGGGATTTGCCTGAGCTCCCGGTTGGCAGTTATAATACGACGCACCACGTCGCGAGCATGGCACCGTGTTTCTGCTAAGCGCACCATAGCTAATGTACCGAGTCGTCGCTAAAATGCGCCTGCTGATCTCGGAGCCCATGGCGAACTCGGCATCGAAGTCCGAAGATTGCTCCTCGCCCAGCATCAGGCACTCGGCGATGGATCCGCGGCACTCCGATTTAATCGGGAGGAAATGGTTGCCACCGAAATCGAACGTGGGAGACGAAGCTGAAACCACCACGTGGAAGGCCAGGATCGCGCAAATCGCGACGAAACTGAAGGAGAATCTGAAGCTTCCCATTTTCGGGTCTTGGATTGGTTTCCGTCGATTTTAGGATTATAAGTGATTGCTATTAAGAGAAAGCCACTGGGGTTTGGACTTATTTACGATTATGCCACTTGACTTGCCGTGTCCGGCTTACTTGTAATTTAAGCGTCAATCACTTTATGGCCATCCACTAATCATCTTTTGACTTTTACTTCTTTCATTTGTTAAAGAAAAGTAATAATAAAAATAAAAACTAAAAAATCAGTTATGGGTATAATCTTCTAAGGCATGATTGTTGGATTTGAATTATTTGTAACAATATATATATATATATATTTTTAATTATAAGTGAAAAGAACACTGGTTACAGTTCAATTCAAGTATTTTTCAATAAAATCACAGGAATTAGGGGAAATTATAAGACTGTCCCTACTTTCTGACATAAATATATTTCTTGCAGGCATTCAAGAGCTTCGCTAAGGGGAGAGACATGGTCATGACAAAAAAAAAAAAAAAAAGGTGCTAAATGGAGCATAAATTTTTTTTCTTTACACTTTAGCATTTTTGTAAAAAAAAAAATTTAAAGTAAAATTATTTAATTATCTCTTTTTTTAACATAAATTTTAAAAAATAAAATCTTGAAAAGTTGTAAATTTTAAAAAAGATATATAACTTTTCAAAAATAAATTTTTGAAATATTATAAATATTTCAAAAATAGATTTCATTTGACTTTCTAAAATTCAATTTCCAAGATATGGGATAGTAAAAATTTAAGAAACATTTTAAGTAAAATTTTCACTATCTCATCTTTTGAAAATAAATTTTTGAAAAGTTATATAATTTTTAAAAATTTATTTCCGGAAAAGTTTATAACTTTTCAAAAATTTATTTTGAAAAAATTATATATTTTTTCAAAAATTCATTTCTAAAAAATTATAAAACTCTAGAAAATTGTGAGAATAATAATTAAATAATTTCATTTTAAAATTTTTGAAAAAAAAAAGGGTGTATTTAGCACCTCTAAAAAATTTTAACATTTTTATATTGTATAATTTTTTTTATGAAACTTATTATCTGATCTCTTTTTTTCCTTGTATCTGGCTTTGTTTATGCGAACATCACCTTCTTTATCTCAAAATTTTAATTTCAACATTCTTTTGATCGAGTTTTTCTTTTTATAAATCGAACATGTTTTTTTTTTTTTTCCAATCTACTTAAATGACCATATCTTACAATTTCTATAAAAAAAAAGAAATCATATCTTACAAACCCCAAAATACTTCAACAACTTTAAGAATAAAAATCAAATTAATAAACCAACATATTTTATGTAATTTCAATTAGAATCATGGAAATCTTATGACTTTCTTCCTAACATTGGGATAAGATTTAATGGCCAATTTGAATTATTTATAGCATATAGTATACACATTTAACAAAATAATTTTTTAATAACAGCATGTAAAATGAAAAAAATTCTTAGATTTTCTCATTTGAATTTGTCTCTCTTTCAACAAAAAAAAAAAAAAAACCATAAGCATTATGATGAAACATTGAGACAGCAAAGGGCCAGGCAGTGGACAACTATGGTGAGAGAGAGACAAAGGAAGCAATTGATAACTATAGGTTTGAAGGAGAAAAACAAGGTATTTTTCTCTTTCAAAATCATGTGAATGCAAAGCAGAATGAGTGCTTAACAATTGAATGTTAAGCAATTGGCAAGAAATTTTTTGCACGTTTTGTGCTATTGATGCTGATTGATAGTATAAAGGGACCGCTGAGGCCTTTTTCTTGCAGCATTAAATTAAATTTTTGGTTTTTTTTAAGCAATCGCTTTTCATACAAGAGATTGAGATTGAAATAGGAATGTGACACGGAGCATGGGAAGAGTAGAATTTTTTTTATTCTCATTATCAAATTTTTATATTATAATAATTTTTGTATTCATATCAAAACGAATGTTTTAAATTTATCTTCATTATATACCTGTCAATCGGGATTAAAATAGGGATATTTTAAATTTAAGTTGTTGATAAAAATGAGTAGTGCAAGAAAATTTAAACTACAATTTAATTTGATTTTTTTATTTAATTTTTTATACAATCGATCTCATAGTATGGAATATAAGGTTTAATGTATTATTGTTGTTGTATGTACTCGTAAATATTTAATAAGTATAAGTTATCCTTGTACTTATAACTTAAAAAAAAATAAAAAATAAAAATCAAAAATTATTTTTTAATTTTTATCTTACATATTTATGTAATTTTTTTAATAAATATATTTATATATATTTTAAAAAATATATTAATTTTAATTAATCTAAAATAATAATTCATATTATTTAATAAAAAATTTATTTATTAAATATATAAAAATATATATGTATGGTGCGGATATCGGTATAGATAAATTTTATATTACTTATCTTTATTTTTGTATCTGATAAAAAATTTAAAAGTATATCTATCTCCATATTATAATATCAATTATCATCTTCATTTAAATAAAAAAAATGAAAATTTTCATTAAATATAGATAAGATTGACATCCCTAAATTAAAATGAGAAAGAAAAGGTTGATGGTTTTTTCAATTTGGCAACTATACAAATGCTGGCTCAAGAAACTTTTAAGTTAAAAACTACTAGCATATGGGTGGATGCAGCTAGGAGTACAAGCGAATTATGCTATTTGTGAATTATGCGGCTTGATTCGATTTGCAATATTTTTTTATGGTCTTTTATGGTTATTTCTTGGCAATGTCCCAATGACTGTCTTTTCATTTAGTGGAAAAAAATTCTATTAGACTTAGATAAAAAAAAAAAAAAAGAAAAGGTGTAGGATTAAGAGGCATTTTCCATGTAACTATGATCTGACAAGCTTTTCCTATGTTTATAACAAGGTGAGTTAGCAGAGTTAAGGCTCGAGTTGCCTGATCTTGCAATTATGAGTATTTTTTTTTAAATGAGTTGGGAAAGGTCGTGATTGTATTATTTATATGGCCTATTAGCCCACCTAGAGCTTTTAAATAAAGGTTGTGATTATCCTTATCAAGATCTTGGGTTGTGGTGTATTCCTTTGGGCTCTTTTGAGGTCCAAGCTAAATAGCATTTGCTCAAATAGGCTATGAGCCTAGCTGCTGCTTTTCAGTCCCAAATATATTACTGTGAAGCTTTGGGTTCAGCCTCCCTTGTTTCTTGATGGTTAGAGACCTCTCTTTTTCTATTTTTCTTGCTGTATAATGTATAGGTTGGAACTTAAGCATTCAAGTTCAAGCCACCTTTTTTTGTCCAGTTTTCAAGCCTTCGAATTCTAAATGTAAGTAGTAGATACGAGTTATTAATTCTTACAAGACTTTAGCTCAATTGATAAGAATCGTTTTTCTCAATGTAATAGTTTTGGATTCAAGTCCAATCAATTTTTTTTTTTGTTGAGATCATTTTAAATACATGATATGAAATTATTATTCTTAAACTGTAAGATAAAGTATATTTTGTCATAATTTGGAGGACTAAAAAGGTTATTTACTCCGGATTTTTTTTTTTTTTTAAATAGATATGAATTGTTAATAACATGTAGGATGATGTTAACTCCCATGGTTTTCAAGATGCTGAATTTTCCTATGGACCTTAAGAAAACTATGCTCACAGATTATAAATAGAAACCCAGCAACGTTTAGCTTGAGTTTCTACTTTCTAATTTTAAATAACAACTTGACCTGTGGATGTTCTAACATCTCAAAGATCGATGTTGAAAGGGTACGTAGGCCATGTCAGACAGCTTCACTTCATATTTGTTTGATCTGCTTTTTCCACGAATATATTGTTTTCTAAAGGAAATCGTGTGAAAGGCACACGCCTTTCAATCTTTTGATTTCCATGTTGTAATTGTTTTATCTAAAAAATGAATTAGACAGGAAGATTCCTTTCAAATTTCCATTGCCTGTTTTACAATTCTCATGCATATTTGTTCAGCTTTTATTATTGTCTACTTGCTTTGAGGACTCCCTATATAAATCCTTAGCAATGGCTTGTTTGCTTCATGCACATTTCTCTCTTTGTCTGGAAAAGTTTCAGAAGGTTCAAATGGCAAAGTTATTCACTTATCTGTTGTTCTTTTTGGCCATCTTCTTGATTATCTCTCCAGTTTTATCATTGCCTTTGAAAATAGGGTTTTATCAGAAAACATGCCCATCGGTTGAGGCCATTGTGAGAAGTACAATAAAAACAGCATTGATTAATGATCCTGGATCACCTGCGGCTCTCATCAGACTTCATTTCCATGATTGTTTTGTGAGGGTAATACTTATTTATTTGTTTCATAGACTCCATTTCTGTTAAAATTTTACATCCTTTTTCTCTAACAGGGTTGTGATGCTTCCATACTTCTCGATTCCGCACCAAGCAATCAAGCAGAGAAAGATAGCATGGGGAACAAGGGTGTCCAAGGCTTCCAAGTCATCGATGAAGCAAAGGCTAAAATAGAAGCTCAATGTCCGAACACTGTTTCATGTTCAGATATCCTTGCCTTTGCAGCTCGTGACAGTGTCACTCTTGCAGGTGGCCATTACTATGATGTTCCGTCCGGACGCCGCGATGGAAGGGTTTCTTACATGGCAGAAGTGACTAAGAACCTCCCTGATGCATTCTTTAACGTGACACAATTGAAAGAAAATTTTGCACGGAAAGGTTTGTCAATGGAGGAAATGGTAACACTTTCAGGTGCTCACTCTATTGGGGATTCACATTGTTCTTCATTCTCAAAACGTTTATACTCTTTTAACAAGACTTTTGCTCAAGATCCATCCATGGATCCTTCTTATGCTAGTTTTTTGAAAACTAAATGCCCTCGGCAATTGAACACCAGAACTGGTCCTGATCCGTTGGTGCCTTTTGATCCTGTAACCCCGAACCGGCTTGATAATAACTATTATAAAAACTTGAAGAGCAGCAGGGGACTGTTGGCTTCAGATCAAGTGCTTTGGAATAATATATTAACAAGGAGGATTGTGAAAGGGAATGTGAACCACCCAAGGACTTGGGCTGCAAAGTTTGCTGCTGCAATGGTGCAAATGGGTTCCATTGATGTGCTCACTGGGAAACAAGGGGAAATAAGGAAGAATTGTAGGGTTGTGAATTGAAGATCCGATGTGCCTGTCGAGACTACTGCTGAAATTTCTAGTTTTCTGTTTGCTTTGATTTCATAATGTATTTTATGATTTTGATTTCAACTAAAGAAAATTTGTTTAAATTAAATACTTGTGTGATCATTTAAATACGACACAATCCAAAAAAAAAAACTTATGATTTAAATTTTTAACAAAGATTATATATAAATTTAATAAAAATAAAAAATATACTTATAATTTGATCTGTTGATATGAATTATAATATAATAATTTTCATATTTTACACGGAAACTGTTTTACACCATCTGCCACATTTACATAGGTGTTTCTCCATGAGATGGAAAACTTATGTGTTTCTCGTATTCCTTCACTTCAGAAACATTTATCTGGAAATTCTCCATGGGATAAAGAAACCTTTTAATAACAAACAAAAAGGGGTAAAGAAACTTTGAGCTGTGTGATGAACTGATGATTCCTATGCGTTTTCTGGAGTCCCAAAGGCCAAACCCTCTACTATTTGTGGGGTTAAAGCCAGTTGTTTTTCCAACTTCATTCTGATTTCCCTGTAGAAATTTTGTCATTGAGCAGCATCCTTATCTTCTGATGATAAAAGTTAATTGAACATCTGCCTTTGTTGACTGCAAGGACCCTCTGGACAGAAATAGGTGAAGCTTGGATCAAGTTAGATGATTCCAACCACTTCTTTTGTTTTATCTCGTTCCATTACTTTTTAAAAAGGGCATCATGGGGAAGGCACACGCCTTTCAATTGTTTATTGCTGTCAATTTGAACTGCAACAGCAGATTTCAATTGTTAATATCATTTCATTGCATGTTTTTGTCCAATTAGCAGGGTTATGATGCCAGCTTTTTGCACAAAGATAAGTTCATAATTTGGAGAAACCGGTTCTAATTATGATGAGACTTGAGAGTTAGCAGAGATAATTGGTTTATGCTTTTTGCACAAGAAGGAATCAAGGCTGGCAAAGAAAAGGCCTTGGAGATATTCAAAGCACTTGAAGCCTACCTCCTGGCAATTCCTGACACCTATAGAAAGTTCTGATATAGCTAGCATCCACTTCAATGATTAGATGTGGAATGGATTTGTGCATGTGTGAGGGAGTTGCCTTTCCGCTGTTTCTTGTTTTTTTTTTTTTTTACCTTCTTACTTTTGCAATTGTTGGTCCAGGTGACACAGGAAGCTTGTACTATCATGTTAATAGTAGTAAACAATGGAGCATCAAATATATTTAGGATTGGCAATTCAATTCATTATTGATGAATTTTAATTTGATCCTATTTTTAAAATTTTTATTTTTAAATTGAATTTCAAATTTGATTGAGTTTTTTTTAAAAAATCAAAATTAGATTTGAGTTAAATTTTATACAAATTCATTAGGAAATATTCTTTATTTTTATTTATTTAAATTTATATTTTATATTAAAAATTAATATTTTATTAATTTTAAGTTAAATCAAATCGATTATAAATTTAAATATATACAAATTAAATCGAATTTAAATATAAAAAATAATATTTTAATATCAAATCAAATACAAATATTAAATAAAAAAATCAAGATGAAATTAAAACAAATAAAAATTCATTCCAATTTGACTCGTTGCCTTTCATAAATACATTTACTAGAAACTGTCATCTATCTGGGGTAAATTTTTGCCATTCTTTTGGGCTCTTTTGAGCTCAAAAACGGAATTGCATTGATCATGTGGTGGATAATGTATCAGCCCAGTTGCAGCTTTTTAGTCTCAAATGTTTAATTGTGAAGCTCTCACCAAGACTTTCCTTGTGTCTTAATGGTTAGGCACATCTAAGCCGGCTTACAATTCCAGCGCTCAGAGCCTAAAAGAAGGGTTCTTGTTTAGGGTTTATTTAAAAGTGGAGGAATACCTTTCTTTTTATAATTTTCTTTTGCTATATAATGTTAAGATTGGAACTTAAGTATAAGATTCTTTTGTTTTAAGTTTGAACCATTGCTTCTCACAGTTTATATAATGGATTGCAGCATACAAAATTAGATTTGATAATTTTATATACGATATTATAGTGTAATATAAAAATAATATGTAATAAATTATATATATATTTTTATAATAATATTTTTTATTTTAATTGTATCGATATATTTAAAACATGATGTTGTATGTATCATATTTTATATCTTATTTGTGTTACAAATTTAAGATATGACTAATTAATTAATTATGTTTTAATGGTATCATCGTATCAATACATATAAATGACAAGTTTATAATGATATTTTAGTATTTTTGTTATATTATCATTTTGATTTAATGTTGAATTATTGATTAAATTATATTAATCATATATAATCGTATTAATCATGTCGTATCATGTTATTTATTTATAAAATAAATTAAAATATAATAATCATATCATGTCATATGTAATATATAAAATAAATACATTGTATTTATATTTTGGTTATTTATATTTATTTTAAAATCATTTGTGTCACATTTAAAATTATATCTAATATAAAATATGATACAATGGTACTAATTACTAATCAATGTACATAGAACAATACATTCCTCAACTTTTACCGGTTTGAATGCCTTTTGGTTCTGACCAAACTTAATTTAGACCTTTATCATCCCTGGTTTGGCTCCTGGAAGTAACAATCTGCTTTACTTTCGAGTCCAAGCTCCTTCATTTTCTGCTGATGCTGTAGCCTGTAAGAACCTGCCACCTGGCAATGCATGGCTTGGCCACTTGCTCTCTTTCTGTTGAATGACGGATAAAAACTTTGGTTCAATTCAACACATGACAATCCCATTGATTTGTTGTTTTCTTTTACTTTTCTTTTCTATAATTCTATAATAGTTTGGTGGCGACGTGGGCTACCCGGGTTCTGTCAAATGGTTTCTGGTAGCCGTATCACTCTCTTGTACTAGGAAAATTTGGCCTCGTTGGTCCACTCACGGATTTGGATAAGGTTTGTGACATGATATAACAACGATTATTTATCGATAGTGTTGCCTTCGCTTATCATTATTTATTATAATAAAATATAAATTATTATCTATATAAATAATAATATATTATATTTACATAATAATATAATAAAAAATTACCATCAGACATTAAAATCATTATTTATATATTTTTAATATATTTATGAATTTTATAAAATATTAATTCTGAATTATAATTAAAACATGTAAAAAAATTATTTTAATCTATAAATATAAAATTAAAATATCATAAATTATTTTAAATATTATAAATAAATATTATTATATCAAATTATTTTATGATAAATTACGAAAAGTTATTTTTATAGTGAAAATTTGCTATTTCCTGCTAATTTTTACTGCACCATTCCTTTGTTTTTGCACCAGATAGCAGTTTCTATCTTATAAAATCAAATCCAACAGGAATCTAATCCAACCGTCCATTTCTGACTGGTTTGGAAAGTGATCAATTTCACCGGTCACCAATTTTGAATTTTGACCGTGCACTTTATAATTGAACAAATTCTTGGTTTTTTTTTTTTTTTAACTCTTCAAAATCCCTAGAATACCCCCAATCTCATGGTCTAACAAATTGTATATAATGGATTATAAAATATTGAATTAACGTAATATTAGATTGAATAATTTAAAATATAATATAAAAAAAACATGATTTAAAATTTAAAAAATAATTATATATAAATTTAATAAAATAAAAATAATTTAACATAAAAAAATATTACGAATATATAAAATTTAATATTTTATATTATATAAATATATAAAAAAAAAAGTCAATTCTGAATTAAAAAAATCCGAAAAAAAGAAAGATCAAACGTGACGTAAAAAACGGGCTACTAATTAATTGTGAATCTAACAGGAGAAGAGAAGCTAAAACGAGAGCCAAACAAAACAAAAGAAAAAAGGTTCCTCCAAATTTAGCAGAGGCCCTTTCTCTACCAACGATACAGCCTTGCGCCCTCTTCATTACTCTTTCAGATTCTCCACTAAATCTCTCTCTTTTGCTTCTCGTTCTCTTCTTTTTTGATCTACTATACCCAAATCTATTATCTTTACGTCTTTTCTTTGTTTTTACCTCTTGTTTTCATTGCTTTGGCTTTGTCCAAAGTTCACATCTTTCACTCACTCCTCTTTGGTGCTTTTGGTTTTGTTGACCTTGTTCTTCTCTCTGGCATAAAAAACTGTGGTGGGTTTTTCTTCTTTTCATGTATTTCCTCTGTTTTTGTAGACAAAGCTTTGTTTTTCATTATCATTTCGATACCAAGTTTTTCTTTTTACCTTTTTGTTTTATTGAATTACTTAATATTTTGTATTTTAGTGTTAGTATGTTTGCGTTTAAAATTCTTATGGAATTGGAAGACTTTAAGTTCATTGCTTTGTTTTTATTCCCATAATCTTTTATTACTCTCAGAACTGTTTCTGCTATTTTTATTATGATGTAGAGGGCATTTTATATATTAAACAGCCTGCATTAGCAGTTTGCATCATTAATTGGACTTTAATGTTATTATCTTGAGATTCAATATATTCTATTCTAGTTTAAGATTCATGATGTCCTGTTGGTCACAAGAAGAGCTTAATTCTTGTAATCAAAGTTCTGTGTTTAATGACTTCAGTTTCTGATTGTTACCTTTCAAGTTTTTGTGACCTTTTGAGAAATATGATAGGTTTTTTTAGTAAAATGTTGGACTGAACTGTTACAGATATAAGATTGCATATCTAATCAATTATTTATTTCATGAACTTATGGCAATTTGTATTAATGTGTGAACTTTATCTTGCTAATACAATGTTATGCTCTCTTGCTGTATAAAAATTACATAATGGAGATATATGTTCTGTTTCAGCCTATGATGCTAGGAGAAGATTTTAGTAATTCTGAAGGGGAAATTAAGGTGAGTTTTGGTTATCAGTGCAACAGCCACAAAGGTATTCCTTGCGGTGCTGCAAATAGGTGTGAAATCCGACAGGGAAGTGAAATGGCAAGGACTGGCAGTTTCACTTGCTTGTCTGGTGCTGCCTTGAGTGCCAATGCTACATTGGCCAACACAAATATCTGCAATGGTCTGATAGGTGCTGAAATTCTTCCTAGTTTGGATTCCCCTAATTCATTTCGTAGAGTTCCCTCTTCTCCATCTCTTTCAAGGTTGGATATATTATCGTCTTCTCTGCAAAGCAGTATGTCAAACTTAGGTTGCAGTCCGCCAAGTCCAGTTCATTCACCTGAAACTGATTCATATTTACTGAAACCAATGAGTGCTCCTCCTTCTAGAAGTGACAGTTTCCTTAATGCTATGGAAGTACAAGTGGCGGGTGGAGCTGCTGGTGAAGACAGGGTTCAAGCTGTCTGTTCTGAAGAGAATGAGTGGCTCTTTTGTGCAATCTATGATGGATTCAATGGGAGGGATGCAGCTGATTTTCTTGCTGGGACATTATATGAAACTATAATATTTTACATTAATTTACTAGACTGGGAATCAAAGCAGGATTTCCCCATAGCACCTAATGGTTTGGATGCAAATGTATCTTTTGAATATTTTCTTGATGATAGTATAGGTGCTAATGAGGCGAAAACCCCTTCTAGGGTTGATAGCAAGAAGTACACAGGTGCTGAAAGCCTCAAGAAGAAAAGTGCAGATCCTAAAATGGAAGTTTCATCTGATTTGTTTAGGCATGGGGTGCTTGATAGCCTCCAACGAGCTCTAGGTCAAGCCGAGAATGATTTTCTCTACATGGTAGAGCAGGAAATGGAGGATCGCCCTGATTTAGTTTCAGTAGGATCTTGTGTTTTGGTTATGCTACTTCATGGGAAAGATTTGTATACACTCAATTTAGGTGACAGTCGAGCTGTATTGGCAACATACGATGAAGGCAATGACATGGGTAAGAATGAAAGGTTAAAAGCCATTCAGCTCACTGATAGTCATTCTGTTGATAATGAAGTTGAAAGAACTAGACTCTTGCATGAGCATCCTGATGACTCTATGCCCATAGTAGCTGGAAAAGTGAAAGGAAAATTGAAGGTCACTCGTGCTTTTGGAGTCGGTTACTTGAAAAAGGTCAGTACTGGTTATTAACCCCTTGAGAAGACTGATTTTTGCTTATATCACTCTGACTTGGAAATTACAACTCTATATTCCGTTATATTTAATTTAACCACTAAAGAAAAACCACTTTTACTTCATCCTAGCATGAAATTAATCTTCAAGACTTGGAAATAACAACTAAGTTACAAATGAGTATAACCTGCCTTATTGTGGTTGCTATTTCTGCAATCTTGGACTGCTTTATGCAAGAGTAAGCTTTATGCCAACTGTTATATAACCTATTTTATTGCTGCTGGTCCAGTCTTTTTAGCATATCATTTTTGTTATTCATTGCAGAAAAAACTGAATGATGCACTGATGGGAATTCTTCGAGTCCGTAACCTCATTAGCCCTCCATATATCTCCACAGAACCATCATTGAATGTGCACAAAATATCAAGATCTGATCACTTTGTTATAGTTGGCAGTGATGGTTTATTTGACTTCTTCAGCAATGAAGAGGCTGTGAAGCTTGTCCGTTCCTACATTTCAAGCAACCCCTCTGGAGATCCTGCAAAATTTCTTGTCGAGCAGCTTGTTATAAAAGCAGCTCATTCTGCAGGTAAATTGCTTTATTTGATATTATCTGTTGACCTTAACAGATTTAAGCTTTTGTCTGATTTAATTTAAACAGTGAACAAATTCTTCTTTCATGACCTGTGTCTTACACTTGTTTGCTTGTTTATAGACCTGACAATTCGCGTATTTATTTCATGTAAGACACTAACAACTCGTGTATGTTCATTTATCATCACAGGTTTCAGTAAGGAAGAATTGATGAATATTCCAGCTGGTAGGAGGAGGAAATACCATGATGATGTCACTGTTATTGTGATTATTCTTGGAACAAATCATCGCACCTCTAAGGCATCAACTTGTGTGTGAATTTATTATACTGACGTTTTCTTTCTTGCGAATTGCAATAGTAGATTTATTATATAACTATATTTTTCAATTGTATGTAGCTTAATTTCAGATAATTTTCCTCTCAATTTGTTGCAAACCAATTTTTGTATTACTTGAATAATGCAGTAGGGTCTTTAGTGTAAATAAGTAGCTGATCGTTTCATTATTTTTTTTATTTCCATTTCACAACAAATTTTGAACTATTCTGTGAAAATTGATAAGATTTGTTAACAAAATTTATACAGTTTTCTCAATGGGGTAATGACTTAAGTTCAGCACAACATGATCTCACTCTTACAAGCACAAGCTTCTCTGAATGGAATTTTGTGCCGTGTTTTAATTGTGGCATTGTCTGACATGATTGATGCCAGGTATGTACCGTGGTCCTCTTCCACACCATGGACAAGACATATCCTGGCAAAAAACAATCACACAAGTGCAATATGATTTTCCACTATCCTGAGTCCAGGCTGGAAGGCAAAAGATACTGTTTTGGCTTCATGGTGACCACACGGAAGCATGCTTTAAAAAAGGAATAATTAAATGCCAATACCATATCAATTGATTCAGATGAAAGCTCTTTCTTTTGATAGACAACAAGGTAGACTTCGAATTTCAACCTAAGAAACATGATAATAGTTCATAACAAGCTCCAGGAGGAGCAAGAAGTACAAGTATGCACAATCCAAATATCAACTCGATTAGTTCTCTACTCCCTTGCCATTTTCCTTTGTGGGTGAAGTATGCACTTCCTCATCCTTAGCTTCAACCTTCGGATCTTCAGCATCTTTGGCACCTTGTGACACATCCTGCAACTGCAAAAGTTCTAAATGATTCAACGATGGAGCACGTACTAGTTTCCGAAAGCATAGATTGATGCTAGGAAAACAAGTAGCATATGGAATGCAAAAAGTCTTTAGGAAACTTACCCCCAAATTTCTTAAGCTAGCAGTAACATCTTCATGTTGCTGATGGAGAGTGTTCCTCAGTTCTTGAAATTCCTTGTTTCAAGAATGAAACATTTTAGATAGTTTATTCCCCTCATTCAGAATGAAATCTTTTTACAGAAGCACTTACTGTACGGAGTTGCTCCACTTCAACATTAAGTGTTTTCTTGAGTTCTGTCAGCTCCTGCAAGAGGCATGCATATTAGCCTAAGAAATGATGATATTAAAAGGTATTATTAATGATCTTGGGGTTTAACCCAGTTGATTAATATAGCCACTTGTAAAAGGTGACATCTAGAAGGCCGAGAGTTCAAATCTCACACATGCAACACTTTCCTGCATCCGCAAGCTATGGCCTCTTTCATATAAAAAACAAGTACTATTAATAGAGGTATCTACCAAAAACTACGACAAGAAATTTATTGCTTGATTGCAAGTATTCATACTCTAAAATCTTTCCTTCCATCAATATTTTCAAACAATTAACACAAATTTTTAGATCCTTGGTCTCAACCAATCAATGGCATGAGCAAAGGCTTCACATCAGAAAGATTTATCTAGCAAATCCATTTAATATATTTATATACTAAACGCCCAGTAAATTTCTCTGTAAGTTAAGCTCATTGCTATCATGTTTGCAAATATCCAAGACACTGATGGCCAGCAGAGACACATAAGCAAAACTCAAATGCATTTCTTAATTCAATTGCAGTTGTCTACATAATACACAAATGATGAAAATTTAAACCAGGGTTTGAGGCCAGATTTTCCCCCACTTGATATTTTCATTCACAGATTTAGAGAACCTTCATTTCATGGTAAAAGATCCAGCAACTTCAACAGATTCCCACACATTTCCTTTCCATGCCTTTCCTATTACTCTATAACATGGGCAACCTCAACATGAATAAACAAAAAAGAATGAAAAGAATCCATGAAAAATACCACAGACCAAGTACACCAAGTAGCAGGAACTAAACACACAGCACATTATAACAACCATATATATATACACACACACACACACACACACATATATATATATATATATGTATGTATGTATGTATATAATTGAGATATAAAAGCAAAACTGAACTTACATCGTGGTAGATTTTGACTTGGGTGTTCAACTTTGATCTCCAATTTTGCAGATCCTATTAGGGAAAAAATTGACAGCTCTTTTGTTCTCAGAATTGAAATATATAACCCAAAATAAGGAAAAATGTAAAAATTTTTAAAAAATTATATTATTTCCACAATTACCTGTTTTAAGCCTTGAATTCTACTGAGCAGCTCAGTCCTTGATTCATTCAATTCCTAAAGTCCCCAACAAAATTAAATGTTAGAAACCAAATGAATCAAATCAAACATAATTTTTTTTACAAAGAAAAGAAATAAACAATAAATTAAATACAGTAACCCAAAAAAATCCAAAACTTACTGCAGTTTTTGGACCGACTGAAGTGATATTCTCCTTCATCTGTGAAATGGGTAAACAAATTTGATTAATATTTCTAATAAATATCCAAACTTTAAGAAAGGAAAAAACCCAAAAATAAAAAAAGGAAATATCTTTGACTATTAGTATAAAAACAAAGAAAGGAAAAAACTGGAAACAGAAAAAGTACAGGAGCTGGGGGAGCAGAGACAGGAAGAGGAGCTGAATCAGAGGATGTCATTTGTAACATTAAAAACAGAGATTATTTATTTGATTGATTTGATTTTCAATTTTGATGGTGATTTGTTTTGAAGGGGAGATCTGGAGATTGAAAAGGAAAAAGGGGTAAAAATTAAAGATTGGGTTTTTCTTTTTAAAGAAAAATGGAAATTGATTTGATGAGGTGAATTTTGAATTTGGGGGAAGTGGGGAGTGTTTGGGCGGGCAAATTGAAGATAGGATTTGTTTTAATTTTAAGACAGAAAATCAGACATTGATCTGACCATGCTTTAGCTTCACATAAATCAACGTAACTGTAGAACTAGGTGTGTAATAAAGTAGATATAGTGAAAATTTTAAATGAAAGTTTAACTTAAAATTTATTGTTTAAAATTTAATTAAAATTTAATTTTTAAATTTGAGTTTGATTTAAAATAAAATTTTAATTATATAAATTTAATTTTTATATTTGATTTTAAATTTAATTATATATTTAAATTTGAGTTTAAATTAGAATTGATATATATATAAATAAAATAATAATTTTTAAATTAAAATAATAAAAATATATTAAATTTTAAAATTTTCATTAAATTTGTGTGCTATTAGAGTCATGCATTAAAATATTTGAATTTAGTTTGTTCAATAAATTAAGTTATTAAACTCGATCTCGACTTAATATTAAATAAATTAAATTTAAATTTTATTTAAATTAAATCTAAATAATTTATAAATATTAGTATATCATTTATATTTTTATATAAGACCTATTTTCTTTTTCTTCATTTAAGATTTTCATTCTTTATTTTATATATATATAAACATATAAATTTTAATTATTTAATTATAATAAAAATTATATAAAGATTCACTACTTATAAATATAAATTTTATGTAAAATTTATTATAATTTTATATAATTTTAAAATTAATTAATTATATTATAATAAATTATTAATTAAATTTAAATATTAAATCTATTACTAAAAATTATTGTACGAACCTGAATTAAGTCTCCACACCCATATATATTACTAAAATCTAGAAAGGTTGACCACTCATTAACAATATTATTATTGTTGGCTATTATCATATTGTTTTCATGCTTTTGTTTGTTTAATTATTTAATATTTCATTCTTTTATATCCACAAATTAATTTGTAGGTCCAAAAACATTCAACTTAGAACCACTTTATTAATTTCCAAAAAAAAAAAACAATGGCCTGCCAAGGCAGGTCGCTGTCTTAAGTCTCCAATTGTCTCTATCCTTGTCACACTCTGATAATCATTCTTTGCCCTTCATCTGTCAAATCGAACAGACAGTAAATCCCATTGTTAAGAATTCAATAATTTCCATTTTACCAGGTCCCATTTCCATTAATGCAAGACCAAATCCAAGGCAAATTTGTTGAAGAAGCCAAACACGGCTTTATAAATAAAAAAAGATTTAACGTTTGAACTGCAACAAGCAAGCAAGCTCCTTGTCTTTTCTCTGTTTTGTCTCTCCGATCAACTCGTGAGCTAACTCAGTTTACCTTAAAAGAGAAAAATGAGTCTGGAACCGTTTATTTACAGCTTCGTGGCTCGAGGAACAATGATCTTGGCCGAGTACACTGAGTTCACTGGGAATTTCCCTGCCATCGCAGCTCAGTGTTTGCAAAAACTCCCTTCTTCTAACAACAAGTTTACTTACAACTGTGATCACCATACCTTTAATTTTCTTGTTGAGGATGGTTACGGTAATTCCCAGAACTCTGATCTCTTTGTTTTTCTCTCTCTTTTTTTTTTCTCGAGAAACAAACAGGGTAGTGGGATTTTAAAAGTTGACTTGGAGCTTAAGGCTGTTGGATCTAGCTGAAAAGTGTGAAATGGGATGTGGGATTTGGTGGGTTTTTGTTAAAACATTGGAAAGTTAGCTTCTTTTTTATTGGATGGATAGTTTCTCTTCTTTTTTTTTTTTTTGGTTTGTTTGCTGAGAATACTGAGGAAAATGATGCGGGAGTAATATTTTATCTAATTTTGATTTATAAATGTTGGTTAAAGTAAGTTGAATACTAGTAATATCAAAATTGGATGGGAATGGATCTTTTTCTTTTTCTCAAAGTCTCTGCTTTCGATTTCTTTTAGACCTTAAGAAGTTGTGGATTTTGGATAATAGTTTGATCTTTATTAATTAGATATGTGAGATTTGCTCCTTGGTAATGCCCAAACTTTGATAGTGGTAGTTTTTAAGGAAGTTCAAGATTGGAAATGAATTTGCTTGACTTGAGTTGTCTGATTGAGACGAGATATGTTTGTGCGTATTAAGTTCTCTATGCATGTTTGTTTTGTGCAAATAGTTGACTCAACAGTTGACTGGCTTGGCTTGGCACCTGAATTGGAAAGCTATCTCTTGGTCTGGCATGGTTGGTCTTAAATATATTTTGCATCCAGTTTGCATTTTAATGAATTTGAATAGTCTGCATGGCATTGTGGTGAGGGCATTTGGCCCCTAGGAAGCTTGTCAAATGGAAGAAAATGGTGAACGCTTGATCAGTACCGAAGATTCACTTGCAATTATGCTGACTAATCTACAAGTCTGCATTATCTAAGTTCTGGTTGGACATATTATTTTATGTTTGTTATAGGTCTAAACAATATCAGTGCTAGCTTTGATTGATTGGGAGCACAGCAAAGATGTGGTTGAAAAACAAAACTAGTAACTAGACAGGAGGGTTACTATATACATGCCAAAAGTTTCGGGAGACAGTGCATTGAGATTTCAATTTGCATGTGAAATGAAAAATTTAGACTTTTCTTGTACGGTTTTGATGTGGGGAGGGGAGGGGAGGGGAGGGGGTTGGGGATGAGAGCTTCTGGTATCCATACAGCTCCACCTCTGTTTCTGACTGATGTTAAGCTTGCCTCTGTTAACAGAGCCTGTTAATCTCTACCCTTAAACATTTATTCCACAATATCTTATGAGGTTGAGGCTACAAAAATAGTACCAAGCTAAGCATTGACTATAACCATCTAGATCTTTCTAGTTCTTTAAGTGCTTTTAGGATGACACAAACTGACATGCTAAACAAGTTTTTTTTTCTGCTTTTAATGAAAGCATAACAATTGTGCTACTAAAGTTACAATTATTGTATGCCAACTGTTACTTCCAGTGCTTAACTAAGTAGTTTAACCATTTTATTTATCTTTTACTAGTGCCTATGGTGATGCACTGTCAATTATCTACACTGGGACTGGTATTTTATTGCTTCTGCAATCAATACTCTTGACAACATGCCTTTTGCTCTATGCAGCTTATTGTGTTGTGGCCAAAGATTCTGTGGGAAAGCAAATCTCTATTGCATTTTTGGAACGGATGAAAGCAGACTTCAAGAAAAGATATGGGGGTGGAAAAGCAGATACAGCTATTGCGAAAAGTCTCAATAAGGAGTTTGGGTATGTTCATCCATGCTATTGACAGATGGGTGATATTTTTGTTCCTTTTTCCTTTTTCTCAGTTTACGTAAATATTTTCTGTTAAAACAAAACAATGTGATTTACAGGCTAATTATGAAAGAGCACATGAAATATATTATTGAACATGCTGAAGAAATTGAAAAGCTATTAAAGGTAAAGGCTCAAGTTTCAGAAGTTAAAAGTATAATGTTGGAGAATATCGACAAGGTAATTGGGCTTTGGTATTCTTTTCCTTCTGTGGTTTTCTAGAATTGCTTGTAATGGTGCTATGGTTAATTATTGAGAATCCATGCTGTTGGTTCCCCCTCTTCCCTACCTTTCCCACTCTTTTATGTGTTTTGCATGCACATGCACTTGCACAACATAATTGGAATAACTAAAGTTCTGAATAGAATGGAGGTGCTCATGTCAAAAAGGTGCTTTCCTTTTATGCACAATGGGATACTGTTTTAGACATAGATATTCAAGGTTACCATAGGTTGATAATGGTTGTGAATATGTTGGGAGGCCATGTATCACATAGCCTAGTTACAGAAGTATGAAGTGATTAGGTTTAAAGTAATAATGAGGATTATTTGGTATAGGAGATAGGCTGCGAACAAAAGGGTGCCGGACAACTCTTGAACTTTGGTTTAATTTAGCTAGTGCCATTAATACATCCTAAGGCTTGGTGAAAGTTACCTGCAATACGATGAGTAATAGTTGAAATCTGTAGCAGCCATAAATAACCCTATAATGCTGTATCTGTTAGTGGGATATTTGATTCAATTTGGGTTTGGTTTGTTTTCTGCCATCTGCGATAGCCATTTTTATTTTATCAAAGTTTATTTGCATGAAATGTATTTTTCAAAGGTCACTTGAATCAAGTTTATATGACCTTCTATTCTGCATCTCAGGCAATTGATAGAGGAGAAAACCTAATGACTCTTGCTGACAAGACTGAGAATCTGCGTGATCAGGTAAATTCCATATTCCAGGTTAAGCTCAATGGTAATCCACATTTATTTCTATCGATACAAAGCAGTTTTTCTTGTTGCCTTTTTCAGGCCCAAGCATACAGGAAACAAGGGGCACAAATCCGTCGTAAGATGTGGTATCAAAACATGAAGATAAAGTTAGTAGTTCTTGGAATCTTGCTACTTCTAGTCCTTGTAATCTGGCTTTCTGTTTGTCATGGATTTGATTGCACCAACTAGTAGTGGTGTCCGAGTCTCATGGATAATTTAGCTTGTTGTGATACACAAATGGACCTGTTTCCATACAGCTTTATATTCAACAGGATGGTTTGGTCAATTAAAGTCTAAGCTTTTCTTACCATCTTCATTGAAACACCAAAACAGGAAGAGAGAGAGAGAAATGTGTACCATGTGTTATACTTGGTGGTCTTGTCTGAAGAAAAGCACAATGATTTTTTGTTTATTTCTTCTTACTTTCATTCTATAGCAATAAAACTGTATGAAGAAAATATTTTGACACAATGATGAATGGCTAACTGATATCTCTTGCAAGAACAATTCTGGCCCCAAAAGAGAACTATCAGATCATCCTACCGTAAGAGAAAAGGAAGTGAGAATTGCTCAAGTTGGGGCAATTGGGTGGGTCGAAAAAATCCGGATCAATTTAGATTCGGGTTGGATTATTTTGAGAGTTTTAAAATTAAATTAATTTAAATTCATGTCATTTTGAATTAGTTTTCGGATCAATTCGAGTTTGATTTGGACGAATTTATTGATTTTTGGTCAAATATGATTGGATTTAATTTTAAATTTTTTGAGTATAAATTAATTTTGGCTGTCTTACAAAATAACCCTGAGCCCAACATGAATATAGCTTTGTACTATGGGCTTTCCAATTGGTTAAGGCCAGATTTTCAGAGCCTTACTTTGTTTGAAGGCCCAATAGGCCAATGGTTACTCAAACTATGTAAATTTCTTCTAATTGTGGATCATTTACAACAAATACAACAGACAAGATTTCATTTTCTTATAAAACTTTTGAACTATGTCTAGGGATGGCAAACAATATAAATTTATCGGTTTCGAATCAATTTGATTTTATAAATTTTTTTTAAAGTCAGATTTTTGGTTGGATTAGAATTTTTATAAAAAATTTTAAGTTTTAGTAAAATCGAGTGTTTATAAAAAAAGTTGTAATCAAATTAGATCGAATTTTATAAATAAAGTTGGGATCGAGTTAGATTTTAGGTAAAACTGTCCATTCTTGATATATATAAAAATATTTTTATTATTATTTATTTAATTATATATATTATATTAATAAAATTATTATTAAATATTTTAATTTAAAATATTAATTTAATAAAAATAATATATTTATAAATAATTAAAATATAATTTATATTAAAAAATATTTTATAAATATTATATTATATTAAAATTATTAAATTAGTTTTAATCTAATCGAATACGATTTTATATATATATATATATATATATAATGTCAAATTGGATATAAAAAGTAATATTATAATATTGAGTTAAGTCGAAATCAATTACATACTTTATGAAGTCGGATAAGAATTGCAGTGAGAAAAATCTCTTCCCACCCTAACTTCTTGGCATCACTAACTATGACTTGTCAGCTAATACTTCCAGCAACTTTTTCCAAAGTTATCTAACATTTACAGCTTGTAACATAGTAATGTGCTTATTAAATTAAAGTGGTAGAAGTAAAATTATGAGATATGATATTATAATTGGAATAATATCAAAGAATACGATACAATTATAATATCATAAGAAATTTTTTTAATTAGTGAAAATCATTCATCTATAGATAAAAATTTGGTGTAATTTTTTCATAAGTAGAAATATTAATAATATAATTATTTTTTAGATATAAAAAATAAAAATACAAAATAGTGGTTCGACTATAGTGATTTACATAATGAGAGAATAACTTGAAGGATTATATTATTAATATTTTTATTTAATTGAAAAGTATATAAACTCTTATCTATATAAATATAAATCTCATGAAATATCGTAATCGTATAATAATTTTAGATATTAGGCTAATCATAATATTATAACCTATAATATTATGTTTGATTAAAATATTACAAAATATTACTTTTAACTGAGTATATCATGTATGCCTAATTAAATTCTGATTTTAGCATGATCTATGTAAAGTTCAATCTCATAATTATCAATAAATAGTTGGTTCAATCGGTTAAAGTTCGTCTTTTTCAATAAAATATTGAGTTTGAGTCATATCAGTGACCACTTGTTGAGGTCATCTCAAATATACGACCTGCAGTTACTTATCTTAAGTTATCAGGTATAACATATTTTATCTTGACCTGAGAGATTTAATAACTTATTTATCTCCAAATTTTTTTTACAAATAAAAAATCTCATAAATTGAACTAATAATTATTATCAGTGGCTCTAATAATGAAATTTTAGGAAAAATCATGTATGATTCTGTCATGCTATTTGTTTCAGTTTTTGGTAGAGATTTATCAATTTTTATAACACTTTAATGGCCCTGGAAGATGAACAAATTAAATGTGCTAAAAAGGCTAAAGTTGCTTCCCAACTGCTTTTTCAACTTAATAATCTTTCCCCAATTGAATTTATTCACCTCATTAAGAGACGGTTTTGGTTTGAAGCTCGTAAAACTCTTTGATGTTAATCTCGAATATAATCAATGAAGTGTTTTGAGACACATATTTTTAATCTAAAAGTTGAAGCAATTAATTTGTTTCTCAATTTAGAAATCAAAATTTTATAACATCGAATGAAATAAAGTTCTAATGATATATCAATACTCGCAAATTATTTAAATTTAATTAAGATAAAATTTAAATTTGATTCGATAATTATTAAGTCAAATTTAAATTTGAGCAATTTAATTTATCAAATAAGTCAAATTTAAATATCTTAATATCTGATTCAAATAATTTATGAACTTAATCGAATTTTTAAATTTTTAATATATTTATTATTTTAAGTAAAAAATATTATTTTATTTATATATATAAATTTGAATCAAATTTTGAATTTAAACTCATAATTGAACTTGAAATTAAATATAAAAATCACACTCATTTTTTAAAAAATAAATTTAATTAAATAATTTAATTTTTATTTTAAATCAAACTCAAACTTAAAATTTAAATTTAATTAAATTCAAATTAAATTTTAAATAAGATAAATACTCAAACTTTTTCCTGTATCTAATCTGCTCGATTCAATTACATCAATGAAGACTATTTAGAAATGTGAATTATTTAAGCACCCTTTAATGGAAAAACTAATATCTGGGTCATGAAGAGTGGAAGGCAAAGTCAAAGCTAGCCTTCCATTTCCGTGACAAGACGAAGTGCTGTGGCTAATCCAAGCCAAACTCACACGGAATAGTACCTCTCTTGCCCCATCCTTTGTGGAAATATATGGTCAAAAGAACTGCTCTCTCTCTAATGAAATAAGGATATAGATAATATATTAATATTTATAAATTATTTAAATTTAATTAAATTATTATCGAATTAAATTTAAATTTAAACAGTTTAATTTATCAGTGAGTTTAATTAAAATATTTTAATATTTAATTCAAATAACTCATAAAATTAATTAAATTTTTAGTTTTTAATATATTTTATTATTTTAATATTATATATATATTTGAATCTAAATTTAAATTCAAACACATAATCAAATTTAAAATTAAGTATAAAAATTGAATTAATTTTTTATTAAATAATCAAACCAATTTAACCAATTTAATTTTTATTTTAAATTAAATCTAAGCTTAAAAATTAAAGTTTAATCTAATTCGAACTATATTTTAAAAAATATATTTTAAATCAAATTTAAATTCGAACTTACCACTATATTTACTCAACTTTGACTGCATCGGACCCTGAACGGAAGACTATTTAAAGGTAGAAATGTGAATTATTTAAGCGCCCTTTACTGAAAAAACAAATATGTGGGTCACAAAGCGCAGGAGGCAAAGTACGACGAGACAAAGTGCTGTGGCTAATCCAAACCAAACTCACAGAAAATAGTATCTCTCCTGCCCCATCCTTTGTGGATACATATGATCAAAAGTAGGTGCTTTCTCTTCTCTCTGTCACAAAAGAAACAACTCAAGTGAAGAAAGTGACTACTCAGTGTAAAGTGAAATAGCAGCCCATTCGAAGAAGGAATGGGCTGCAATTGCCATAACTGAGAAACAACAAAATTAAGACCCTTTTCTTTTGTGCGATTTTCTCTGCAATTCCACACGTGCTGATTAGAGTCTTATCCACACGAGTTAATGGTGCCTATAAAATTTAAGAATGAGGCGAAGACCATGCTCTCAACAAATTGGAGCACATGTTTTTTGGAACTATCCCTGGTCTTAGCCAAAGGTTTGGGATATTTATGCCATTTCTCTAAAACATTTTCGTTGTTCCATTAGGATATACCAAGATTGAATTCAGGCCACTCTCTAATGTTGACATTACTTCATGCATGCCCCAGCATTATGTTTAAAATTAATTTCTTTAACATATGTCAAGTAATATAATATGATACGGTACAATTAACATGATTAAATATGAATAATATGATTAAATATTATTAATTTATTTATTAAAATAAAAAATTATTTAAATTAGTATTTAAATAAAAAATTATTTTAAAATTAAATATTTATAATATATTTAAACATAATAAATACAATTATTAATTTATTTTAAAAATAAATAAAAATAATTTTTATAATTTAAATATTATATATGCTTGTATCTTAAGCGTATCATTATTATTTGACACAAATATAATACGAATAATATTATGTTTTAATCAACACGATTAAAATATGAAATACGATTATATTAAATTTATATATAATTTTTTTGTGTTGTTGTATCGTATTTAAAATTATTAAGTGATAACATGTTGTAGTCGCATTATTGTTTTAAGAATATATGAGGTCAAATAAAAGCCTAACTAGACAAGTTATATCCCCCTAAAGGTTAAAAAACAACAAGAACATGTTCATTTTTCCTTTGTTTGGGAGATTAAGAGAGTTTTGAGGACAGTTTGTCATTTTATACAACTTTGCATGAATTCGAACATTGGCAATTAAAATAGAAAATCTGAGTCTAAATTCATCTGATTTCTTCATGACCAGTACAAACTTCCTTTGTTAAGAATACTTAATCAGTTTAATTAAAGCTTTAATATCCTTAATTATCCTTGATTTTTTAAATATAATTAAAAGCATTTTCAGATTTAACTTGAATCAAAATTTTTAACGATTTTAAGGGTATATTTTCCCATATCATTTAATATATTTAAAATTTTATTTTCGAAATACTTTTCATATGAAAATCGTGATTTCTTGAGATATAAACTCTTTACCTCCAATTCAGGAAAAAATTTTCTATTTTGGGTTAACAAATCTCACATTTTGTCTGCTTCGAAAACAGCACTGGATATCTAATTTTGCCTGCAAATTTCCAGCTTTCAAGTGCAGGCATTCGCTACCAGTTGATTGTCTCTCGCAAGTTGGCAATTTGATCAATTTTTTTTTTTTTGTTTTCCTTACTAAATTTCGGACATAAAGAACCAAAAAAAAAGTGCAAAAAAGACAGTATCCTTCCATACAATTTGGATAGACCTGTCTACTTGGGTTCAATTACGTGGCATTGCCATGCACGTTGTTGGTAAGCAAACTCAAAGTGAAACTTTTTTCTTTCTGTTCAGTCTTACCCCAAAAGCTATGCCCACATTTCCCTTAAATTAAAATGATATTAAGCTCATAAATATTTGAATCTTTATTGTTAAAATTAAAATTAAAAATTCTAATAATATCAGACAAATAGTTGTTGTAGCACTCTTCTTGTCGTGTTTAAAGGAAGATACAACTTTTCTTGTCGTGTCATAACAGCACTTTTTCCATTTCATAATCTTGCATGACAGCCGGTCGTGGTGGTTCCATGTCGACACTTGCATTCAATCAACTAGAATTTGCATCATTTATTATTTCTTAGGCTCAATCCGTAACATATTATTTATTTTGATTTAAAAATTTTATAATTTTATCTCACAAGATATTTTATAAATATAAATTTAAGTTTTAATTTATATATCAAAATAAATTCTCATAACATTTCAATATAGAATTAGATGTCAAATTTATAATCTGCTCTTGATAGTACACAAAACACTTCAGCACACTAAGAAACACCGATTTTCATTCACAATCACTATAGTAATTTACAGAAAGATGAGAAAAGCAAGTAACAGCTACATATATAATTAATCCATTTTAAAAACCAAAACCCAAATACCAAATCGTAAAACAATTTCAGCATCACATACAAAAACAAAGAAAGAAAGAAGAAAAGATGATGAAGACAGATCAAGACAGGTGCTGCTACAGTAGAGCTACATGTCCCTAACTTCAAACACGTTACGGTTTTTGACGACGATGTCGTACATGTGCATGGACTTGAACTTGTTAAAATCCTTGGGGAGAGAGATCAAATGGACGGTGGATCGTTTGTGGAACTGAAGAAGGTCAGGGTCATCGTAGTACCTCTCCCACCCCAGAGACGATAGCTTACGCTCGAGAACCGCGTAGGAAGTGATCACTTCGTTAGAAGGAGTGTGCACAAGCACTTTGCGACGGGTGTTGGAACCCTGCCGGCTTCCATCCAATGACTCAGCCCCAGGGTTCTCAACCCGGCGAACCACACCGTTATTGAAAACCCAAACACCAGACATTTTATCTCAACTAAGCTATCAACAAAACTTAAAGTTTTGGATGGATCAAAAGAGAAAAATATAGCTATAACAAGGCTCTTGGCGATGGGTTACATGGGATGATGGGATTGTAAGGTATATATATAGGTCACTTACGGTATAGGTAAGGTATGGGGATGTGGATAAAACTTACATGAAGCTTTTAGATGAAATTTATGAAGTTATTTCTTAAAATAATTTAATAAAAATATTAATAAAAAATTTAAATCGATATATTAATAGAGTTTAACGTAAAAATTAATAATATATAAAAAAATTATTAAAAATATTATTTATAATTTAAATTTGATTCATATTTATTCAATGATAAAAATTTTATTAATTTTTATTAAAAATGCCTATTTAAAAAAATATATAATTTTTTTAAAAAATTTTATATACTTAATTTATGTAATGAGATTTTTTAATATATTAATTTTGACTTTTAATTTTAATTTTTATTCAATCATTTTTAATAAAAAACTTGACGAATTTCGTCTAAAAAACTTTATTCACGGGGATGTTTAGTATAGGCATAGGTAAGGAGGGGCCAAAGAGAGGGTTTTTAACTTTTAAGGATGCATTGTGGTCAGGCTGCTAGGGACACAAATTGTACCATCGATGTGGGCATAACACGATTGAAAGGAATCCTGTTTCTTTTTTGGTAATTCCTTTATATCAACCCCACCATGGGAATCTTTGTCTTTGTTTTTGTTTTTTAAGGAAAAATATTGGAATGAGAGAATAGTTTTAGAGAAGCCTAATCGAAAATGACTTCGTATTCTTGTATATATATAAAGTTTGTAATACTGTTGGTTTATTGTGGGCGTAACTATCAGAAAATTTGTACACACTTAGGATCATGGAGTTAATGCTGTCGATATTCGATTTAGAATCCAGGGGCTGCAACTGGGCATCATCTAAAAAGAAAGTGTGTCAAATATCCACGGTTTATATATGCTACATGAACAAATGCTGTCTCACCATTCAAAGTAAATGGAATATATTTCAATCTCAATGAATATCCATTTTGGACAATTAATGCACAAAATCTATATACATTATTACTCTTAAAATTTTGTCTAAATTTAATCTCTTTTCAAACAATTTTAAAGACGTACTCTTTAATAAAACTCGTAGATTAAAAGACTCACGATTTTACTTCTATATAGTTCTCTTCATGAAAATCGGGTCCTATAAAAACGGAATTATTTTTCTTACCAGATGCATTAATTTTTGTGGATATATATGAAATTTTCATATACCTTGTGATATATATGTAAACAAGTAATTGATTTTAGGATAATGAATTGTATTTTAACATGCAAATGCTAGACATATGATTATGTATGAATAAATTACATAACTGCAACTTGCATTAATAATGAATAGATATGACTTAATTTTATTGTTATCACTCATTAAGAGGATTGGGAGTGAAATTCCAATTCCCCTCTCCCTTTAAACTTATATGTTTAAAAGATTACATAGGTTTGCTTGCATTAATATGGAATCATGACAGAGAGAGAAAGGGAGAGCTGTGAAGCATGCGCAGCAGGAAAACCAAGTCAAATATTGTTATAAGTATGGAATAGAATTTCCATAGGGGAAATGGGAGGACATGAAAGACTTAGTAATTTAGGTCTCTTGAAGTATTTATGGAATTAGTAAGAGCAGAACTTATTGGAAGTTTAATCAGTGAGCTTGTCAAAATTTTCAAAGAGAAAAAGGTTAAAAGGCATTGAAGTTAAGATCTCGAGGTATGCTCTAACATTCGAGCTAGTTAGTTAATATTGTATTTGATATATAAGATTATAATAAGATAGGTTAAAATAATATTATGATTAGCATTAAATTAAATAATGTTATAATATCTTATATTTGATATATGTAAGGATTAGAATAGTATAATTTATTTATTGATCAAATTATTTTTTTTTAAGTTTGTACAATTTATATTATTGATGTAATTTTTAACGATATAATAGGATATATAAATTCATTCTTATAGATTAAAAATAACCTTCTTCACTTTGAGAGGATTGAATTATCCTATACTAAGAGGATGATTAATCTTTCTTATAATTTTATCTTTTTTTTTAGTAAGTAATCCTATCCATTTATTTAGATATAAATTAAAAATAATATAAGATGATTATTATTTTATCTTATCTATCATCCTATGCACGAAATGTAACCTAAATATCTAAGAAAAAAAAAAAAAAGCAAGTAAAAAGAAAAAAATATATAGTAGAAAGTAGAGTAGTTTGCCTTCATGATTTTATTCTTATCATTTTTTATCAATTTTTTTTTATATTTTATGAATGATGAGATAATTATTTGTATAAATAATCGTATTTCTTGAAATTATTTGTAAAATCATAGTGAGTATTAAAAACAACCACCAAATATAACATATTGTAATATCCTTTTTCCAAAAATTTGTGAATGGTTTGTGTACAAGTATGATTTAAGATTGTAGGTAGTGAAGAGGTGGGACCAAAATGAAAGGATTCTCAATTCTTTTGTTGTTGGGAATGGGAGAATTCTTTTTGCATTGGAACTTGGAACTTCATTGTAGGAATTTCCTTAACTTGCCTAACTGTTTGACTATTGCCTCCAAAATATTTGTTATCAACTATTTTTCTCCAAACACCAATAATAGAGGCATTGCTTCTTAATTAAAAAAAAAAAAAGGCATATATTAGCATTAGTTAAGATAATATATATTTATAAAATGAAATTTGTAATTATTCTATTGCTACTTCTTAAATTTGGTGAGAATAATACATATATGGTACCAAAAAACCTTAATTATGTGAAAGATTATATATAATTTTTGTTAAAATTTTAAATAATATCATTTTTATAATTTTTTAATTATTTTATTTATTATATTTAAAATTTTCATGTCTAAAAAAAAATGTAATTAAGGTGTTTTGTCCTTTTATTTTGTTTCATAAAACTTAGAAGAATGATTTAAAGGTTTGGGTTGGTTTCCTACACGATTGCAGAAATCCAGGAATGTCGAGGAAGAAAGCAAAGCAATAGCAACAACGTGAAACTCTGTAAAAGTAAATGCTAGATTCTGCCACTATGACACCATACCAAACCCAGGCCACGACGCATGCTAGTGTAGGCCTTTAGGGCACAGAACCCTCCTTTATCCAGCACCACGGTCTCACCCATGGCAGCGCCTCCTACCCCTCCTCGTGCCACATGGTCCTCTCCCCTCAATAGTCTACAATTCCTTCAAGAATTTAATTTAGTGTGTTTACTTTTTTCGGCCATTAAATTATAATAAAATATTTAATATAATACTTAAATTTAAAAAAAAATTAATATAATACTTAAATTATTAAATTATTAATTATTATGTACTTAAAAAATTATTTATTCACCATAGATCAGTATTTGAAGTTAATCGCGTTAAGAGTGAATATCATATTATTTAATATATTTATAATTTCAATATCATATTAAATATTTTATTATAATTTAAAAATTATTCATGATATTAACTTATTGCAAATTTTTTTAATAAGCCTAGCTAAATCATTTCCAAAAAATTAAATTCAAACAAAATTAAAGATTTTTCGGTTATATTATTAAAATTGATGTTGATATCCAAACTTATTTCAAAATGTTTCGAGATAATATATATCAATATCAATTGATCACTGAAAGAGTATTTTAAAATTGATGTTGATATCCAAACTCGATCCAGCTGATTTAGAGATAAATATATCGATACCAATTACTTACGAAAAGAATATTAAAATTGATGTTGATATGCAAACACAATCTAAAGCGTTTAAAGATAAATATATCGATACCAATTGTTCACAAAAAGAATACTAAAATTGATGTTGATATCCAAACTCGATCTAAAATTTTTAAAAATAAATATATCGGTATCACTTGCTCGAAGAAAGAATAATCGTAAAAAAAAAAAAAAGTTAATATTAACATATGCTTCTAGAGGGAAAAATAATGAGGCAGGCGTAAAGGAAAATGTTCCACCCAACATTTTTTTTTCCATTGCAGACATGGATGATTCTCTCTCAATCCACCAATCAGCTTTCCGTATGTAGAATTTTTCGTGCTTTTTTGTCTATATAAAGCTATTCAAGGAACAATTTTAGAGACCCCAAAATTCGACCAACTTTCCCAAACATGCCTTGCTTTAAATCCTAAATTCAAGCTTGATAAGAATCCCACAAAGCAAAATGAAAAGCTTAAGAATCGTTTGGTATTGTTGTAAGTTTTAAGTTTTATTTTTTTAAAAATGTTGTTTTGTTTTATTTTCAATTTATTTAAGTTGAAAACAGGTTTGATTTTTTTTTTTGTTGTAGAAGCACTAAGACAAGGGACCACAATAAAAACTGGTTGAGCACATGGTTTACTAATTGATTGGGATTGGAATCGAAGTTCCCATGTAGTAACAGTGATCGAAATATTTTCAAAATATTAAAAATATATATATTTTTTTCACTTCTAATAATTTCCAAAATTTTGTTTTTAATTTTTAATTTTTAATTTTTAGAACAAAAACAACCCACCGAACGTAATTTTATTTCCAATTTCATAAAAACAAAAAAAATCTCCAAACAACCCCTTAGGTCTCTCAAATCTAAATCATCAAGTCACTACAACCCCATGTGATTGTCCCATGTATAGACAAGCCAAAATTTCAAGTTCTCTTGCATATATTTCACCAAACAAGATACCTTCATCACTTTCCATTTTTCTCTTCTTTTTTTTAATAAAAGCATGCATCCATCTTAATCACTACTTTTGACTTGTTGGGTTTCTTTATAAATAAATAAATATATATAGTAAGATCACCAACGTGACATCAATTTATATGTCTGTTTTATTTAATTATTAAAATTAATATTAACAATATTTAAGTAAATGCAAAAGTTACTAGCTAATCTAGCACGCTAGTGACGAATAATATTGTCGAATACCCTCGAAGATGGATCTATGCCGACAAGATTAAAAAAATGTGCTATTATAATGAGAATAGTTGAGATATTATTAATTCGAAATTTAATTTTATTGATTTATTTAATTGTTTTTAAAAAATAATATTCATGTTTAATATTTAAATATCAGTAGTTATAAATTTTTTAGATTTTTAGACCCTTTTTTAAATTATTAATTATTTTTATATTCTCTTCAATATATATATATAACATACACACAAACAAATACGAACTTTTCTTAGTGACGACAAGACATTAATCCTTAAAAAAAAGAACACTTGGGTTATGGCTCTTAACTATTTCTCTTAAAACATGATGCTTTAATCTCTTTAACTAATGATGAGCAACTGGCAAATTCCACCATGCAATATGGCCAACTCCATGCTTAGTGATAATTGTTTATAAAACAAAAGCGAAAATTCTCCCTTAAAAGGAGATTAGATTTTCAAAAACATGTAATTATTCACGATAATCACACGTGTACGTAAACACACACACATATATATTTAAAGTGTCTTCAAATTTAATTATATATTTATGGATCCTTTTGTGTAGATGAACTTATTCTCCACAAACTTATAACTTTAAATAATTAAGATATTAAGATCATATTTAATGTATAAAATGATAGATATGAAATGATGATAATCATCTTATATTATGTTTGATTTATATCTAATTGAAAAGGGATAAGATTACAAGAAGGATTATCATCTTATTGGTAAGATGATTCAATTTTTCTGAAATAGAGATGATTGTTTTTAATCTATAAGATTAAACTTATGTCTTATTATATATTTAAAGATTGCATCAATAATTTAAATTATATAAATTTAAAGAAAAAATAATTTTGATTAATAAATAAATTATTCTATCTTAATTTTTGCACACATCAAACATGAGATAGGATGACATTATTTAATTTAATCATATTCATAATATCATCTTATCCTATCTTATTACAATATTGTATATCAAACACATACCAAACTCATTATATGTATTAAAGTTTTGGAGTATATTTCAATGGCAATTGTTATTATAAAGAGGAATTTTTGCTAAAGGGGGAATAAATTAAAAAGCTAATTATCAATAATGCTTTGCTTCTCTATAATCCATTGTTAAGATATATATTATGCTCAACTTTGGTTAAAATAAGATGGAATTAGGCCATTTACATTGATTTTGAGAATAAAGTTATACTACAAAGACATTTGGAATGTAGGATCGATTCCTTTACATGTGAGAACAAAATTAAGAAAATTAGAAATTTTGATCATATTGTCGATTTTCTCTTGAATTAGTTGGTATAATATCAGAGGTAACACTTAGAGGTTATAGATTCGAAAGAATTTAGATGCGTAATGCTTTCTTTAACCAAGTATGTGATAAGATAGGGAGTGTTTAAAAGTGAATTAAAAACTTTAAAAAAAAATTGATTACATTAATTGGATCATATTAATGACAAGACAAGATGATCGGTGAATTTGTAAAAGTTACATTCGAAGAAATGTAACAATCAAATCAAATCAAAATAATTAAAAGGCAAAGATCAAAATTCATATGAGAACTTACATTAATGTGCATGCAACATAGCATATATATATATATTTATTACATGTTTAAAGCTTGGAATATTATCAAGGATTTTACAGCTTGTAGTCATTATCAAAGTACATCTTGTTTATTGGTGTCAAACTAAATGAACCTCATTGGATTTGTTAAAAACACAAATGTTTCTAGTGCAAACACACTTCAATTCTTCACGTTGTACAAATACTTTGACACATTTTGAGGTTAGCCAATGAGTTGCTTGCTCTCTTCAATGAGTTAGAACAAGTTGATATTCATCAACTTGGATTCATCTAAAGTTATTTAGAGAATCAACACTCTTTTGATTTAATATCTCCTTTTCTTTCTTTTGATAGCAGGCTGCAGCTTTTGATCTTTTCCTGTTTTATCAGTTCCCATCTGAAAATGGCAAAAAAAGCTTTACCAGAAGAGCTAACCATCAATGCGCATCCTGGATAGTGGGATCATAGTACCCTCCCATGGTAATGAGGGTTTGGTTCCCCGAATGTGCAATTGTTTTAAGTCCAGAGTCTAGTCACAAGCCAATACTTAGACTACAAAATATGAATCCCAACCACTTGATACCTGAATGTAGCCATATCCCTACCCCAGGTTACACAGTCCACCATACGGATTACAGGGTTGTGACACTAGAGAAAAAACTATAAAGAACTGCAGGTTGTTTACGCTAACCAGCCAGCTATATTGTTTAAATGCTCCTAGTGAATGTAAAATCGATAACACTGCAAAGTCGTTTATGCATGCATGAGTGCACATAGACATAGTAAACCTCCTAATGCTAGCAGCCTTGTTACAATTTTCCATTTTGTTAGCAGAAACATACCTTTACAAGTGTAAACAAAGCTCTCCCTGAAGACGCATGTACAAGAAATCTTTCTCAGCCTGATTTGGATCACATTGGAGGCTATCAAGCACACCATACCTAAATGAATCAGATGACGCTTCCACTTAAGGATCTGCAGTATCCTTTGTGAAACTGAAACTGTGAGCATTTGCATACTTGTTAGTATCAACACTTAAAGGGGTTTTCATCTCTTGACCAACACTACTATCCTTGGGACCATCTCAAAGAGGTCAATTGGCATCCAATCAATTTGAATACTTCTAAGTATTCGACACAGATTTGCGTACTGGGGATATGAATGAGAGAAATCAAATCTTATAGAGAACATGTTAACGATAGTATACAAGAACACGCAGAATGTAAAAAGCAAGCAAACCAAAAACTCTACAAAGATTTGAACTGAAAATACATTAACAGGGACAGCTCCTACATGTGGTTGCAGATACACAACTCAGAGCTTATATAGACTAAATCGAAAAAGAAAAATAAAAAGAAATACTAACCTAGGCATTGCACAAGAAAAATGCACTCAGAGGCTTCAAGTGAGGTTTCTGATACCAAAACGATGAATTTGACTCAATTGTCAAAAGATTCAAATTGAAACTTAGGATATCTCAGAAAAATGTATAACCAAAATAACTTAACTAATGCTTTTCATATGTTTAAGGCAAGAAGAAAACTATCATACCAAGCTGCATTTTAAACTCTCCTAGCTTTTTAAGATTTTGAAATCCAAGTCACATATATAAGCACTACAAGCAACAATTTCGGGTTTTAATTAACCAACAACATGAGATCCATGTTTAAATCTTTCAAATTTTCACAGAACATATATCAACAGAGACATTGAAATAGAAATGACAAAACTATTCCCTTCTATCACTCATAAATTCAGACTAATACAAAAGCATATGCCATTGCAATGGTAAGCATCAATCAAATATTTGAACTAAAAAATAATAGCAACAAAAGAAGCAGCAAATACTTACTATAATAACAGATAAAAGAAAAAAGAAAAAATGTAAGTTCAGCAAAATTAAATAAGGCAATAACAGCTTACTAACCCCAGAACCCCCAAAGTTACAACAAAATTCAACTTCAAAATCCAACATTGACAAGTAGCCATATAAATATACCCAAATTACTCTTCAATTATCTGCTCACTCTGATTCTCCATCCTCAAATACTCCCCAATATCAGCCTGATGAAGCACTACAATGGCATTAGGATCCAATTTCCTACAATCTTGGGTACTCTTCGCAGCAATACCAAACCCCAAAGGCAAATCCGACATGGAAAAAATCACAACCCCATCACCAGGTGCAATACTCTCCGTTATCCTCCCTAACCCACCTTTCAAAACATGATTTGCATACAAAAACGACATTTCCGAGGTGGGTTTTAGCCAAACCTTGTGCTTTGCATTTGCAGCCAACAGGTTTAAACATTCAATGGTTAAATGGAAGTTGCCTCCATGGGTAAATCTGCCTATGCAGGTTCCTATAGAAGCCAGCTTGGGTCTGGCCACGTTGGTGGCTCGTTTTACGAGGGAGTCGCTGACGTAGTAGACTTTGTTTTTGTGGAGCCTGAAGCAGTAGCGCCCTGGATTTTTGTCAGGGCCTTCGTGAGATGGGTTTTCGACTATGTTCTTCAAGTTGTTGCCTGTAAACTTGAAGAGCTTTTCGAATACGGCGGTGGTTTCTTTCTCGTCTAAGGGTCTCATCTTTGCTTAAGATTTGCAGAGGCTTTGGGATATGTTGCTGCTTGTTTACTAGGGTTTTAGATGATGGATTTGTTTTCAATTCTTTTCTTGGCCAGGTTTCATGGCTGAGACTAAATTGATTGGGCTCTATAATAGTGGACATCAAAGAAATATCCATCGATGGCTTAATGGGCCTAATTTTTCACTATCTTTAAACTTACTATTTTGTTATTTGTAACTTACACATGGTTTAAAAACTAAATTTTATTTTTATTGATAAATTTGGGTTGAAATTTGACATCAGCTCACATCAATCCATTACAAAAAAAGAAGAAGAAGAAATGGATGCATGAACTATTGAAGGGTTAAAACTTATAATTGACTAAACTTGCTTAAAGTATTTGCAATATCGTAATTAAGTATTTGAGATTTGTTGATGAAATCTTAATTTAATGGTAAAAAAGAAATCTTATAATTCTAAGGTTTTAAATTAATGAAAAAAGAAAGACCGATATTGATGTTAGGTGGATTGAGTTATTATATTACAATGTTATCAAAAAACGTTTTTGGAGGCCATGGCTCATGCCTGTCCTCCTTTGAATACGCCTTTGGGTTCAAATATCATTATGAATTTGATCGTTTAATTATATTATAATTTACTAATTAATTTTTTGGTGATTGTAAATTGATTAAAATATAAATTATATGGATGTAAATGCATGAGATTTATCTAGAAAATTGAGCTGGCCTTTGATTATTGGGTACCTGGTTATTACTTTGGGATTCCTGATCAAGTCCAATATATTGCCTTCTTTCTTATTCCATGGGAATGCCCCATATGACAGAGAAAAAAGGGTGTCTACCTTCCAAAATCAAGTTCAATGAAAAGCATAACAAGCTTAAAGAAACTTAAATATACGCGTAATATTTCACAAGAAAATAAGAAATGATATTTCATATTTTGTTTGTTTGTTTTTTCTCTTTCAATAATCACTAAAAACTATGTCAACAATGCCTGATCTATTTCAATGATTTTCAATGATCCAGATTCAAGCCTGACAATTTCAAGTAAGTAAAAAACAACCATAAAACATTAAAAAAAAAGTGATGATATCCAAAAGGAAACAGTAGCAATTAGCAAGTATTAATCTAATAAGATCAATAAAAGTTCAAAAGCCACCAACGTTGTAGTTATACAAAACAAAAAGCCAAATTGAAAACCATAAAAAAGAAATATCAGAAATCAAAAGCGCCAGCATCATATCCAGTACCATAAGCTGAAGCATCCGAGACCATATCTCAAATCAACATCGCACCAATCGCCCCTCCAAGCAACCCTACTCCCAATCCCAATCCAAACTTGCTATTCTTCTTTGGTGGCTGTTGCATTGCTGGGTACCCATATCCCCCTGGTGGAGGGTAAACATAACCTGGAGGTGGACGTGGAGGTGGGTAGCCATAGCCTGGTGGAGGTGGTGCCTTTTGTGGGTATCCACCATAAGCGTATCCGCCATACGCCGCTGCTACAGGAGGCGGTGGATATCCATAGCCAGCTGTCTGTGGTGGAAGATAAGGTACAGGCACACCATATGGGGCTGAACTGGACCCGGCCGCCATGTGTGTCGGATATGCAGCAACGGGCTGATCACCCTTGCTTTTTTCTGACTTGACAGGCTTAGAAACTTTGTCTCCAATCTTGTAAGAAAAATTCAGGGTACCTTCAGGTCTTCCTGACGGATTCGTTACCTGGTATCTAACGAACTTGATGGAACTACCTTCACCTGGTGAATCCAGGAGCTCCTTAACTGGAATGTTGACTTGACCAAGTTCTTTGTCTCCAAGGGTACGCTCGCACTTGATCCGGAACTTGAGGTTCGGCTCGTTGTTCTTGGCCAAGGACTCGTCCATGGTGAACTTGACAGGGAAATTCCAGGTTGGGTTTTTCCCACAATCTTTGTCTACAGGGGTTTTCATCTTCTGCCTGTGCTTCCATGAATCACCCTTGAGGGACACGACGGCATACACGTCCATTTTATCGATGAGATTGACATTTTTTAGGTCTGTTGCAGAGATGACGTTGATCTCTAAGGTTTTATGCGCCATAGCTACAAGGAAAAAGAAAGAACTTGGGTGGAGGCTGGGCAAACTAATTGAAGATCTTTCCCTTTTTCACTTTTGAAATTGCCTGGAAAAAACTTCATGTCGACGCTATATGGGCGCCGGGAAAAAGAGATCTAACCATGGCTGACGAATGGATAATGACAGTCGTAAGCCATGGTTGACAAAAGAATCTTCTGTGCAATAGTCTGCTTTCTTGTTTTTCCAAACTTTGAAACGATAACATTGAGGAATCAGCTTCAGGCTTTTGATTCTAGACTGGATCCGGCCAGGTTTCATCTTTGACTAGATCAGAATTGGAATTTGGGTGTTGATTCATTAAAAGATATTTCTTCTGCAATTATAAGTATGCGAGATGAAATTTCATTTCCTGGGGAAGTCACTACTTAGAAGTCAGAATAACTATAAATTTGTCAAATGAGTGAATGCATAAAATAAGCCTGTACTGCAGCCTGCAATATCTTATTATTTTAGATTATCTGCATTGGTTTTTGAAACTTTCCAAGCCAGAAACAGAGTGATAAATTCATTCAAGAAAGAAGGGTTCTTCAAGGAGAACGCAAGCAAGGTAACTGCAGAAACATTTCATAGTAAAGTCTTCACAATATTTATATGGACATGCTAACTGAACCCAAGTGCTGATGCACTCATCCAAGATGGACAGGCAAATAACCCAACTAGCACTTCGAGTCAGATACAGTTTCACAGCATCTAGTTATTAAGATTTAGCATCTGACTGGATTTGTCAACTATGAAGGTATTGGGTCTACTGTAGACGTAGTTGTTACTTGCCTCAGCTTCATATCGTGCATTACAGGCTGCAACAAAATGGTCAAAGTCCAAAGTTCTTGAGCGCATCTGTAATCTGGTTTAGGATAGGATGGAGAGCAGGTGGAGATTAAGCAATGAACACCTTCCAGTACCCAGGAATTTCAACTGCCGAACAACACGACATTGAAAAACCAATTAATTTGTCGATTCAAATTAACGTTTTTGATGTAAAATCAGAGACCTGTTGCTTTCATATCGGTTTGTGATTGTATGGCTGATAATTTGTATATTTATATATAGTAAAATATTAATAATTTATGTATTTATATAATATTTTATACGAAAATTATACATCATAATTTATGTTAATATAAAAAATATCAAATATTTTTTTATTTTTATTAAATTTATATATAATTTTTAAAAAAATTTTAAATTGTATATATTATCTTCATATTTTTTATATCAATTTTATTTTATGTCATTGTATCATATTTTAAATTAATAAATTTAAATTTAAAATATTTGAAAATTTTAAGTCTGAACTTTGCGGATAGAAAAGGTTTTTTCTCATGAATAACGTGAAAAGTTTTAATTATGCTTTTGCCTGCAGCATGAATACGAGTCCCAATATAAAATCATATCCCAAGTATAGTACTTGTAGATGAGGGGAAAAAGTAAAAGAAAATTGTAGTTGAGTGAAGAAACAATATCTAATTAAGGTCTCAATAGCTTTCCATAATAGAAGAATAAGACAGAAATTTGAAAGTAACTATGCTTCTAACTTGGTTTTAAGTTAAATAAAACAGGAAAACAGTAAGTTGGATATATTAAATTGGCATATTTAAAGGAATGAAAGCTAAATAAATGGTGGTTTGATGTCTGGTATGTTGTTTCAACTCTCACCCTTGTAAAAGGCTGATCCTCATTGGTTCACAGTATAAAAAATCCACCATCACTGGTGGACTGTGCACATGCATTGAATCTGGCTCTTGACACCATCAATTGCAGTTGAAAAGCAACATCTTGTTTAAATTACAATATTTTTTTAAAAAATAAGTATCATTTGAACGAGTAATGAAATTAATTTCAATTAGAATGGTTGGATTAAAATTAATATTAAATATATGTATTTAAATGTAAACATAATTGTAATAATAAGATTAGATATAGCAGTCATTGTCCTATAAAAATAATTAATTGTTATAATTGAAATTTTTTTTATTTTTTAATTTAATACTAAAGCAATGAACTGCCCTAAATAAAAATCAAGTTGGGGCCAATGGATAGAATCAAAGGGCCCTAAGTTTGAATAATTCTTCCATTTGACAGTAGGTGTTGGGTGGTTAATTATTAGACCCATGGACCAATCCAGAGGAGTTTACAAATTAGTATTTGAGGGAAGCAAAAATAGAAAAACACTTACATAAAATTTTTTAGATTAAGTTTCTAAATTTTAAAAAAGATGATTTAATAAAAATTTAATAAAAAATTTAAATCTGATAAAATTTAATATGAAGATCAATAATATGTAAAAAAATTATTAAATATACTAAAATTTTATGTAAATTTTTTCCCGTAGAAGTATGGTCTGTTAGAATCTAAAACGTGAAATATCCACTTAGCAGGTGGGGGCCAAGGCTTAAATCGTTATCAGATTGTATTAAAAAAACAAGGGGAAATGGAATCTTTGCACAAGTAGCTGTGCTTTATTATGAAAAGAGGAGAAGATAAGGACATCATATATGGGATATTCCTAAGATTTTCAAAGCTCTATGTCAAATTTCAACCACCATTTCTAAAAGCTTATTTCCAGGTTTGTTTTTGGTAGTTGCTGCTTCCACTGAAGTTTTCTATTTCTTCAGTCTTAGGTTATCCACTTGACTAGAAAAGACTTCAAGATGCAAACAATGAAGACCCACCAACAGAGATACATATTTTTAATGAACCAGTTTTTTGGGACTGCTAGCCAAGGTACCATATATGTAAAGCCATGATCATACGGTGAGAGTTTTACCTAGAATTTAAACGTTTGATGTAATATTGATTCAGTTCTAAATTTGATAACAACATTAAATTTTAATGCCAAAACTTGTAATGTTGCAATTTCATATTGAAATATTGTGAAATCTGTTACGGTATATATAAAGATTTGAACGAAATGTTTTTATAAGATAAAATTATAAAATATTTATATCAAAATAAATAATATCACGTAAGTTGAATGTAAATTTTTACGATCTATGAAAATCCAAACCAAGATAGTACTCAAAGAAGAAAGCGGATGTATGTTTTCCTTTGTTTTATCATGGTATAGAATTAGTTCACTTTGTTTTGCTATTAAGTTATGGCTTTATGTTCTGTTTTCCTTCCATAACTATCAAACAAAAGAAGTTTAAATATGAGACAAAGCAAGAAAAATTCGATTTTTTTGAATATTGTGAAATATTATAAAAATTTAAAATTCGATTTTAATTCAAATTGAACTTTCATTCGATCTAAATTGAATCGAATTGAATTTTATCGATTCGGTTCGATTTATCGGTTTAAAATTTTTAAATTTTTATATATTATTTTGATATCAAAATTTAATATATTTAAGTAAATTTTGATATAAAATTATTATTTTTATTTTATAAAATTTTAAAAATATATAAAAACTAAAAAAATATATACAATTCAATTCGGTTTAATTTTTTTATCTCTCAATTCAAAATCTAATTCAAACCCAATATATGCATTTAGTATTCAAATTTGATCCGATTTAAGTAAGAAAAATTCGAACTAAATATTATTATTTCGAATCGATTTTCGAATTTAAAAATTTTTTTTTCCACTCTAAGGTTAGGGACAGCTAAGGATATCTTATTGCATCATTTCTTGACAATCGACTTATCTAAATCTACTTACAAGAATCGGATCTGCTCTCATCAACCAAAACCTAGAAATAATTGATCCATTGTCTATCAGTTTCATCATTTGTAACTGCCCTATCTACTCTTTCTCAATACAATGTGAAAAGCCTTATTATTTGCAAAGCCACCAAACTAGTAGCTCATTCCCCAGTCACGTTTCATGCTCTAGCTACTTAAACAATTGATAATCTTCATAAATTCTCCCAACACCATGTAATAAATAGAATTGTACCAAGGACCAACTTTTTTAAATCTATTTATTTGGTTGTAGCTAGCCATAATAGCTTGAAACAATGGTCTAAAGGCTTTGCCTTCCCTTTGAGATAAGGCCAACAAGTAGTGGGAGATGATACTTTTGCCTGCCGTTTAAGAAAATCCCAAGAACTTAATCTCTATCTTTATTTTTTTTTATATAAAAAAATGGTAAAAGAAGATATTATAAATGTTGAAATTTAAATCTCAATTTTTAAAAATGATTACACGAAACTAAATTTCGGATTCCTATTTTTCTCCGTTTTGCATCAGTATATCCAATAGAAATAAAGTTTGCTAACAAATTAAAGTACTTATGTGCAATTTTGATTTAAAAAAGAAAATAAGACAAATTCATGAAGTGGTGTTGGACCAATGTGCATCGTTGCAAACTTGTCATTTTTTTAAAAGGCAATTCCAACCCATGTCTCAACTGATCTCAACAAGATTTGAGTTCATTGACAGTTAGCCAAGTTATGCTTTCATAATCCAATTTCATACCACAAACAACAACAAACCCCTAAGTCATAAATGGGATCACATATTTCATCAATGTTTTTCATTATATGAAAAGATCATGCAAGTAAGCTCCTTTCCAACACACACACACACACACACACACAGATATATATATATATATATATATATAATTTCCTCTCTTGTCTTTTTTGTCTCTTCCTCTCCCTTTTGACCAATTTCGCTATGCTATTAATAATTAATAAAAATTTTTTTTCTAATAAAGTGTTTGGTTGAATCGACCTTGAAATTGTAATGTTTCAATATCACATTAGAATATTATAAAGAAGTGTTATGATATATATATATATATATTTAAATTTATACTTTCAAAGTATTCTTTAAAATAAATTTAAAATTTTTTTGAATCAAAGTGTATTTTCCCTGGTAAATTGAATGTAAATCTCCAAATTAGTGTTAGAGTTAGGTTTTAATACTAAGAATTGTGGGTTATGAGCGTTAGAAAAACCTTGAGCAATTAATATGATATCAACCAACATTTATTATTATGATATTGCTAACCATATACTTATACTCTTAGCTCATTGGTTCATCATTAAAGTTTGAATGTGAGAAACCTGGGTCTTACTAAAACTTGATTGGATGTGCTTGATTTGTTTATTTACAATTCCTTATTAGTCCTATCAGCATTAGATGTGTTAATTTTAAATATGACAAGATGATACGATATAAAAATACAACAAAAAAAATTATATATTGAATTTAGTATTGTGTTTTGTATCTTAATTGTGTCCACATAAGATATAGTATTATTCGTACAAGCATATATAATATACAAATTATAAAAATTAATTTAATTTATATTTTAAATAAATTAATAATCATATTTATTGTATCATTTTAATATTTAAGTGGATTATAATTATTTAATTTTTAAACAAATTTTATTGAAATACTAATTTAAATGATGTTTTTTGTTTAAATAAATAGATTAATCGATCTAATCACGTTAATTGTATCATATCGTGTTATTTGAATTGTATTAAATAAATTAATTTTAAATATATTAATCATATTATATCATATGTAATACATATAATAAATGATTATATTTTTATTTAAACTATTCATATTATTTAAATATTCATATAATCTTCATATTAAATTATTTATATCATATCTAAAATCATATTTAACACAAAATACAAATTTACTGCATCTACTCAACATCCGACATTAACGTTGCTTGCCGGTTGGAAATTTACATGGCTATGCCCGGCTGTCAACACTGATGGACTTGGTCAACTTTCACAACAACATTGTACCAAAATCACCATCGAATCACGTGTTTCCAATTGACTGGGCTGGTAGACATGGCCCCCACCATTGATGCCAACCGGTTCGGCTACATCACATGTCACATCGATATCGAAAAAGAAACATGCTATATATATATATATATGTATGAATGAATGTATTATGTGATATTAATATGTGATTACGTGTACGTGTATGGTATGTATATATATTTTCATGCGTATTTATAAACTTTGAAGCATTTATTAATTTGGCATAAGATAGAACTAACCTTTTGACCTTGAGCAACTAGGTTCACCAGGAATCAGGTTCTTTGGGTATGGCCGAAAATATCGGAGCTAGTGCTTCAAATGATGATGGCTGTCTCAAAGAGCAAGACCGTTTGCTTCCAATAGCCAACGTTGGCCGAATAATGAAGCAAAATCTGCCTCCTAATGCAAAAATCTCAAAGGAAGCAAGGGAAACTATGCAAGAATGTGTTTCAGAGTTCATTAGCTTTGTCACTAGTGAAGCATCTGAGAAGTGCAAGAAGGAAAGGCGCAAGACTGTTAATGGAGACGATGTTTGCTGGGCTTTGGCTACTCTAGGTTTTGATTACTATGCAGTGCCACTAAGAAGATACTTGCACAAGTATAGAGAGCTTGAAGGAGATAAAGCAGCAAATCAAGACAAGGTTAATAACAGCAACAGTACTATTGAAGACAAGGAGGAACAGTACTCATATGGAAGAAACCAGGTTGTAGCTCCAATTCCATTGAAGTTCAGCATGAGAAGCAGTAACAACTCCAATCTGGGGCCATTTAATTGAGGTTTTAGAGTTGTTTTCTAGCTTAATTTAACCATGATAGCACAAATCAACAAGATCGGGTCCTATATTTACTTGATTTAATGTGTTCTGTTGGATAGATCATATGACAGGCAACCTATTGACCTGATCTACTGAGGCTGCTTTTATTTCATGTATGGAATTTGTGCATCATGGTTTTCACCCAAACTTCTGCAGTTTTTTGTTTGTTTGTTTGATTGAGATACAAAATCAATCTTAGCTTTGGGAATTAGGAGAACTAAATTCATATGTTATATATGATACTGATTTGTCTAGCTTGTATATATTTTGGAAATATTGGTATCTTATACTTGAATGTTGGATCTGGTTCAAGACCCAGCGTCGGTGATGACAAGATATTTCATTGTTTCAGCCCGTCTGCAACAACAAGGAAGCCATCAGGTTAGTCAAACAGTACTTTTCTCATTCAGGAAATTCAGAAGGTAGTCCTGAAATTTGCTTACTTGGTAGTTGGTCCATAATGCTTGAATCTGGGTGTTCATCTTCACAATAAGCACGTCAATTTAGTTACTTTACCCCTTTACCTGGTTGTCTGAAGTCAGACTATGTTTGGAATCGAGCCCGGTAGGAGGGCTTCCAACGCACCAACATGTGCGTTGGGAGCCCCCCTACTGAGCTTCCAAATGAACTGTAAGACCCAGTATCACCTGTACCAGATATACAAGAATCATAGCCATTTTTTTCCTTTATAATTTCTAGTAAGTCCACATCTTTTGTAGTATCAACAGTGGCAGATGTTGACTCGGTTAAAGTATCTATCTAGGATTAGGGTTCCTTTAGCTTGGGGCCACCATTTAGTATTAGCTGAATACTGTTTAAACCAAAACAAGTCCTGCGCAAGCTCACGACATTGATCTCATTTAATGAATTGGGTCATTTTGGGTTTATTATATGTACAATTGCTATTGACCTTCTGAGGCTTTACCACATTTAAGGTTCAAGAGATTAGGGTTTCTATTGTTTTACATATTATGGGCTTTATTAATTGGAGCATATGGTCTGCTATTCACATTGTATCAGAATAAAAATGTAGGGTGGGAGACAGACAGAAAAAGTATATTAACCTTGAAACTATCCACCAATCTTTTCATTTCCATGTATGAAGCACTTATTCAGGGAGCATAGGATAATATTATTTGATTGAATATTCAGGGAATCCCCAACACCCAAAACTCCAAAAAGTACTATATATATATATATATATATATTTGCAATGAATTGTATCAGTTCAGTCAAGTTAAAAACAAGAACCCAAGAAGGCAGGAATTCTCTCAATGTGATTAACGGCATGTCGCCTTGGTACCAAGCAATGCCCGTCTTCATGTGCTTTCATAGCCGCCTGCCCAAAGGCCAAGATGCCATGCCAGACAGTTTACTGTTCATAAAATATTTTACATGACCGGTGTGTGATTGCATTTTTGCTGTGTCAATCGAAGGGCTTATAATAGTTGAATTGAAGTTCATCAGTAAAGGGCTATTGCAACATTTATGAAAGCTGTGCAAGCTTAATCATTCTGCTACCTTTTGTTTTAGGATTATTATATACCACAAACTTTAACGAGAATGTCTGTTGCCCATTTTATCATAAAATATTCTTCTTATGATATATATCTTCTTACTTATATGTACTTAAAGTTTCATTACGAAGAAAAGACAAAGCATACACGTATCATTTAATTCATTAGAGATTAATTATGAGATCATTTGCATTTGCTTCTCTTATCTCAGGTTACGGCTTTCTTTGTATAAAAAAAAAAGGTTGAGAATTTAAACATTTTGGCCAGTCCTAAATATATAAAATGATCAAACTTGTCTAAATATATAGAATGATCAAACTTGTGGTTATAATCATTTCAGAGTATGTAAGCCTAATTAAATTGCAGATTTTGATAATAATAACAAAATTTTGGCTGGAACTGAGCAAAATTTATTTCATAAATAAAGTGATCATAAGTTCAGTATTATGCATCCATCAGAAAGCTACCCATATCCTCATCACAGCATTTTTACCCAGCTACTTTCTGGAACAATTTTTACTGCTTAATTAGTAAATTAATTACGATCAAACCTTATTGAGATCTCTAAACAGTTAATGTCATTGCTGTGTTGATTTCCCATGCATGCAGCAGTGCTGGAATTTTTTTAAGCTAGCAACTCAGTTAAATGAAAGGGCTGTAGCCTGCAATTCTTCAACTAGCCTGATATATTAAATTGACTATCAAGACTATATAATGACCTATTATTGTGAAGAAGTTGGCATCAGGCCCTCCTGGCAATAAAAGACTGCAACAACTGACATTGTAGACTGATGCACATTTATATCGTGCATCAAATTCAGGTAAATAAAGAGCAACAGAACTTCATCAGCACAGCAGTGAGGAGGATGCCGATAATAAAGATATAAATTTATGTAAAGAAACCTGCAGATATGTTAAGCAACAGTGATAGAACAATGAGAGAAACTCAAGTACATGTCCTTTTACATTTATCTCAAGTGATTAGGAACGAAAAAAAAAGTTGACCCAAACTGACACTCAAGGCTCTGCAGTAAGCTGCATTAAATATCAATTGAGAGGCGGAAACTTAAACGATGAGAAACCTTGCACTAATTCATGCAAAAGCAGGTTTGCTATGTGCAAAGAGCTTATCTTGGGGCCTTTGCATGAGAGGCCTGATGTTGATGAATCAATGAATCAATGAATCAAAGAAGCAAACCTGTCTACAATTTGTATGTTTACTTAATAGGCATTGAGTCAAAGGTTCCATCTCTAGTTAGTGACCATCGAATTGCCTATTGCATGCCAAAAGAACAGCAAATTTTATGGAGACTTTTAAATTATTCTCTGATCACCCTCTTGAGTCCAAACTTCGAGCTAAATTTAAACATAGCAGCATGTACAACAGAACGGTAAGACAGGGCATTCCCTTAGCAGTAAGACGTAGGATGGAGGGCATGGTCAAAATTTCACAAAAATATAACATGGTTGGGGCTGAGCTAGCCTAAGATACAATGATTGGGCTGAACTTAATAGAAATGGATGGATGTTTCGGCCTAAAAAGAACAGCCTTGCTGATGTTTATCAGAAATAACCTCAAGCCTTTTTTTCCATACTTCTTTACCAGTATATATATTTATATATTGAGGTTCGTAAGCCTTTTTTTTCTGTACTTCTTTACCAGTATATATATTTATATACTGATGTTCATATACATACGAGAGAAATTATTAAATACATTAAAAAATTTTAATTTCACAAACAAGATTTAAAATGATAATACATGTCTTATATATGTTTAAAAAATTAATTTAAATATATATATATATCATCATCTTAATTCAACTTATAAAATTAAAAAATTTTATTGTCAGTGTATTTAATAATTTTTCTTTATATATATATATATATATATATAACTGGTATCCATTCATCGTGATGTTTATTTGATGAATGTTTGTACAGTTTTTCGTACCAAAGTGAATAAATACTTATCAGTAAGTCAAGAAATGGTTTAATCATAGATAAGTTGCCAAGCAGTGCAAAGATCTCCCAAACTATCATAAATATTTCTGTCTTTTGTTGGAAATTCATGAAAGAGAACTTTCATTATGTGATCAACTTGTCAAGAACCGTGCACGGAACGTTCAAATGAGGAATTACCAAAGAAACTTCCATCAATGTCTTGGCAAGAAAATTCAAAGTCTTGAGTCAATGCTTGTCATTATCTATAATAATTAAACCATCTTCTTATAAAACTGGTTTTACAAACTTTCTTCACCTCAGCTTCATTTCCTTCTACCTTCAACCTTCAGAAAATCATGGCAAGTACTGAAGAACATCAAAACTTGATCAAGGTTGAAGAAGGATGGCCGGTTCTTCAAAAGGGAGTAGACAAACTGATTAAGATAATAGAAGGTGATAAAAATCAAAGTTTCTCGTCTGAAGATTACATGCTTTACTACACGTATCCTAATAGAACACAGTTTTGTTCTTGGTTTTAGTTCCTGTCTTTGTCTTGTTTTTCTGGTGAGAAGCAATCAATGAAATGATCAGTTTTTGCTTAACCAATTGCTAGAACTGTGTATAACATGTGTAATCCAAACCCTTCCGGTGGTATTTGTCAGGTATTATATGAGAAGTATAACAACATTTTTGAAGAGCACATCACTAGCAAAGTGAGTTTTGAACTCAAAGCTTAGTTTGATTGATTTGTTCAGTCATACTTAAGAAATAGCATCTAACATATCTGAAATTCAAATCTCAGCACCTACAAAAACAAGTGAATTTTCATGAAATCTTTTACATATTAATCTACTGACAAGCAACTTTTAGAACCTAGCCAAAACCCAAATAAATGGAGAAAAGTACAAAACTTTACACCATAGATTTTGGGTTGGTTTTTGTTTTACCAGGTTTTGCCATCTTTGCAAGGAAAGAAAGATGAAGCTCTGCTACAAGAATTAGTGAAAAGATGGTCAAATCACAAAACTATGACCAGATGGCTTTGCAGATTCTTTCATTATCTGGATAGATGCTTTGTTCCCATGAGGAAGGTTCCTCCACTCCAAGAACTTGGCCTTTTGTCTTTCTATAATTTGGTTAGTCCCAAATTCTTATATATCTCAATACCAAATCATAGTTTTTCTCTCTTGAAAATCTTATAGTACTTAAACAAACTTACATGTTCTGTCTTTTTTTATTTTGTCCAAGATACTTGGAGAAATGAACAATCAAATCAGAGATGCTATAAAGTGTATGGTATGGTCAAGTTCTTGCATTTCTTCTGCTTATTCAAAATTTCTCTGCTGAAGTTATAAATATGGCTAATGCCAACTTCAGAACTTTAATGGTTTAAAATCTACACTAATCCTTCATTTATGGTTTTCTTCTGATCTTCAGATTGATTGGGAGCGTGAAGGAGAAGACATTGATCAGGCCCTGATAAAGAATGTTACAGCTATATATGTTGATGTTGGACAAGGATCAATGAAATACTATGAAAAAGATTTTGAAGAAACCATGTTTAAAGATACTGCCGCATTCTATTCCACCAAGGCCTCTAACTGGTTAAAAAATGAATCTTACAAGGATTACATGCTTAAGGTATCAATAAAGACTTCCATCAGTATGGATATAAGTTTCATATAATAAAGGAGATTAATCAATCTCTTGCTTTTAATGCTGACAATTTAGGTTGAATGCTGCTTGAAACACGAAAGAGACACAGTTTCTTGCTATCTGCAGAACAGAAGCCAAAAGAAGCTACTCGAGGTTTCTCACTATTTTCTCTAGTTTCTTTGTACATTTCCTTCGGTTCCCTTTACTGTCACTAACTTTTTTCCCCCTTTATAGATTGTAGAATATGAATTGCTATCTGTGCATGCAACTGAATTGCAAGAGAAGAACAGCCTGACGCATCTCCACTGACAGAAAAACAAATCTGATTTATGATGTTCATACCTTGGAGGATGAAAAAAGTTTTAACTTTACAGAAACAAGTTATTTTGCAATTCAGTAAAACACGTTATTTAGCAACAACAAAAATACACTGGAACCTTCCAAAAGAATATCATTTTCCACTCCAATAAAATTTTGAACAAATTGTAAACAGAACAGAGAACCTTTAATGAATAAATTGATAAACTGTCAACACTACATCGGAATTCAACCTCCTCAAAATGGTTGCCTAATGATTTCCAACCTCTATATATATATTCTTTTCCTCAAGCCCCAAAATAATGGAGCAAAAAAAATAGTACTACATGGAACTGACATCTTACATAGAGCTCCAAATCTCTTGCCGAACAAACTAGACTTCTATCCTCTTGGCCAACCCAGAAAACTTAAGGGTGAGCGTGCTGTGCTCTTATCAATGTCAAGAAGTAGGTGAATTTCAAAAATATACATTACAAATTTGCAAATCAGTCTCACTTTGTACACATGTATAGAGAGGCAACAGGCTGTTGGTGATCCACATCTTTGCTTGTTTTCAAAGGCAGGTCTTAGTAGGCATCTTTTTCCCCTTCCTTCTCCAATGCACATTGGGGGTTATAAACCAAAATACACAATATAGACGGGTAACTTAATCTCTAGCAACGCCTAAACCAGAACGACTTATGACCTCCATAGCCTGCTGAACCAAACATATAAACCCGTTCACATCCTGGAAACTGAAATCAATCACCTTTTTAACAGAAGTAATACACTCTGTATTTTGTGCTTCTTCCAGGGATGAATTAGCATCTACAAAAGCAGTTTGGGATTTTCTTGAAGCCTCCATTGCAAAACTTACATCCTGTGTCTGCAGAACAGTAACATATTAACACATTTACCTACTTGAACCACCCTATCAGCAACCATACACATTGAGAGACAGGGAATTCTTCTATCAAGTTCTTGAGATTATACTGGTGGTTATCTGTTACTAGTACTAAATGATTTCTAGCTTTATTTTACAATAAAGATCATTGGGCAGACTTCAGGTCTTAATTTATTTTTCTCAAACTTAAGGACAGGCAAACTCTCAAAATCTCCCTTGTTCTAAATCAAAGCGGGACAAGCACCATTTCAGAACGAAAACAGCATAAGCCTGACAATAAAAGTCTACCAACAAGCTTGGCCAAGCTTTTGACATCAATCTATTGGACAATCGAGAAAAACATGCGAATATAGCAGGGCTATCTATTGATCCTTCAAGCAACCGGGAGTTTGGTTTTCCAACCAGCAAGAAAGAAAGACCTATATTACCAAAGAACCTTAGTCAGATAATGCAGATCTACACTGTAGGGCCAAATGCAGATCCATACTGTAGGGCCAGATGCTAAGCGTTCTCATTACCCTTTCTGACACTTTTTCATTAAGATTATCATCTTATTTCCACCAAAATCACATAAGTCCATGTCCAACCACCTCAAAACAACTTTACAAGTTGTCCATAATAATTGATGTTCACTACCTAGGAACATTCTTGAAGAAAAGCATATATTTAGGCAGTTAATAATAATAATACTGAAGTAAATACTCTGTGTAGATCACTGCCTAATAAAATATATAAAATCATAAAGAAGCAAGAAAGAGAGAGGAGACAGGGAAAGATTGGCCCCGTCTGACTGAATCAACTTACAAAGGCAAGCAGCCGAACAAAATTTGGGCGGTTTCTAGCAACAATGACATGGGTTCCAGCAACATGTGAAAGATTACCCTTGGCTAATGGAGCCTTATCCACTGTTGGTTGATTATTTAAGTTATTATCAACATCTGATGCAGAAGATGATGGAGATTCACCTGAAAGAAGCCATTTGAGAAGATGTTGTGAGGTACTCAAATCTCAGAGACTTTCAATGTGACAACTAATTAACATGGAAGAAACAATTTTAGTAACTAAAGTTGCATCTCAACCAAAACAAAAAGTATCCGTTTACAGTAAATATTTTACGTTAAACCCCTTAAAGCATGATATAAAACTACGAGTGGGACAGTAGCCCAATGAGAGTTCAGAAGGAAAGGAAAATCAAATATGAAATATCTACATGTTAGCTTCAAGTGAAACCTAAAACGGCCACATGCACTGCTGGCTGGCCTCAAAAAAATAAACCACACCCCAATGCACATGATTCAAATTTTAAAGGAAAATATCACCAAATAGAAGATTCATACCATGTAAAGGGATGAGCAATTAAGCACAGGAAGAGAAACTAACCTAAGTATATATCTATTGTATGACTTCTTACCTTGAGGAACCATCTGTAGAGTTGCTTGCAACTCATTCCAGTTTCGGCTGCTAGTAGAATGTTTGCAGTAAACAACCCTCATGTATGCTACCTCCATGCATTTATAGGCCAAAGAGGCAGCAGCCATTTCTCGGCGTCTTTCATATTCATGGGCACACATTCTGTGAACTCGAGAATTTCAGCATAGAGCAACATATAGGGATATATAAACACTCCTAATGTAAATATAAACAAAAAGAAATCTATTGAAGTTCAAGAAACATCATTTTCCCATCACTTTTGAAACATTCACTTACTCGCAAAGTTTAGTGGCAGCACTATACACTTGCATTTGGTTCATGTCCCCATGTCTACTGCTCTCACTATTGCTGGTCTCTAGAAGGGCAGCAGCGCCAAGAAACTTAAGGGCAGCTTGGAAATAAATCTCATTGCTTTCAAAAACAAAACCAGAACTCTGAAAGAGGACAATGAAACAGTTAGGATAGCAAAATCTTTTTCTTTCTATAACATTTACAAAAGTGGCATATCTATGTAGGAACAAAATCTGAAAAGAAACCTTAAGATGATCAGCATAATTTCTAAGCTCTTTAGCATCATTCAGGGCATTAGTTGCTGTCTGGCTGGAGGAATTTACTCCCACAGGACTGTGAGCATTGAAATCTCTGACCACACGCAAATCAGGCATGCACTGTCCCAAATTGTGGGCAGATCCATTCTTGCTGCCGGCTTTTCCAGGCTGTTTTATAGCCTTAGACACATCAACATTGCCAGAGACATCAACTAGAAATCCATCAGAGACAACTCCCTGTTGGGCTTCTGGTACTGTTTGATGACCTGTTGTTTCTTGCCAACTTTCAACTTCACAATGCAAGGACGATTTGGGCTTTCCACTTCTTATCTCTATAGTTTGACCACTAAAAGCCTGGATCAGGTTTTGCTCAGGGGTATTGTTCGCCTTTGTGCTGCCTGGAGCATTGGATTTTGCATCAAATTCATCATACTTTATATTTGACAGGGTCTCCATTCTACTATCACTTGACCATTGTCCTGAAAGATCACTCCTTCCAGCATAGTTTTTCTCATCCTTCCTAGATTTTGGCAAATTGCGTTTACAATCAGCAATTGTTTCTTGAAGACATGCATGACCCTTGGGCCCAACATCTGATCGATACCTTATGTTCTTTCTTGAACACAAATCTTCCTGTTCATCTGTTGGATCATAAACCTTCATCCTATCTGCAGCAGAACTTTTACTGCCTTTTGTCTGTAAAGTAGAACCCTTATCAGATTTTTGAGAAATAAATGCATTGCCATGGCACTCCCTGTTCACTCTATCATCACCATGGGAACATTCTATGGCATGCTTCCCATATTCGGCAAAATGAGTATCACCTTTGAGCAAATGGCTATTTCCCAATCTAGAAGAAGGTTTAGTTTTAATGCTGATTTTGCAAATAGAATCTCTATTCTGATAATCCAGGGTAGAGGATTTACGGGATCTGGGGTTAAAATCACCTGATACTTTCTCTTTCATTTCTGTACCAGATTGAGCAAGCTCAAAAGTACCTTCCCTATCCCAACATCTTCTAAAACTGCCACTTAGAGGAATGCCACTATTTGCAGCATCATCCTTCCAAGGACCATCCCCGGTGGTCAATGCAAGCTTTTCTGGATATGAGGTCCTCATGGGAGATGAAGAAACTGATTCAACTGGCGAACCCCTTGCTTCTTCAAAGTTTGCTCTGGTTTTACGAGAACCAGAAACCATTGAAGAGCTAGAAGTTGCTGCCATCAAAATTTGTCCAGTTCCAGAATCCCTTCTTGATGAACCAAGGCCATCCAAAGTTTTTTGAGGCGAGGACTTTTTCTTGAGTTTACTTGGTTGCTGGTTCCTATCAATACTTCTGACTTCTTCAATGCCACCAATCAAATCATCCATACTTTTCCTGTTTGATGTACCATCACCATCATTTCTATGGGACTGCTTTCCCTCAATCTCTGAAACTCGTGACTTCTTTTCATTCCTAAATCCACTCTCACTACTTTCTTCCTTCATAAATATATCATGCCCATTTTGACTATCCTGCCAATCCTCCAATTTCCTTTTCTTCACAGAAGCCCTTTTATCACATATTCTCATGTCTAATAACCCACCATCTGATGAGGCCTCAGTTTGATCCACAAGTTTCTTCACACAAACCACTGATCCTTCTTTCATATCATGCTTTACATCCCCAGAATTAGAACACTCATTATAATTCTGCACACTTCTTCCATTTGCTTGAGTTAGCAAGCCAGTGCTTGAACTAAGGCCCACCCTTCTGGGGTCCAAGTTAGAACTGTGATGTTTATCAGTAGCGTATATAACTTCTGCTTTGGTTTTCTTTGAATCTTCATATGCATATAGACCAGACTCCGTCTTGTTTTTCATTTTTGCTTGCTTGGTCGCACCTACAATCAAACAATGCCCAAAAATATATAAATAAATAAATAATCTCAATATAAAAGTGTGACTGCTAGTGAAATTTAGGCAATAAAGTCAACTAAATACCTCCAATTGGATGCTTTTCTTTCTGTTCAAAGGTGGATTTATTCTTGAGATTTGATTCAACATGGAACTGGGTCATGTCACTTAAGCTCCTATTTTTCAAAGATTCCTGCTGTAATTTTATTTTAGTGTTTGACATCTGACTCAGGCCACTGCTACCTGCCTTCTGCACTTCCTTCAGGCCATGTTTCTTCTTCCCCCTAATATGTGAGGCCTGAGAACTGAAACTAGAGTTGTTCTGATCAAGATGCTGAAGATGAGCAGAAGTAACTATTGATGTAGTTCCATTTGCATGATTTTGTGGGTTATTTTGATTTTCAGCAACTGGAACCTGGTATAATGCATTGAGAGCTTTTGTTGTCTCCTCCTCACTAATGTCACACCGGTTCATTCTAGGCCTATACAATGATTCAACAACAAACATCAGCAAAAGCAAAATATAAACGCATATGTTCACGCACATAGACAATGCATCTGTGCATGTTCCTATTATTCACCAGGCTTTTAAACTTATTTGCATGTCAAGGATCATACATGCACGAGCACAAATACACACACATAGCATGCAGCCAAACAAAGAGACAGGCATATGCAACAAAACCTTTATTTGATAGTCATCTAAGGAACTTACAGCCAGTTAAGCATGCTACACAACCACTTCTCAGGGAGTTGTTCCGGTCTGGTATCAAAAGGCAAAAGTCGCCACTTGTGACAACGATCACACTGAACCCAATTTTCTTGTATGACTACAGAAGCAGTCGCTGCTGGTGCTGGTGCTGGTGCTGGTGCTGCTGTCTGAGAGGCAAGTATCTTATCATTGACGTGAGGAACCACACCTAGAGCATCCGTTCCCAACAGCCGGTTATCAACTGTTCTACCACTAAATGTTTCCTTCAATTTATCCAAATAGCCACTCTGTTCCATCTCAAAATCCATTGGACCAGAATCTTTTTTCCTATTCTGAAAATGCCTCATTGACGGCTCCATTTGGTCACTTTTCTGTTCGAAATTTGTTTCCAATACATCTCTATGATTATCTCGGACCTTGTTAATATCCTTCTGCAACTTATGAATCTTATTTTTGCCAGAAGAAAAACCCTGACTAGAACTTGTAGTATCTTTAGGTGTTGCACCCACATTGAGTCTCAGACTTTCCTTCATCGAATCAGCAATTAGTCCAGTATTTTTGCTACCTTTGAACTTCTTCTTGCCCTCAAACAATGTCTTTTCCTTCTTTGAGGGAATATTTGTTTTATTCTGTACACGAAATGTAGCTATCTGCCCAATCTTCATTTTTGAATCTTCCTTACATTTTAAAGGGGCAGAATTTTGGTAACATTTGCTCCCAAGATTGTCCCCATGGTCAAGCAAAGCATTCTTAGGGGAATTTACGACACTCTGTTCCCAACCCTTTTCAACTGAACTACTCTGCTTAACCCCCTTCTTTTTCTTGCCACTAGTTCTATTCCTTCCGGATATTGACTCCAAAGAATCATACTTTGCAGTGTCAGAGGAAAATAACCTACCTCTTGATGCATTCTGATTAGCTTCCACAGAAACATCACATGCCCTTGCAGTGGCTTCTATAGAGTCAGCAACATTCACTGAATTAGATAGAGCTGTCTTTTTCAAGTCATTAGGCAACAACTCCTTCTCTCCTGCAATCTCATTTTCAGACTTTTTTTTTATGAGCAATGTCTTGTCATGCTCAACATTCACTCGATTTCCGTGCTTTAGTTCCACCAGCTTTTTGCTTTTCCCCATTAAATATTTTGGTTTATTCTCATTTGATTGTTTTCCATTACCCAAAATGAACTCATCTATTAACCAAGAAGAATGTTCTTGACAAGCCTTGAGTGACGGGATAGATTTACTATCCCTAGAAGGCCTTTCCTTTTCCTTTCTTAATAAGCATAGCAGACTGTCATGAAGAGGAGATATGAGTACACCACCAGGGACATGGTTGGAAGTCATAACCTGCTTAAAGGCATAAAATATCAATGCATCCTTCTTAGTTCATATGCAGACACTGAAAACAACCAAGAGAAACCTCTACCTGAAGAATTCTAGTGGGTGATTCCCTAGCAATTTCTTGAGATACTGTCACTGTTCCTCCACTTTTCTCAGGACTGTTCCCCAATGACGAGGATGGAGAATAATCAAGCCCAAGACCACTATAGATTGCAGCAATTTTTTGAGCTTTGTTATCAGAGCCCATCTTAATTCGAACCTTCAATGTCTTCTGGTTGCTGGGAATCCCTGCTCTGCTCAAACTCTCATCCTTCAAGGCAGACTTTACAGCGACTTGAGCAGAAGACAAATGTGAATCTTGTTTAGCTGCTATATTGCTGCTTGGGCAGGAAGCGTTCCCAGGTCTCCCAGTTAAGGGTGCATTTGGAGGAGCTTTCAAATTCAGAGATGCACCCTGTATGGTAACACAGTCCACAGCACTCAAGTAAACTAGAATTTCATAAGCTGTCTATGCAACAGCTATGGACATCTTTTTCCAAAGAAACTATAGTAAGGATATTGTCCATGTACCTCCATAGAGAAATTGTTGGGAGACCTTGATGTGCTGAAGTTTCTCTGTGGTGTCTTTGGACATGATAATCTTGGAGGAGACCGTTCATAAGTAGGTAAAAATGAGCCATACCCACCAAATTTTCCCCCTGAAAAATTAATTTAAGTCCAGATCATCATCTTCAATGAAAACTTTAAGCTTGCAATAGTACCCAAATTTGTTAAAACCACGATCAACTACTTACCTAAGTTTTCTGCAGAAACCCCGCCTTCAAAATCTTTTTGGAAATGGCCCAAAACAGTTTTAATCTTCTCATCCTTTAAGAAATTAAATCCCACATTACTAAAGGAATAACATGGAGAATTTTGAAAGTTAATTTATTTTAAAACTGATATATAGACCACATTGAAGTTATAACATGCACAACAAGCCAAAAGTTATAAGCATCTCCATTCTTCAGGAACTCAATAATAACATAAGAACTATTTATAGTTTAGCATTACAGATACGAATTAGATCAAATAAACCAAGAGAACTGATAGAGTTAATCACATTCCACTGTGCATTCAAACAAACACAAACAAAATAAAAAATTCCAAATGTTGAGGAAGTTTCAAAGATCATCTAGGCAAGGAACTTTTCATCATGCATCAAATTATTGTTGATAGTCAGGACAAGAAATTTATAAAGTGAAGCCTATTATTTACTTTCTTTTCTATGGCTCAGCTTTCTCAAACAAATTACAAGCCCACAAATAAGAATTGACAATGGTGTATCTTCTTTATCATTATCAATACTATCACATTGTGTAACTAGCTATAAAACTGCACAAAGACAAGAAGTGGCCCTTTAAAACACATTCTTCTAGTTGTTTTATAATATTCCTAGTGATGAAAAATTAACCTAGCTAAACCAAGTACTTGTATATGAAAAATAACACTTTTGAGTATTAAGTTTGCAAAGAAGTAAATCTCAACCTCAAAAGTCGACATCCTCACTCCATTTCTCAACAAATTGTATCAGTGAACCGATGGTCATATCCCATGAATAAACTCAAACTCAAAGCCCTAGAGAATTCTAATTCATGTGAAGAGCAACAGCTCATTCTAATTAGCAATTACCTTTTATGCTTAATCAAACCCACAATTAAGCATAATTTGAAATTAATCATTGCTTGCAACGAAGCTTAATAGAATCGCATTGCCTTCAAAATGCCATGAATGCTTAATCAAACTGAGAATTATTCAAAAACTTGAATGGCAACAACTGAAGCATAATCCTAAGTTTCAGAAAGAGAATACGGGCGTAAAAACGATTAAATTTTTATTAAAGAAATAACAAAAACTAAACCCTTACAATGTAAGAAAAGGCTGTATCGGGGTTAATATTGTCGTCATTATCATTGTTATAGAAAGCTTCTCCTTCTTCAGGCTCAGAATTTTCATCCATCTCCAAATCCACCCCCAAAACCCTAACGTTAGCCCTAATCTTATCCCTCACTCCTCCAATTCCTAAATTTCCCGAAAATCCAACATCACCAAAAGTTTTTAAAAAACAATAAGATATTTTAGAAAAACACCCACCAAAACCCACAAAGAAAATCTCCCAAAACCGACTTGGATCCTATCAAATTAAAAAAGAAAATTGAAATAAATAACCCCCTTTTAATCCATCAATTTGATAAATTTGATGATTAATATTTCAATTCTTTCTTCTTTTTTTTTATTTAACTCACGATCAGATAGATATTGATGATCAGACGATGGAGATAGAAGTGATGACTAGTGCCGCAAACTCGTGATTGACTCGTTCCGCGTCCCGGTGCCGAGTTCGTTTTTGGGTTCCAGAAAATTGTTCACACTTTCTTCTGAGAGACAGCAGAGAGAGAGAGCGATGGCTTTTGTGGGTCTTTTTTTTTTGGCTTTCTTTTATATATTTCTTTCTATTTTTTAACATAAATAAATAAAAGGGTTGCTAAATGCGTTTTCGTCTTTTTGTTTCACACCCCAAATTTTTTTTTTTTAGAAATTAATAAACAAAATTATTTAATTATCCTTCTGTCACAAGTTTTAAAATATTTATTTTTAATAAATTTTATAATTTTTAAAAATATTTTTTTAAAAAATAAGATAATAAACATTATTTTAAAAATTACAAAATAAGAATTTTACGCCAAAATTTTTATTAATCAATATAATAAAAAATTATTATAAGAAAAATTATAAACTTTAAAATTAATAAAAAATTATTATAAGAAAAATTATAAACTTTAAAATTAATAAAAATTTATTTTATTAGTTTGATTTTTTATAAATTTAAAATTTATTTTTTAATAAATTTTTTATATCGATTATTAAAATTTTATAATAATTTTAGTTACACTGAATTTTTTTTTTAAATCTTTCTATTTACTTATTATTATAAAATTTTTGAGCTAACCTATTGAATTTTAACAAAATTATGTAATATTAAATAATATTATTTATACAACTTTTAAGAGTTTTAACTTTAAAAATTCAAATGTTAATTAGATTTTATTTTTCTTTTATTATTTTTGTAATATTAAGAACCGAAATGTTTAATTAAAATTTTATAAAATTTTATTTTATTTATAAAATTAAAATAATAAAATTAATTTTTTTATTAATTTTAAATTTTATGGTTCTTTTATAATAATAATTTTTTATTACACTAATTAATAAAAAAGATTCTTAGTAATTTTTTTAAATACAGAAAAGTTTTATAATTTTTTAAAAATTCATTTCTAAAATATTATACGACTTGTCAAAAATTCAATCTCAAAAAATATTTTCTCTTTTCAAATCAATAAAATAATTTATAAAAAAGTAATTTTAATTTTTGTTAATTAATAAATAATTTTTATTAATCAATTAATTTTATATCAAATAAATATTTAAAAATATAAAAATTATTTTACCCAAAATAAAATTAGCCTAAATAACGCCGCAATGCAAGTAAACGGGACAATTGCGACTCGTGGAAACGGCACCGTTTAATAATATTCTTTCATTTCATCTCACTAAAATAAAATTGCAATAAAAAAAAGGGTCTAATCATTGTTTGGTTGGTAGTAATTGGTCCCACCAAACAAGCGCACGTGTTTAGCAGAACAAAAACAACTGTCAAACACAACAAACGTTGGACATCAACTGAATCGTTTTACAGTTTGACAGTTAAAAGCACCGTTAATTCCCTTAAAACTCCATATTAAGAAAATAGTAAATAAAATCTCAGATTAAAAAACTTTTTCAGTTGAATCGAAAATTTTAAAATATGATATATTGATATCATAAAAATATTATAATAAATAAAATATAAAAATCATGTAATTTAAATTTTTAATAATAATTATATATAAATTTAATAAAATTAAAAATATATTTTTTTATATTTTTATATTAATATAAATTATAATACATAATTTTTATATAAAATATTATATAAATATATAAAATTTAATATTTTATATAATACAAATACACAAATTATTAAATTTATTTTTCATTAAAAACATCTCTTTCTTTTTTACAGGACAATGACGACAATTACCATTCAACGTCTCTTTCAAAGCTTTCATCTTTGCTTTTGTTAGGGTTATAAAAAACATAAAAGAAAATATATTATAAAATAATGAAAAGCATAAAAAAAAAATTAGATTTCATGATTTCGCAAAAAAACCCACTCTCGATCTTGACACCCACATTCAATAAATTCAAAAAATTTAATCTTTTTTCCTTTTATTTTTTTCCAATTCCCCAAGTTTCGATTTTTATTTATCTCACATTTAACTGAATTTTTTCCCACTAAATTCAAAGCTACCCTTTTGCCTTCATTGTTTGGTGAGTTCCAAATTCGACCCCTTTTTTCAAAAAAAAAAAAAAAATCAAAGTTAGGGGTTTGTCCATACAATCATGTAAAAGGCGAGTCTTTGATATTATAATCGTTGCTTTATTGCCTTTTTAAAAAAAAAAAAATTTTGCAGTGATTTAAGGGAGAAGAGAAATTGTTAAAAAAAGAACGTTGATTGCTAGGAAGGTTTTATATATATATATTTTTTAATTTTGTGTTTTTTTGGGGGTTTAAGAATTATTTTTATTAAACAGGCAGCTGCCAAATGTTTGCTTCAGATATGAATCCGGCCCGAGATGCGGGCGGAGTAACCACCGCCGGCATGGTGTTGTTTACAATTCAATTTACATGGCCACATGGTGGGAGAAGTGTCTTCCTATCTGGCTCTTTCAATAGGTGACTCTTTAGCTATCTTGCTTTCTTTTTAAGATGCTATTGATGTAAAAATGATGATGTTTAGGCTTATGATTAGTGTTTGGATTAATGGTTAATTGTTTGAAAATGAAGGTGGACCGAGCTTGTGCCAATGTCACAGGTTGAAGGTTGCCCCAATGTGTTTCAAGCCATTTGTGCTGTACCACATGGTTGCCATGAGGTTTGTTAGTTTGATCTATAGGAATTGGAAATTCAAAACTTCTAGAAATATGGGTGATTTCTTATTTGTTCAATGCTCTTATCTAATTGCTTTGCTATTTTTTATTATTTGAGCATGTTAGGTACCATTGTTGATAGTATTTAGGTTAAGATGGCTTTATTGTCAAGCACTTAATGGAGCATGTCGATCAGAATCTTTTGGCCAAGACTACCTTCTGTATTTTATTCACTCATTTGTGTTGGTTCTTACATGTAGTACAAATTTCTTGTTGATGGTGAATGGCGACATGATGAACAGCAACCACACAAGAATAGCGAATATGGGATAGTTAACACTTTTGACACTCTAAATAGACCTGCGGAGGTCCCTCAGGTACAACCCCGTTAAGAGATACTGAATAACATGGAAGTGGATAATGGTCTCTCAATAAGAGTCGGTTATATTCCTTAACTTTATGCATAGCATTTTGCTGAAAATATTTTTCTTTTTAAGGCCTATTTTAGCATTGTGATTGAGATTAAAAATTGCAATCAATAGAAAACCATTACAATTGCAACAGTAGGTCACAAAAGCAGGTAGGAACTTGCTTTTTGCAATTGCCAACAATTCATCGTGATCGAGATTTTTTAATTGAAAATTTGACCTCGTTTGGCATTGCGTTTGTAGTCAAATCCAGTTCCAATCGCAATGCCAAACAGCCTCTAATGATTTGGTATCATTTTTTTTATTAATTTAAGTTGTCATAGATCTAGCTATGCATTGCAAACACTGTAGTCTGTATCTGATTGGTGCTTGTTGCATTTTAGTTCTTATTGCATAATCATCATGTACCTTATCTATTTAATCATTTATTAATGCCTGTTTATTTCCTTATACTTTCTCGAGTAAGTGTATTTTAGTACCTTTTTGCAATACAGCATCGAATTTCTGCAGTTACATTGAATCAAGCAATGCCTAGGATTTCAGAAGAGGATGTACAGGCCTCCCGTCATCACATCTCTGTATTCTTGGCAGCACATACTGCTTATGAGTTACTACCTGAGTCAGGCAAGGTTTGGATGCATTCCTATCGGCCCTCCTTCATGATGTACACATTGATCCGTGCATGTTACTTCCACTTTGCTAATTTAGACAGATCTGCCTTACAGGTTGTTGCCTTGGATGTTGATTTGCCTGTAAAACAAGCATTTCATATTCTGTCTGAGCAGGTATCTATTTAGTTCATTCAGAGGTTAGGATTTATTTATTGTTTTGGGATGTCTGTGGAATGAATATAGTTATTTTCATTTAACGGTTCCTGATCTTTTTGTTGATTAAGATAAATGTTCTGCATAGCCGCATAATCTGCCACCATAGAAAAACAAAGAGAGAGGGAAAGAGGGAACCTCTGTACTTTTCTTTTGCTAATCATTGCTTCTTAGAGCCTTTTGTAGCTCTAGATGTATCTAGATTTGTCCATGGACATTACTAGTGTACTTGGCAACATTCATGCATATTTGCTTGTTGCTGATAAAGAGCTTGGAGACGTATCTTTTCTGAGTCAAGCCATTTTCAGGGTATCCCTATGGCTCCTCTTTGGGATTTCTGCAAGGGGAAGTTTGTTGGAGTTATCACTCCTTTGGATTTTATATTGATTCTGAGAGAGGTATGTTCATAATGCAGAACCAAGTTTGTTGGTACTAGCAAGTCTTCCAAAATCTACCAAGATTTTTCTTTTTATTTTAATTCCAACTATCTAGAAAGTTTCTAGATATTAACACGACAAATGTCTGATAGATGGATCTTTTTTCTGTGTATTTCTCTTAATGGATACTCTTTTTGTTATGCAGCTTGGAAATCATGGATCAAATTTGACAGAGGAAGAGCTTGAAACGCACACTATATCTGCCTGGAAAGAAATAAAGGCATACATGAACGGGAAAGTTGATGGGAATGGGAGACCAATTCCAAGACATCTCATCTATGTTAGTGTTTATTATAGTGGTTTGCCTTGGATAATAATTTAAGAAAGATGTTATTTTAATCCATGTGCATGTGTTTCTGTTTGTTTGTACAAACAAAGGAGCTTTTTCTTCATTCATGTTTTTATGTTTACGTTTAAGGACAGACAAATGCATATATCATCAAGGTGTAGTGTGAGCCAAGGTCTGGATGACGACCAGCATAACTACATGCTTGTTTTGCTATGATGTCTTGCCAGAATCTTATTTTGGCTCAACTTCCAATGTGGTTGTAGTGCATTTTTGAGAATCATATTCAATGAGAAAACAAGTTCACACGAGATTCAGGGATTAGATAGCATATAGCTGCAAGAATTCTAGTGTCAGTGAAAGAGTTCTTTAGAACATTATCTAGCAATCATGCCAAAAAAGAAATTTTAAGCTAGAAGTATATAATGGAACTGTTGAAAAGCGAGGACCACGATTAGAGTACTGCCATTCAGCTTTGCTTCTATGTTATGATGACAATGAATCAATAACCATGCTCCTCTTGTTGCAACCTTGTTCAAGTAAATTGGTTTTCATTAAAGAAACCTGTCATTTCTTTCTCTTTTTCCTATCATTATTCTCCTTTTTGCATTTTGTGAAGGCTGCATCTTCTGGTTCCTTTCTGTTATATTTTTTGATTCGTACCTTTCTGCTTCATCTCTTATTTCCCTTGTGCTGTGCCATTTGAGAAAGGCGGCATTTTTTTTTTTTTTATAGTTGTGTATATGAGTGGTGTTATTGACCCTTGTCATTGATTCTGCAGGCTGGGCCATGTGATAATTTGAAGGATGTAGCTTTGAAAATTTTGCAAAATGGAGTTGCTATAATTCCTGTTATCCATTCATCATCAGAAGATGGTTCATTTCCCCAATTATTACATCTTGCTTCTCTTTCTGGAATACTAAAATGTGAGACTTTTAATAGTTTTGTCAATTTTAAAAAAAAAAAAATTTATGGGAAGTACATGGCTTCTTTCTCCCTAACCAATTGAGTTTGATTTCTAGGCATATGCAGGTTTTTTAAACATTGTTCTGGCTCTTTGCCCATACTACAATTACCAATTTATGCAATCCCACTGGGTACATGGGTTCCAAGAATTGGAGAATCCAGCAGTCGGCCATTTGCGATGCTGAGACATACTGCATCTCTTAGTTCAGCATTAAATATGCTAATTCAAGGTATGCGTCATGTTTTGTCAACACTTTATGGAAGGTATAAGAGAGTACGAATAAGGAGGAGAAAAGAAGATTATTTATGGCTTTCATAAAGTTAGAAGAAGAAGGTTAATTTTAACACCTCAAGAGGCCTCCTCAATTGATTAGAGATATTCATGTAGTTATGTATTGTATATTTGTATGATAAGGTTTAGCCCTTTCTCTTCACAGCTCAAGTAAGTTCCATACCTATAGTTGATGATAATGACTCGTTAGTGGACATATATTGTCGGAGGTAAGGTGTCATTCATGATTGATTATCTTTCTAGCATGCAAAACTTACTGTCAGCTAGTTGTTCATAACTTTGTGTTCTTTTTTTTTTCAGCGATATAACAGCTTTGGCAAAAGGCAGAGCATATACACATAATCTAAATGAAATGACTGTTTATCAGGTAACTGTTGTGACTTCTGTTTTTCCTTTTCTCTGGTTTATGCATTTTACTACCCAAACAAGGTTGGATGTTTCGAGGAAGTTTTGAGCTGATAATGCTTGGAAAGGTTGATATTTTAAGATTCTTTTCCTTACTTTTTGTTGGTAGTCTCAAACAAGGTTCTTGGTGTAATTGCTCATAGTGGCTAGTACTCGGCAAGCTAACATGTTATGATGTTGGCTTTCATACCTATGCAATGTTTTTGAAGTCCTACAGTTACATTGTTGGTAACATTTCATTGAAGAATCTGATCAAACTGTGAACATAGTGCATAGCTGACCTGATTTTAAGTGTTTCTCTGATTAAATGAATCCATTTCACCTTCTTATGAAAATGAAAACTAAAATATTTTCCATGTTCCAACTAACGTACACTGCATCTACTTGGATTCAGCTGATCGTATTGTTGAAAACCAATATCTTCTTATATCGCAGAAAATTTGCTTCCTAATCTTTTTTTCTCTACTAACTCGTTAGGCATTGCAATTGGGACAAGATTCTAACACTCCCTATGAGACAAGAAGTCAAAGATGTCAGATGTGTTTGCGCACCGATACATTGCTTAAAGTGATGGAACAATTGGCAAACCCTGGTGAGTTTCCAAACTTCTTCTCATACTCTCCATGCCAGCAACAATCCTACTTGACATCTCTTGAGACAAAAGCTGAATTGAATCGTAAATAGAGAACTAGCCCCTTCCTTAATGAACGTGGTAGCGCTAGAATGTCTGAGCTGAATGACAGGCACCACACTCCCTTTAGATTTGTGGTTTTTTTTTTTTTTTTAAAGAAGGATAATGATTTTTAGGATGGCTCTTTTGCTGGTCTTTATATCAGTGATTTAGCATTGCAATATGTTAAGTGGCATTGCCACCATTATTTTCCCCATAAATCATGTACTATGATCGTGAAAAATATTACTTGCATGACATTATTTTCCCCAACCGGATTTCAGGTGTTAGACGGCTTGTTATAGTGGAAGCCGGCAGTAATCGTGTAGAAGGCATTATCTCGCTTACTGACATTTTCAAGTTCTTGCTTGGTTAGTTTGAAGTAATTGCAGATGACCTATCTAGGAGGGGTTTTCGCAGTGGCTTTCAGACTCCCACGTCTTGTGGGCACACGATTCCCTGCACCAGTGTTCCAAAGAGACTGCAGTACATCACACCGGTGATAATCGAATCTCATTCAACCATTGGATTGGCCTCTTGCCTTGTTGCCTTCTTTTTAGAACTTTAGGCCAAAGAAAGAGGCATGTAACTTAAAAGAGGATTTCATTCTCTTCCAAAATTTGTTCATCTCCCCCTTCCACATGTTATTCTCAGTATTGAACCAGAAATTGTGTCACCAATGTAGATGCCATTATGTGCAGGATGCATGTGTCCTGTAATAGTTTATTGCTGTCTTCAAAGTTATAAGTAAAGATATGGGGAGGAGAAACAGTGAATGATTATTCTGGTACCATGCTTACTTTATTGAGCTTTCATTGGCCTTAGTTTCTGCTAGTCTGATTCTTGATATGCTACTTGGGTTATGTTCCCAACAACCTTTGTTCAGGCAAAAGCCAAGACGGTTAATATGGATCTTTTGACATAAGTGCTCCAAAACCTTGAGTAAAACGGTAAGGGTCTGGCCCAAAGAGGGGTGTAAACCAATCATATATAAATGAATTTTATTATATTTATGATATGATCGTTTAATTAATGAATTATTTGTGATTATTTATTTAATTTAATAAATAAAAATAAAGTTTATTTACAAATTATTTATCGAACTCTTTACTATTTTTTATAAATAAATTTTATTGTAATTGTAATATGCTCGTTTAATTAATATAAATAAATAAAAATTAAATATATTCACAAATTTATTGATAACTTATTTGTTCATGTATATCTCAAGTCCCAAATTATAATATTGGATTCTATTTCCATCCAATATTTGTTAAAAACCAATTAACTGAGAATAGAGACTGATAAAAATACAATTAACTGAAAGATTTGTTCTTGTTCACAATAAAATTTTAATAGTGTACACTAAGCTTAGAAAATCTTAGATAAAAAAATAGAAAAGGTTAAAGTTGGTGTTTTTTTACTAAAAAAATTGCTGTATTTTCTTGAATTTTTTGTAAATATTAATGTATTTTTTCCGATTTTAATCGTAAAACAGCCTCATAAATCATAAGCCTTCAGTCCCTAGACAGTATACTCCAAAAAGACCCGTCTTTCAACGTTACTGCCTCACTGGAGGGTTTCTTCAGAATCTGCCCATTCAAAGAGAAACTTATTTCTTCAAAAACAGGTAAAATCCTTCCCTTGCTAACCGGATTTCAATTCCCATGTTTTACTTTAAGTGCAAATCAGTTCTCCATGGGAGTCACGCTGTAACAGCTTCCCAAAGTCACAAACTTTTATACGTTTGCCAAAAAGACCCATCATCGCTTAGAGGTGTAACTGTATCTCTCATTTTCAGACGCATTTCAAGCTCTTCGAATGAACAGTCATTTACAGTTTCGTACCTTAAAAATAAATGTGGGTTGTCCTTAGAATCTGCTTTAACTGCCTCCAAGCATGTTCATTTCGAAACCCCAGAAAAACCTGACTCTGTCATTGCGTTATTCAAGAACCATGGTTTTCTCACAGCTCCAAATCACCCGCCTCATCAAAAAACGGCCACTAGTGCTTATATCTGATGCTGAGAAAACCCTTTTGCCCAAACTTGAATTTCTTCGCTCTAAAGGTTTTTCAATCCCTGACCTTGCCAAAATCGTGTGTAATACCCCAGCTACAATGGCGTTGAGCTTAGAGAAAAAAATAATCCCTTCTTTTAATTTCCTTAGTAATGTGCTTATGTCTGATGAGAAGATTATTCATGCTGTAAAACAAAATCCGCGCCTTATGGGTTACAGCCCTAATGCTGTTTTGTTACCCAATATCAATATTCTTCTGGATAATGGAGTTCCTGAATGTAATATTGTTAAAACACTTTATTCTCTGCCTTCAACATTGATCAAAAGTCCAATTCGGTTTAAGGATATGGTAGAGGAAGCAAAGGAAATGGGGTTTAATCCTTCGAGGCCAATGTTTATGGTAGCACTCTATGCAATGAGTTCAATGACCAAACCAACATGGAGGAGGAGGTTTGAAGTTTTTAAGAAGTTTGGTTGGTCTGAGCAAGAGGTTTTAGAAGCTTTTCAGAGGCATCCCACGTTTATTAGGGTGTCCGAGGATAAATTTATGGCGATAATGGATTTTCTAGTGAACAGAATGGGTTTTCAGTCTTTACGCATTGCCAAACATCCCCGAATACTGTTGATGAGCTTGGAGAAAAGGATTGTTCCGAGGGGTCTGTTTGCTCTAGATTTGTTGTCCAAAGGTGTTATCAAACACATTAACTTGAGGGCATTGTTGGGCCCTTCAGATTCTTCATTTATTGAGAAGTTTGTGAACCGCTATGATGCTGAACTGTTAAAGCTATATCAAGAAAAGTTAGATCTTTCAAAAAACTGGAAAATGGGTGGGCACAAGCTGCAGCATTTATAGATTGTTGACATTAAAAGATTCAAATTTTCCTCTTTTTCCTTTGATTGAGTTGGATTCTTTAATCTGAAACTTGAGTTTTGGTTAGGAATGCCACTAATACGAATTTTTTAGCTTTATTATTTTCTGCCATTAGTGAAGCTTGAAGTTGACTCTGTGCGACAATTAGCTGTACTATTTTGTGTTACTTTTGTATCCAATGCAGCTGGGAGACAAACTTCTCAAGTTATAGTTATTGTTTTGCCTGATATCTGCTTTCTGTAGCTGCACATTCTCATGCCATGTCTAAGCAAGGAGCATATTTAGGATTGGTTTAATATCCTGCCCGCTATTCTGAAAGTGCACCATGATGCTCCAGCCCCAAGTGTTTAAATAATTCCAAGAAAAGCTTACGATCACGAGAAACCTTGTAAATTTCTGACATTTTGGGGGTTAATAATGCATGAAAATATTGTTTTTTGTTGATGTTCTACAGGTTTTTGTTCTTTCATTTTGGTTGTCCAGGGACTGTGGGCTAGGGGGTTGTAGAATGGAAGCTATATAATACAGGTTGTGAACCCAAAATTCAACTATTTTTTGTCATTTGAAAAAAGAACATAGAGTTCTTTACTATGCTAATGTTTGTGCAGCTAACCTAATTAACTCCTCAAACTTGATTTCGTTTCTGATGTGATGAGAGTGCAATGATTGGCTGTGGGATGCCACCAGAGCCCACTATGCAAGGCTCAAAAGGTTGCATGTTTAAAGTGTTAGCTTGATACCCTACAATATGGAAATGGAATCATTCTACTCCCCCCCCAATTGGTTTAGCCGCTTCTATCCTCCAACAATGACTGGTATAGTAAGAGGAGACATAGCTATACTTGGGGGGCAATATACAGCAATTCTAAAGGATGGTTGATTGCAGTGTAATCCTCCAAATCCGGTTTGGCTCACTGCTGTGTCACAACAATAAATCCCTATGAATAATCGTCTTAGCTAACATTTAGGGAGACAAATTAGCCCTTTGTCTCAATACTTATAGCAGCCTGATTTGTTCTGATGAAAAGACTGTCAAAGCTATAAAAGGGTAACCATTTCTTATTTCATATAGTATGAATATTATTAATGGTCATTTGGTGTGTAATATCAATATTTTACGAGATCATGGAATGCCAGAATCAAATATTATCAAGATACTTTATCAATTTCCTAGTTCTTTGTTGACAAATCCTGGTAGCCTTAAGGAAATAGTGGGAAAAAAAGACGAAATTGGGTTGAATAGGTCCTCTGATACTGAAATTTGGTCATGCTGTTTGTATATTGGCCGGAATGAGGAAATCCACTCGGGAGAGGAAGGTTGATGTTTATAAGAAATGGGGTTAGTCTGACGGAGATTTTAGGATTGTTTACCGAAAGTATCCATTCTGCTTTGCAGTTTCCGAGGAAAATATCACTGTCAAAATGGGTGTCGATTCTTCTTATCTTGCCAATCAACCGAGATCTTTGAGACAGAGCTTTGAGAAGAGGATCGATCGGAGGGGTTTTGACAGCTCAACATCTGTTATCCAAAAGTTTAATTAAAGAGCAACAACAAGGTCTATTTTGGACTTTCAAACTTACAATGTAGTAAACAATTGCTAGTTGACAATGAATTTTCGAACATTGAAATCCCATTTTGTTCAAAAGAAAAATAATAATTATTATTATTTTATGTACTGCCTAATTCAATCCCAAGACTCAAAAGTTATTCAGCTAATAAAATTGAAACCAAAAGAGATATTGATGAGTGGAAAATAGAAAGAGATTAGATTCACAATGCTGACAAGAAGTGTACAAACTGATTTACTGGGTTACTTTGATAATAATTGATACATGTATTTATTCCTATTAAAGGTGGAAAAAAGGAGCATATAAAATGGATATAAGAGTTGAGAGAAAAGGAGTGCAAATTCTTACAACAACAATCAAGAAACGAATGACAGTCTATGTCGGTACCAACGCCAATATCTGATTCCTGATAATTCCCATACATTTCTGTATCTCTGTGTAGATTGGAAGATTCTGTGAACAACATGGCTTCAAACTTGTAACAGCAGAATCTAGTACCTGGGCAACATCTCCAGGTGGAAACTGCCTTTCTGTACATTTCTGCATTTTTTTTTTTTGGGGGTGAAAATAATCAGAATCAGATGATCAAATACATAATATCACGAAAAAATAGTATTCTGCTAATAACTGCTGACAAGAACATAGGAGCTGTTCAAATAATTACCTGTATCATGAGCAAGGTGGCTACACAATGCGCAATAAGGTCTGAAGGGATTCTAAGATCATCTTGGTCAGACAAATTTTGCAGCTTTTTATCAGGTATATGACTCAGTGCCAATGGATGTGAAACACAGGCAGTCTGATGATCGAGACAAGTTACTGTACTGTGGACTGAGTCTATTGGGGTAGAAGACCTTGGAGCAGGCACACTAAACTCATCCACTGAAAGCTGGTTATTTACAAAATCTATTGCATCCTCAATCCTCTCAATGCTTTTCCCCCCTTTTCTCAAGGTTGACATAGCCTGAGATGGTAATCAGGTTTAATCAGATCTAATGTACAGTATTCAAGTAAATAATCAAAAGAGGCTACCACACCATTGCCATGGCCCTGTATGGTTCAGCTCTTAGGGTTTAGCTCAGTTTGCTGTGGCCTTATATTTACTTTCGGCTTTTTCACCTATGGCTTATTGGTTTTAGATTGATACTTGGACATATATGTAAAAGACAATTAGTAAAGTTCCAATGAAATGGACAACTTTCAAAATGCTTGAAAAGGAAGTTAAGGGGTAAAAGGTTTAGACTCAAAACCATCCATAAGGAGCCATCAAGATAAAACAGTTTGACGTTCTTTGTTACCTGCATAGCTGCATCAACCATTGACCGAGCTTTCAATCTTGAACTTTCAACAATATCAGCCACATGGGATATAGATTCTTGGACGTGATGCATAGAATGATCAAAAGAACTCAACTGACAGCCATGGTCACCAATTTTCACCAAGGGCTTCAGCAACCTAACTGAGGAGGTCCCTGGATATGTATTGCGTTGCCTCAAGCAAAACAGAGCAGAAGAAACCTGCTAAAGAGTTGTCAGGCAAAGCTAAGATAAAATGATAAATGACAATGGTGAAGAGATTTAAACTGAAAACTGCTTCATCAGCATCTCATGCCTGCTCATTGACTTCATTTAACTGGAAGAGGACAGCGGCATATTGCTTCTTGAAAGAATCTGAATCCTTTATATAGTTGTCTCCGCCTTTCTGGCTCTCCAACACCTCATCATTCATACGTCGTAGTTCAGACACCAGGGCCTCCTGCAAATGCTAACACAACCTTCAGTTCATTTCTCAGACACAATGTGAACAAGATGATTTGAAAAGGGATTCTATGTCAGCCTAAGATAAACACAATAAACATGCAACACAAACTATGCAATAAGCTACAACAAAGTGAATCACAATGGTGAAGCTCCCAACAAAGCAAAAAGAACCAATTATGGAGAGAGAGGTTAAAAATAGCATTCTAACTAAAAGAGTGGGAACAACATTAAGGAATAAACAATGCTCAAACATTAGAAGGACGCAACATTCAACAGGAACTATATATGTCACTAAAAACAAAGATAAGTTTCTAAATGAGCTAGAAATTAAAAAAGAAAGAGGAAGAGAGAAACATTTGCCGGTAAGTTAACTTTTATGCATAACAGCTAATATGGTGTACAACCTTCTTGTCAAGAGCACGAGTCAACTGGGAAAGAGCTTCAACATCAGCTTCCCTTGCTTGAACCAGCGCCAGAGCAGATGGCTGAGAATTTGCTGCTTGTTGAGCGTAAACAGGTTCAATAGGCCCAACTTTAAGTTGTAAATTAGGACTTGATGAATCAACCTTGCCAAAGCAATTTATCCTTATATAAGATAACAGTTATTCTGATTTTATTTTGTTTCACATATCAACACTTTTAGCGATAATACTCCAACTGAAAAGCAATTTACTCTTGAAAAGCTGTAATACATGAAATGAGTACTATTTTGCAGTCATAACTTACCTTAACTGGATGTGAAAAACTGCCAACATTGAAAGTTGAGAAGGAAGTACGAGAGGGACTATTGGCGTTCTCCAAATTATCATATTGAGTGAATTTGATTTTCTCTTCTATCTTGCTTTCTTTTGGCTGCCCATTCATTTTGAGCTCATTGTAGTTCTCAGCAAATTTACTGATGGCAGCATTTTGTCTCAGAAGCGAAGCAGGCAAATTTTCAAATAGATATAAAGGCATACAATCAATATCCTGCAATAAAAAATGTATTATTCATGATACTTGATAGGTAAGAACAACAAAAGAAAAACAGGAACAAGCTAAATAGATTTAGCAAATGGCAGAGAATTAGATTAAACACAAATGTACAAGCAGGCATAAATACATCTGCTTGAATATTTAGACACAAGAAATTTAAGAAAGGAAACTCCCAAAGCCTTAGCCTGTAACTAATCCATTTGACTGAGGCTTTAATGGTGATATTCTACATCTTCAGTTGAACGAAATGAACATGTAGCTATCGAATATGAAGCAATCCTATAGAACAAAAATTTACCATGACAAATTCCACTCCTAGCTCAGGGTTGTCAAACTGAATCCGGTATCTACTATGATCAACAATTAACACACTTCCGTCATGAATCTCTCTAGTTTTTGGATGAACAGCAATGACTCGTTGTCCAACTGATAGAGGTCGAGCTAAATCAGTTGGAAGTCCTTCACCAATACCAGCACGGAGTTCAGCATAATGAGTTCTTACAGATTCTCGATATTGATTAAGCTTCTCTCTTTCTTCCTTCAAAAATTGCTCAGAAAATCGCCGCGGTTTGCCAAGGGAACTGCATCAATGTGACATTATGTAAGTAGAGCATCAACACCCAAAACCCTATTACGATTCCAAAGTAGAAAAGCTATACCTCCTTATGACACCCCATTCAACACGAGTTAATCTTGGAACATGACCTAATCCTACATGATCCAAATACTCCACAAACTCCCTTTTAGCAAACCATGGATAATCAATTGTACTGTAGAACCACTCAAAGGCACACCACCTCCGAGCTTGATATGAAGATAGAAAGCTACAAAGCTTTTCCTGTCATACAAAATATACATATATGAAATAAAACCCAAGAAATAGAAACTCAACTTCACTGGAATTGTTAAGGTAAATAGTGTTACCTTCAGATTGAGTGCTCTGTCATGGAATAACATAACTGGAACACTAAATTTTCCCTTTACAATATTATCAGAGGACTTTATATCCTTCCCAATCACTGGTTTCTGTGCATTCATCTTTCGCTTACTCCTGACTTTCGTAGGTAGGTTGACCTGGTTAACAGATGAAACCTGAATAGTAGATGGAGCTGAATTTTTCAAGTCCCTTCCATGATCGGTACTTGAGGACGTATGCTCTGGAGGTCTCACAGATTTCCCTTGCTTTGAATGTGCAACATTATTAGAGCGTTTACCTTTACTCTGAAGATTCTTTACCTCATCTGAAGCCTAAAAAATGCACATAAAAATAGCAATATCAGAACCAGTAATAAGTGATGAAGGGAAGACCATGACCCTAGAAAGTACAAATTTATGAATTTTCCTATGTAAACAATTAGCACATTTTTAAGTTACAAAGAAGACCCTCAAATTATGATGGTGGAAAGAGGGAGGAAAAAAACAATTACTAACAGGGCTTGACATCTATACCAACATAGAATGCCCCGGCTGACCCACAAACTGAGTTCAAACTGAGTTAACCATTTACTTATTTCCTAAACTTACGTCTATAATAGATATTCTTCCAAAACTTGAAAGAATGTTCTCCATCACCAACTCAAACCTTTACCTATTTATTCACTTCCTCCTTTCTCAAATAGCAGTGGCATGTTGAAAGAACTATCCCTTACCAATTTATCTCCCAATTATCTTCACTTCATAAAAGATTTATTTAATTCTTTTCATAGTATTTTCTCCTATAAGATTTATTGTTATATCTCTTATTCATTTTCTCACAAACTGAAGCTATGGGTGCCACATATAGTAGCACCAAAATGTAACAAGGCTTAAACAGGCACCCAATTCAGAAAGTTCAATAAACTTAATCACAGAATTAAGAACATTTACCACATTTACTAGTAAAAAGTTTATCTAACATTCTGCAGAAGAAAAGTATCCTAAGAGACCACCATATCAATCAGGGGACTGAAATGAAATTTTA